AAAATATTACAAAACAATATTATCACAACATTTATGGGAAACTTGAAAATAGGAAAATACAATCATTCAAATTGAGGAGAGGCAAAACAAGGATAGAGCAACACAGCATCTTATTAACTTAACTAACGAACACGATTGACTTACATGTCATCAACCATTTCTAATACTATACAAATTTCTGATCTATCATCAGCTTTATGATGAAAACTTCTCTGGTGAGGACTCTGCCTCATTACATAAATGTTAGTCAATATTAGTCATACTTTTATTTTGCTTTAAATCCTGCATGTCAAAACTATGCTTGTATTGTAAAGTACTGCTTCTTTCAGTAGATCCAAAGTTAAAGAGCTTAATGATAACTGTGAAAAGAGAGGTCAGAAAGTAAAAATATCTAATTGATCTGAGTGTTGTTTTTGGATTCAATCTTAAACAAGAGTTTTAAAAGTGCCTAAAGTGTGGTCTGCCGCTTCTTCTTCATCTTACGACGATTTATGGCAACCAGCATGAAGGACCTCCACTATAAAGTCATAGTATTACCATGAGTTTTAACATATATTAAATTGACGGTTATTGTAAAGTGCAACAGCCCGAATAGGAATGATAATGTTTGTTAAGCAGTTTGATGAAAGCTGTCCTAAAATAAACATTAGCATTGTACCAGTGACAATAACAGGAGGCTGATATTAATAGCTGATGCAGATGAAGCAGCTGGTTTTGTGCAGTGAAGATCCAGAAGAATCAACAAGACAAGAAGGCTCAGAGTTTACTTTAAAAAACTGCACATTTCCTGTTTTCCTCATGTCTTAAGGGGCGGCGGCTCGGGGGTAGAGTTGGTCATCTCTCAGTCAGGATTTGATCCGGCTGTTTACATGCGTCCCTGGGCAAGACTCTTGACCCAACCCACCCCCGCTGGGTCAGTGGAGTGTGAATAGGATTAGTCAAAAGACTGAATTAGACTGGGGCTTTACAGAGCAGCCTTCACCATCACTTTAAGAGGTCAGGAGACTAGAGAAAGGGCTACATACAGATAGTCCATTTACCATCTTGTTGGCTGAGTATTGACATATAACTGTATTATAAATGAAAACACTGGATGGCTTTCCAGCTAAACAACCTGCATATTCAAGGGTCCACACTCAGTAGTTTAGACTCTTCAAAGTGAGTCAGACATTTAGCTTATGGATGTAAGTTTGTCACATCAGAGTGGTTCAGAGAGATTGTTGGATGTGATTAGCACCGACAGCAGCTTCTCTTAACTTGTGTTTGCTCATGTCTTTTGAAGGCGTGGCTCCTAAGAGCAGCCTGAAGAAAAAGGAGCAACTTTCACAAACAAGCTTTCTGTCACTATTTTCTCCTGAGTTCGCTTCCCCAGCTTTGACCCCTCAGGTATATGACCTGACAAACCTGCTGAACTGACACTGCTCAGCTGCAGCACGTTCTTGTGTGACATGGGAACACACATGCTGAAGGCAAAGAGAGATTGATGCACTCACAAACTACGTCTTAAAGTTGGACCTGAACAAAGAAATCATACAACAACAACAACAATAACAAAAAACTACATCTGTTCACATAGTTTTTACATATGCTAAATCTTAAAATGTTCATCTGTTTTATGTAGGTGGTCGAACACATTTAAGGAGTGGTTGTTGTGTTACTCCCTTACCTTCTTTCTCTCAGGTAATGGTTTACACGCTCACACCCTCATTAGAACAGACAGGTTTTAAGCTGTGGATACCATGTGAGTCGTATTTGCAACAGAGAACAGGTTATGTGCAAGTTTTCATATTTGCACAGAGCACTTAAGTTCATTTAATGAACATCTAAAGCTACAGTTTGATGTATACAGGCAAAGACAGGATCCTAATCTGCATAGAGAGGAATGAGGCAAATAACTTTGTCAATAACCAGCTCAGCTCATTTACTTATTCAGTCCTTTGCATTGACCCAATCAGTTTAATCAGAGGGGTGATAGCCATCATAGAAATTCCACACTGGTGAGCCATATAGGCGGTGGGGTGAGGTGATGGAGGTTGAAGCTGCATACAATGCAAAACAATTATGTAACAGGTATTTTAAATACTTCTCTCATAGACTATATGTTCTGTGTCCACTGATAATAACCAGAGGGAGGGAAACGGGTTTGATGAGGGCGTCAGCATGATAATTGTGCTTTTTTAAGGGTCATTTTTGCATAACTTTACTTTTTAAAAAAGAGGCTAAAAAACAGTGGAAGTTCTCAGTGATGTTTCTGATTGATTCAGCTTGTTTTTATTGTTCTACTCTGAGCTGATCCACTCAGTAAAATTCAGTAATGAATGAATTATATCTACATGCAACAACCTAAGCATCTCATTCTAATCAAGACTGACAAGATCTACTGCATCTATCAGTTAACGGTGAATGTTCAGAGTTTTTCAGCGGTTGTACCCGAGGCACTTGGTCTCCAATTGAATCAAGTCCCTGCAGCAGCTGAACAAGTATGTGGCCACACGTGTTATGTAAAATCTGCAAACGACGGCAGAATTCAACCAGTAAATCAAGCAGGCAGAGACATCTAAAATATGTGGCGTCTGACCCTGAGTGACAGTGAGATAGTCTGACAGTCACTCTGCAACTGAAGCCTCCACGACTCTGACACTCATGACAGCACACATACAAAGAAATCCTAAATCGCTCTCACAGGTCCAGTCTGTTGGATTTCAGTACCTGGAAAACAACCAGCGAAACTGTGTTTACAAAAATCTGAACTTTTTGTGTTTGCAAAGCTTTAAGGACAACTCACAGGATGATACCATCAACTGAGAAGGACCTGCACAATGCAGCATTAGAAGAAAGATTTTGAGTGTACAGTCATCATATTGTGAGAATAAAGTTGTTATCTTAAAGAAACAACACACTTATTTTAGTCAACTGTTAACCCATGTGTCTTAACAAATGGGAGCCTCGTGCTTGGCCACCTGTAGTCATCTATTTAAATAAAAATTAAAAAAAGTTTTTCCCCCAAGTCAGTGTTGCTCTTCCCTCACAGTTTTTTGCACACATTTTGAGAGTCCTGATACTTTTAACAATGAAGTGCTCATGTGCCAAAAGATTAGTGTTTAGTTATTTGTAAAAGTAAAGTAGAAAGTGGAATTTAGCAAGACAGTCCTTGTTCTCATCTGAGAGCCTATAATCTTCAAAGATAGGGTTACTGTAAACCAAAACTACAACTTTTATTAAAACTTCTTTCTCAGAACATTACAACTTTATATTTTTATAGATATAAATTTCATTCTCATGATATTTTAGCCTTATTTTTGCAATCTTCATGTATTTTCTCCTTCATAATGTAGTCCTGCTACTTTTTCTGAATGACACGTCTGTTTTTAAACTAAAACTGTGTTAATAAGTACAAATTGTCAACTCTTGGGGTACAAAATCTCAGTAAAATTATCGATCTCCAAAGTTTTCTTTGAATGACTGTGGTGTGAACTTTTTTACATTCCCTAGAGTTAACTATATTTTTGTTTTTAAACTTTGACTTAAGAAAATAAATGACTTGTAAATCTTGGTGCACTGACAGTATATTACAAAACAGACCAAAAAACAAAAAGGATAAAGGAAAAGTGAGATTTTATATTTTTTAAAATGTGTGTTTTGTAAAGGCGTCTTCAACATCTCCAAAACTTTTAAATATATCCGTTCAATTCTAATCAACATGCTGACTATGCAAACTAGCTTTGATTACCAGTGGAAGCGTGCAGTAACAAAACATTAGCACTAGGCTGATAAAAGTGCGGAGCAGAGTATGAGTCATACAACAGAAAGAAGGCTTTTAAGAGAACTGATTCAATTTAGGTGAGAAAATTGCTCCTCCTCTCCAGTGACCGGGACGCATGTTTTGTAACATGAGAAGATTTGCATCTGAGAGCAACAACAGCAATGCCCTCCTCTTTTATGATGTTTTTCCACATATACAGACATTTCAAAGCTTCAGCCTCAAACATGCTGAAAAAGAAACACAAAAAATAACCGAGAAGTCTTTTATCTGAGGTCTTCGAAAGGGGCTTTTATGATGCAGTTAGAGTTAAATTTGATCAGTCTGACATTATTTTAGCTCTTGTGACTTGATGGTTTTCTGGAAAGTCTCAGTTGCAGAGTTGTCTTTTGTTCAGTTCTTGCAGCAGATGTTGGATCGGCTAAAGTTTTGTAGAGCTGCAGTGATATGAGAAGAAAGATCACCTGTGCAGTTTGAGCATGTTGTTGATATGTGGCACTGTCGGGCTGTAAACCATACTGCACTCTGTACACCGTGTAGTGGTAAACAGAGTGACAAGTTGTGAAATGTCAGTTCAGCAGCTTCTAAACATTGAAATTCAAATGGAGACTTACTCAAACTTTACTCTCCATGTGATTAATAAATTATTTAAATAGAAGTTTGCTGCGTCTTTGAGAGAAATGGTCTTGTATGTCTCTTGTATGTGTACAGACATATCCACAGAGCTGGACACAATGGCTGCTCACATCTGAAGCAGTGCAAGGGGGCGGTGGGTGTGCACACGCTTACAAGCTTTCTTTCTCCGTATGAGACATGCACAGTGATAAGTATTCACTGGATTCTTGCTTTTAATGAATTCAAAAGACCTAACATAATGGCACACTCAGTTTTGAATGCCTTTTGTTAGTTTCCTCTCAAGAAAATGATTTTGATGAGGGGTGGGGGGCTTGTTTTATCATCTGTTAGTCACCAAAACGCCAGAAACGTTTGTAAATTAGAGGAAAATGTAAGAAAAAAGTGTAAAAAGCTACTTTAAAGCACGTGGTTCGGTCGCCATGTGCTGGAGTCAAAAAGTATTCCCAACCGCTCCAGAAGAAGGGGGTGTGGCGCTCAGCGAGCCCAAGGGCCACTCTCTTTCTGCCTCTCTTTGCTGTGATGGAGGGGTTACATAACATCACCCACCGTCCAGCCAATAGGTAGCCCAACTCTGACACAATCATCTCACTGAGCAGTCGTGCACGTGCATGTGTTTTAGGTGGGGGGAGACGCCTGCATGCGTGTCTTTCTCTCTGTGTCTCTCCACGCCCCCCATCTTTCATCCCAGTCCTCCCATAGGTTCGGTTCAAAGGTAACAGAGAGACCGGGGGCTCTATAAAGATCCACTTTGTTCCCTCTGCCTCTCTGCTCGTTTCATTTCTTCGGTTTGTCTCGTTTCCTTCAGCACACACCAAAATGCCCAGCAAGAGGAAGAAGAACAAGCGCCGCATGAGGAGGGTGGTAAGTGGTGGCGCGCGCACTTTCATCCCTACTGCACGATCAGAAATAAATCATCCGGATTTTATCTGAGAGAAAAAACACGAATTTCAGCAGATGTAGACAGTAATCTCTCGAAAATGTGGATAAAAATGACCTTTTAGAAATGTTTTCTTTCGCAAGTTGTGATTTAAAAGTAGACACATCTGTTAAACGTGTATTCCTGTAGATATAATATTGCTTTAGCTCAATAACCCGCAGCGATGTAGTGCGAGAATAGGCAGCTCGGAATAGTGACTCAACTTGATGCAAAATAAGTGTTTGGATAAAGTCAAGAAGCTAAAGGAGCAGCGTAATGTCAAAATAGGCAAAAATGTGAAGAAAACAAATGAGTACCATATTCTCCTTTTATTTGTGCACTGTTTTTTGTTAATTGTGTTAATTTTACGATTGCTCATTTGTCACAATCATATTCTTATGCTGCTTTTCGTTTTACGCACTGGCGTCCGAGGTGCGCTCCCAAGCTCCGTGCGTAAAATCGCAGCCTCAAAATAAATGCAAAGCTGACAAAAAGAAAAGATATGCAACAAACATGCACCGAAAGAAGTTCCGTCGAAATGATCGATAGATTAGTCTTTATCGAAATAATCGACCACTTGCAAGAGTAAAGCACGCCACGTGCTTCTGGCTCTATTCCAGGATAGAGACAAATCTTGGCATATGTCCTGCGCTCCTCGTGCGTTCTGGGCTCGCTCTACAGGAGCAGGAGATCTAAGTGCACACATCTCTTAGTGGTTTATCGTCATTAAACCAGAGACGAAGTACTACTTTGACAGAAAGTACAAACTTTAATATGCATTGCAAACTTCATTGTGCTGATACAGCAGCCATCCCACCATGATTGACGTGTGTGACTCTTGCCCCCCTCCCCACTCCTCTTAGGTAACTTGGAGAAATTGTACTCCTGAACATTCAGTGCCCAAAGAGAAGCAGTAGGTGTGGCTAAGAGGGGAGGGGTCTCTTCTGAGTGAGAAAGTCACACAGAAGCTCCAATTTCCCAGAGGGCAAAGGTCACTTCATCACCCACTGCTCTCTATTATCCCTTCTTAAGTCACAAACTGGTTGTTCCAAACCTTTGTAGAGGATCTCATTTCTACTTGCTAATCTCCACAAGCACACTCCCCCAACTCTAGGACTTCTAGATATGGAGTTTGTTGCATTCTTCCTCATCCACCTCATCTCCTTTTTTAAGCTGCTCACTGGCTGGCCTTTCCCTGACTTTCAGCACCACAGAGCTGTATTTGGTAGTGTGTTGACTGAAGGACTTTTGCCAGATTGGAGTCTGCACAATCTCCCTGATTCTCTCAGAGTCTGCAAGTGACAGATAAGTGTTACTTATAGCTCGCTGTTATCACCAAGTCTCCTTAAAGATATCAGTGTACAGGAAGACACAGAGCTGCTGGACACTTAAAGACGTCCAGTTGAGGGCTCCTTTCTGGCACTACAAGCCCCCCTGACTTTAATTTTAGGTATGTTTAAGAGGGCATCTGTATGTCTAAACTGGAAATCCAGAGAGTGAAGGATCTGTGAGGTTGTTTTGACGGCAGCTAGGTGGATAGACACCAACATATCCACTCAAATACACATGCCTTGTTGGCTTACAGCATCAGTCCAGTGCTGTGAATGCCGAACTGGCTGCCAGCCTAACAAAAGCATTTTCAGAGAGTGATTGTAACCTGATTATAACCTGATTATAATGTGATTAGGCCCACTGTCTGGCCTGCGGGGCACCCAGCAGTGCTGCTGACTCGTACGGTTTCCGTTCCCGCTTCACCACACCTGTCAGGACCGTTCTGATTCAACTAATTAGCTCCCATTATCTAACTAGCTTTTTTTTTGCTGGGCCCACTCCCAGTTACCCAGCCCCTCCCTCACTCCACTGGTCTGTACTCCTAAAACCTCTATCAAAGGCCCGAGGGGGTTTTGTCCAGGGCTGAAAAACATGTTGCATCTGGCTGGGGTGGCATGCCTGGTATTCCTGCAGACAGAGAGGTGCTAGAATGAGGCACAGACTGAAAACAACAACACGATTTGAACACTGTGAGGGTCTAAAGACAAGAACAACAAAACTCTTTCAAATCAAAACTCATTTTTGTATTATAAAACAAAAATAAAAACAAAAATAAAGGTTTTAAAATAGGTTTCTGAGGTCACCACATGTAAAAACTCACTTGACAGCTTTGAAACCACAGATATAGCAGAATCTTTGACAGATAATCCTAATTTAAGTTCCCCTTTTCTACTTCAGGTGTAGTTTTAAAATGAAATAGCATTTTCTGCAGCGTTTGTGCGAGACAACAGTGTAATGCCAACAGGATAACATCCATTAACCCCAATCATGTTGTGTCTTCGTCCCCTTGCAGCAAGCCCAGAGGAGAGCCCTCGAAGAGCAACATGCAGCCAACCCACCGGCAAAAGCGAGCCCAGGGATTGCAGTGTGTGCGCCCCCTTCAGCAACCCTAAAGAAAGTGGTTAAAGCTCCCGCTCCAGCACCTGCTCCAGTAAAGATCCAAGAACCCGTTCCCATCGCTGTCCCCATTGTGGAGACACCCAAACCAACACCTGTTGTCACAGAACCAGTCATAGAGCCCGTCCCTGTCAAGGTAGAGGTACCAGAGCCCGAACCTGTGGTGGTGGAACAGACTCCTGTCGAAGTCCCGGTACCGGTCGCTGAAGAACCAGTAGTTGAGACTCCACCAGTACCAGAAGAGCCCTCGGTAGTTGAGATCGTACCAGAGGCTGAACCTATCATTCCTGAAACAGAACCAGTCACAGAGGTGAGACGCGCTTTGTTTTGTCAGGGGTGCATGCTGGAGGTTCTGTTCTGGGAAGTTTAGAGTCAGTTAAGTCTGACGTGGACTTCCTGAAAGAGTGAGGTGCTGAAACCTCTCATAAGCACCTGTGGGCGCCTATTTTCAAAACATCTACTAGAAGATCAACATGTAATACTGCGAGGCAGGAAACTATAATGAGAGTCTTTAAAGAAATCTTTTCAGGTTAAACTGCAAATTTGTTGAGTTTTTCATGTCAGCCTTTACATTTTTTGGCTTCTCCTCAAGTTGGTGCCATCTTGAAAGAATCAGAAGCCAAAGGGCGCCATGAAATAGTCCCATGTTGGGGTATTTCTTTGCCTGACTTTGGATATTGAACTGCTTGATTGATAAATATGGTTCCCCTTTGCGGATATGAAGTCTCATTTTTCTCTGTTTCTGTAAATGATACGTCTGTGTAAGTGATTTGTTTGGACACAGAGGTTAGACACTGTTTGGTCAAATGGCATGTGTGCAGTAGTGGATTCTTATTGAAGGAGGAGGACATGGTGGGGGGTTGGAGGCAGAGAGAACAACGTGTTCCATTTAGCAAAGAGGTGGAAACTGGGGGAGAGATTGTAAGATCTATCCTCTGATTGGGAGAGCCCTCTGCAGTCATTGTGCTTTACTACCTACAGTAGAAACAAACGTGTTCCATTAAGCTATGTATTTTCTATGATAGATGTTGATCAGGCTGATTGGATAAGATAGAATTGGTGTTTGTTTCCTAGAATTTATCCATATGTTGGTGGTGGTTGTGCTGTAATAAAAGAAAAACTGATTTGAAAAGGTTTGTTGCTCATGCACCTTTTAGAAAAATACGCTTTAAGTTGACTTTGAGTTGTTTCGGTGAAGTAAAATGCTGATAAAGCTATCTGAACTGCATGTTTTATGGCTTTTGGCTCTGCATTGTTGTTGTTTTTGCACATGCTCTCCATCCATCTTGTATTTTTCTCTCTTAAAACTAACACCTGCTCTAGAAAAATCTATACATTTTTTGTTATAAAATCATATCCACATAGTCTTTGTCCATGATTCATGCAGCCATGGTGAACATACACTTTGGGAACAGAATGTTCTGTTCCAGGCAGTAGACTGCAGGCCATGTGCAGACTCACACACATACACACACACACACACACACACACTCGCAGGCTGCGCACTGCACATACATGTACATGCAGCCTGTGTGGAGCAACTCAGTGTACATACCCTCGGAAATGTACACATCAAAATTCATGGTCTTTGCTCCCAGTAACCGAGGGATGACCACATATGGCGCACATGTATATTGGTCACACGTGTGCAAGATTACATGCTGCCCAGGACGGGTGTAAGAGGAGACAGAGGAGGTGTTATCAGTGGTATGGACATTTGGTCGAACTTCTCACTCAGTGCCACGCTCTTCTCCCATTACCTTTCAGTAATCCCATCCAGTTCACATGTGTGATTTCTTTGAGGAAAGGTTTTGTAACCTTTCAGTGATGCAGGGACCAATATAGAAGTTTCTATTGGAGGTAGACTGCCTATCATTGAATGGTTGTGAAGCCCTGGCAGTATCCACCCCCTCCCTCCCTTCTTTTGTCCATTACACCCACCTTCGCTCCCTCCCTCCTTGATTCCCTCTCTCCCTCACTGCCGCTACACCACCTTTCATTTTTCCTCCCTTATTGCCTCGCTTCTTCTGCTCCTTCATGCTTGCAGATGTGCCAGACTCAGCTCAGACGCTCACAAACACAGATGCCCTTTTCTGCAAATCAGCATTGGATGTAGCTGCAAACACATGCAGCACAAACAGAAGTTACTTTTCTCCATTTAGACTTTGAGAGAATTTACACAGTTCCTAGAAAGCGTTTGCCACATATCAAGCTGGAGATAGAGTAGGAGTTGGATGTCAGTCGGGCGTTTGGTTGATAAGTTATCAGAGGAATCAAGGCAGGCATAAATGGGGCTCGTATTCAGCTGGCTTTGGGGCCAAAAAGAGGCGGTCCCTCCGCTTCTGGCTGTCACCACGGAGACTCAGGTGAGTGCGATACCCACCACCCAAATCCACCCGAACTTGTTAAGTGTGCTTCATGTTTCTGTGGCAGTGGGTGTGTCTCCCACTCAGGCTGAACATTTTGTACCAGCTTGCTCCGTCTGTGCTCCGGCTTCCTCACTGCTCCTCCCCCCTTCTTCACTCCCCTTCCCTCACCACTCTCCCTTTTTTTACCCTTTCTCGCCCACTCCACGACTTGTTCATTTCCTTTCTCCTTTCTCTTCCCCCCCTCTTCCATCCTCCTCCTTCTCCTTCTCCTCCTCGCTTCTCCTATCCTAAGGTTTCTATGTTGTCTGCGCACGTGCACTTGTTCATCCATCACTGGGTCTTTGCTGGGAGTACTGGGAGTAGGAATGGCGGTGGGGGGAAGGTGGGATGTGGAGTTCTAAGTTTGGATATAGGGGGTGAACATGTGCCTGTTTTCTTTGTGTGCCTGTATCTGTGTACAGTTGTGCAGCTTAGCCTTTGGTATTTTTGTGCTGAAGAGGGGCTTACAGACAGCTGTCACAACCTTTTAAAAGTCTGTGACAAACCTCTAGTGAATGTATGACTTGGGGTACATTTGCTTTAGCTGTTAGGTAACAATAATAAAAGCTATGTGCGACACGCTGACTAGGACTGTTCAGTGCATTTGATGTGAGAGGAGAAAAAGAGGGAAAAAAGGTCAAAAACTCTGCAAAGTGATATTTTTTATGCTTAGGGACTTGAAATGTTATCACCTCGTGGCAAAGCATGTGGACACCCAACCCCCATCTCCCCTGTGTCCCACCTTCCTCCACAAATATGTACCCACATGAAGCTCACCCCCTCACATTTCCTGACCATATTTTAGGAGAATTTCCTGGCATACTTTAGGGTTTTCTTTTTGAGTGGAATCATGCGCTATTTTTCTGTTTTCATTTCTTATAAATATCCCCTGCATTGAAAAGTGATTTAACTCAAGTACAGTTCTGTTTTCCTTTATTGACATGTAGTTATCTTGCAGAAAAACATGAATTAAGCTTAATTAATTAATTAATTAGAATGAAGTCTTGAAAGATGTAAAATTTGCTCCCTGACTCTAAATTCACTGTCAGGGGTCTCCAAAAAGAGATTGTTGCATTGTTGGTACATTGTGTCCTTTACTGGGTCATAAGGTTCATAAAAAAGAGCTGCTCCAGGATCAGCTGTACTTTGTGTGATATATTTGTCTTAGTTGGACTGGTTAAGTTGGATCCTTGCATAGATCAGCTTTGTACACAGTGTTCTGGTGCTGGGACAGTCAGGAGGGGGCGTGTAAACTTAATGTACACGTGTGTATGTGTGTGAGGGAGTGTGTATTTTCCTATCAAGCAAAGCAAGACATGCAGTATGGTACACCTCCCTCCCTCCCGCCTTCCTCCCTCCTCCTCCTTCTCCTCCTCTCTCCCCTATACCATCCCCCCCCTTCAGGCTATAGCTGGAGCATATATTTACCCTTGTCAACCATACGTGCACTTCTGCCCGCTTTGGCTTTTGTTCCAAAAGTTGTTTGACTCCCCCGGAGGACAGGATTCCTTACCTCCCTGTTGTGCAGCATAAAGAAAGAGGTGGAGCTGGTCAAGAAAGTGGAGTGTAAACATGAGAGTTTAAGCTGTTTTCTTTGAGCGTTTGCTTAGCTGTCATACTTAACTGGACTTTAGCCAAAGCATGAGCCAAGGACCGTGCGTACTAGACATGTCCTATATTGAAGACTGGCTGCTACAAGATAGTCTGAATAATTCAACATCAGACTGTGATAACATGCAATATTTATGTGATGCCACTTTGGTTCAGCACACTTGGATGCACAGTGGGTGGCACCAGTGGCCTTTGACGCCAACTGTTTTTGTTAATCATCAAACAAATCTACAAAAACGGTTCAATATCAGGCCGCAAGTGTCATTAAAATATATTTGTGTTCTGTGAGGAAGGCTGGATGTTAGTGAGGCAGTGCCAGTGAAAAAGAACCAGGTTTTTTATAAGTGCAATAAAGGCTGTTAGTGTTTTCAGTTTGTGTAGACTGCTGGAGTGTAGACCTGATGACGAAGGTACTTTTATAAGGTATGGACAGAAAAAGTGGCTGTACCAGCGCCCCATTATGCAATCGGTTGTTACATTCCCAGAGGATGTATAACCTTCATTTCCAGGCGTCTGAGCTGCAGCTACACACAAACAAGCCCACTCTAAGACTGAGTGCAAATGTGTTTGTGTTTTTGTAGGCAGCTAGTGTGAATTAACAATCCCTCTTGTTTTGGCAACCTCTTCCTTTTTTTGGAACCTGCAGAGACTCTTTTTTTCTGGGTTTTCAGACATCCTGAAGTCATTACAGCTGAAATTTGGCCGACAAACTGTTGTCCAGAAGATCGTTTTGCCCTGAGCACATTTTAAGGACGGGTGTGAGTTTGCACCCCTCCCAAAGTGTGACATTTAAAACAGGACAATAGCAGGAGTGTGAGTGTAGGGCAGAGATTTTTACTGTAATTGCTGTAAAAAGCTTGTGCGTTTTTGATGAGGTACACTTTTTGCAACGCTTTTATTAGATGAAATTCTCGCATATATTTGTGTTCTGACTGTTTTATGTGTCCTAAAAAAACTCTTTCTTTGTCCTTCACAGATCACACCCCCAGCTGAGGCTCCTGCTGAGACAGAGGTGAGACAAACCCGCATGATAAATTCAGAAAAATGCACATTCGATCAGAACCGATCAATAGTCTGTTTGGTAGTTGCTCAAGCTAACCTCAGTTTTTCTATAAAGCATAAAACAGTTAATGCAACACTGAGGTAACCCACACAAAACTAACTCAGAGTTTCCACTCAGGTTTTATTAGTTTTTACCCGCAGAAACCGGACAATAGACAATCCTCCTGATAGAAAAGTGTTTCTGAAAGTTCCTGATTCTTAAACCTCACACCTTACAAATGAAAACCACACTTTGCTTCGGGCCCCTCTTACTTACACAACACAGGTCTCACAACGTATTTAACTGAAATGTAAACAGGAAAAAAGGGACAGAAACAAAAAAAGATTAAAACTCAGATTAAACATCATACTTTCTTAACAGTTTTAAAGTTTTCATAGAGTTAAAGGACAGCTCTTCGCACTCAGAGAAGAAATTACACAAATATTCTCGGCTGATCAAAATGTATTGTTTAGCTAAGAGGTATTTTTATTTCTTGTTTTCCAGATCCTGACAGAGGAGACAAAAATCATAACCACAGAGACTGAACAGGTAAGTCTGATCCTCATAAAAGTGGCATGATTTGACTCAGTCGTGTGATTGGTCGATATAAACCCAGGAGTCCTTCCCTCCTTGTTCCCTCAGGATATTTCCCCAGTATCTCCTTATTCTTAATGTTATGGATCAGCTGTTGTCTATTTGACCAAAGCCCATCTATGTCACTGTGTATGGGTATTCTGATATGATATAAAATACTTTTAACAGAGGTTATATTCACAGTATAATCAGAGTTGATCAACACACAAACACGTGTCTGGCTGTGATTTGTCCCCTTGCTGCATGTTGCATGGTTTTCTTAACGTGTGCCGTGTTGATCTTGCATGTGCAGACGCTTAATGTCTGCGAGACAGAGACTGAAGTGGTGGCTGAGGCCTTGGCAGAGGAGGTCGCAGTCATCGAGGCTGAGGTGGAGGTGGCCGTCACAGAAGACATTCCCGCACCAGAACCAGTGACTGAACAGGCGCCTATAACCGACGAGGAGGTCACAGAAACAGTGGAGGAGATTATCGAAGTGACGCCTGAGCCAGCAGAGGTGGCCGTCTGTACTTTTGCTCAACCCGAGGATGAGGCTGAAGAAGAAGTAGAAGTGTTGGCAGAAGAGGAGGAAGAAGAAGAAGCACCTGAAGTTCCTGCTGAGCCTGTTGCAATAACAGAGGTGCAACACTGGTTTAAACATTTCCTCTTCTCTCTTGAACTCTTTTTTTCCTCTTTTTTTCTCCAAAGAACACAAACTAATGAACTTTTTAAAATATATTTTTAACCTTTAAGCTGTGTGCTGCATGTCCTGTTGACAGTGGTTGGTTATTGTGGAAGTTCACAATGATTCATTCTTTGATCTGTAGCTGCTATCAAGACTTTCCTGAACACTAGTTTTTCATTCATTTGGATTCGTTTTTTCAATCACTTTGTTTTTAGATTATTATGATTAAGTAGAACTTCCACAACAGCTACTTTCTTATCTTTCCTTATTTATTTTTGTCCCTAAATGTTTCAATTAGCAGCAAAAATTTAACAAGATACTTTTGTCTGTTTGCATCAGGATGCTCCTGCCCCAGCTGTGGAAATCGCAGAGGTGAGTTTTAATTACTCTCTCATTTCATGAAGAAATACATGATACAGTATTTTCCACAGTCTTTAATCCATTGAACACTTGTGGTTTCGCATCTCTTACTTAAAAGGAGTAAAACTTCAGAAACTAGACTTTTGTTTTGGGTGCTGTGCTAAATAATGACATGGGACCATCTCTTGTCTCACCAGGTACCAGTCACCCTTCCAGCGGCTGCAGTTGAAGAGGCTGAGGCTCTTGTGGCTGACGTCATCGAGGTAAAAACCTCAAACATTATTTATAATTCTAATTAATCTCCAAACTAAGTTGATTTCTATTTTAAACATGATATCCCTCTCAAGTTGGTGGGCTCAAATGAGTGATCTAGTTCTGAGGCTTCAGAGAAATTCTCCTCCTGGGATGTTACTAATAATGTCTTCAGTCTTTTGTGGGCTGGTTTGAGGGAAATCTAAAATCTTTCTCATCTTGTCCTCTCCCTGTCTCCCCAGGCTCCTCCCGCCACCCAGGAAACCTCTGAGAGCTTTGTCGACGACTTTGTTGTGACAGAATCTGCATCAGCGGTGGAGGTTGCAATCGCTGAGTCAGCTGCCGTGGAGCCGGTGAGGAAGACACAACAACGTTAAATCCCAAATGCATCAAAATATTTACCTTAAATCCTATTTTCTATAATAAATGCATTGGCGTCCAATGCATCTGAAATATCAGTTACACTTTGTGTTCACACTTTCACACGATAATATAATAGTTTGCTGGTTGGGTCGTAAAAAATGAAGTATTGTGTAGTCTGATGAAGTCTTGGTGAAGTTGGAGGACAATGGTCTGGTACAAATGTAATGCTACACTTTTCTTAAACAGGAACCTCTCTCTTCTCTTTACATCTAGGAAATTGTGAAAGTGGCTGAATCTATGGAGGTGACGCCCCCTCAGCCTGAACCTGTTGTGGCCCCCACAGAGGAAATTATCATTGTGAGTCACTCCCAGCAAACTGGTTCAGTGTTTTGAGCAAATGTTTACGCATTAATACTTGATTTTTGTGTGGAATTTAATGGAAAATCATACTCGCTACTAAACAGCAAGTCACAATACTGTCAATGTAACCCTCTGTATCTTACTGCTTTTCCTGTCCAGGATGCCACCCTTGGGCAGAAGTACATGGATGTGATGTCGGAAGAGTTTAAGACAGAAATCTGTGAGATGCCGTGTCAGATGCAGGCCGCTGTAGAGTCTGTTCAACTCAAAACAGTAAGGAAACTCAAAAGGTGCTTTTGAATCTTGTCGAAATAACTCTAAGTGTGCGCTAACCTGATTGTTTCCTGCACAGGAGATGACAGTGGATGCATCGCTGAATGGACACATCGTCTCAGGGGTTTCCATTGAGGGCTAGAATCTTATCACACAGCTTGGAAGAACTTTTGTCTTTGTAAGTGTTCAGCTCGTACTTTAAGGGTTGGAGGTCATTTCTGTAACACTTGAGCTTTAAATGTGTCACATCACTCCCAGCTGTAACTGAGCAGACCTTGTCTCCTTCTTCTCTGTCTCTTTCAGATTCCCCTTTGGTCGTACGGATGGCTCACATCTTCACGGAGTCAGCCAGCAGACCTTTTTTTTGAAATTTTTTTGTAGGGCTTTCGACAGAACTGCCAGGAAATTGAAGGGACATCCACACTATAAAGTGCCTTTCCGGCCCTTGTTCCTGTCAAAACACCATACCAGATGTCAAAATGCCAAGAAGGCAGCAGAACAGACTGTTGTCATTGGTGTGCGGAAATGAAAATAAACATATTTCGACTCATTTTTTTTCAGTATTTCTCCCCAAAAGCACGCACAGTGATTTTGCATCAGTGGTGGAAGCAGGCGTGCTCGAGAGAAGAGGACTCCTAAAACAAAAAAACACGGCAGTGCCTGATACTTTTTGTCATGTCCAGTCTCTCCAGAACATCTGCTTCCACTCTGCAAACACTCATTGCATGTAAAAACTGTACAACCGCTGAACGGGGCTCTGGTCTGAACCTGAGCTTAAGTTCGTAAAAGCGGGAGGGAACACTTGTCCTGTTGATTTTTTGTTTCACATTTCAAACTCAGATTGTCCTCCTCAGGCTCTTTCACTCTCAGAGACACATCTGCAAACTTTCCCCCTTGCCTCCTTTCCTGTCCCCTCTTCTGTCCTCCTCACTGCCTCTATCAAGAGCTCGTTCAGAGTTCTTGATTTCATGGCCATCAGTCTTGGAGATCGACAGTTGGAGGGGATGAGCGGAGGACTTGTTTTTCTGTTTCTTTTATCTCACTTTCTCCTTTTTTAATTTGTTTTGTATAGACTGAATGATGTGATACAGTTTTGTGTTCAAAGTCTGTGCTCTGGAGGGGAAATGAAATGTGAACTGGTCAGGAGAATCACTGTTGGGCAGGGCTGTTGATGGGCTGACTTGATCCACCTTTGAAATAAAGCTGTAACTCATCATGACGCAAGAGTGCTGATGTTTTCTTTTTTGTTTTTTTGTTTTTTCTCTCCACCATTTCAACACCCAGAAAAACCAACATGGGAACTTGTTAGAGAAGTTTCAGGATTTCCACAGGTGGTTGTGTCTCAGTAGTAGAGTGGCTCATCTCGCAATCAGAGGGTTGGCAGTTAGATCCTTGTAACTGGTCCAAATGTGTGAGAATGGGGTCAGTCAATACTGAGGGGAATTTATGTTGGATCCTTTGATATTAGAGTTTGAGTCTTTCCTGAATGAGAGAATGTGAGGAGTCGGAGAAGTAACAGAGAGCTGTTAAAGTGCAGATTATTTATCATTTACTATGAATGAGGCACATGTCTCAACTTTTAACTGTTGCAATCACCACCACTCATGATCATAGTTACGCTTTAGTCATCAACAACTCTGAGAGGTGCTCAGCAGCTCTTGTTCAGACTCAGTTGCTCCAGCAGCTGCTCTCACATTTGTGCTTGTTGTTATTACCACCCCCCACCTGCCACCCTTCAGAAAATGTTGGGAAACTACATTTTTTTTGTCACGGTAGCAACAGGCAGCAGTGAGAAGTATTAGACTTCCTTACAAAGATTGATTTAACTAGGTTTTCTCTGGCATTACTCTTACGTTTTGAGAGGTTTTAAGTATTTAACACAGCCAGGTGATAATACCACTGCAACTGAAAACTACACCCAGGACTTAAAGCCAAAATTAACTTTTAAATTCTCCATCACCGATTAAACAAATCTCCCTCTCGCCTGTGTTAGTATGAATTTCACATAAAACAGCTTGTCTCAATATGAATGTTTGTTATGGAGTATATCAGAAAACAACATGCTTAGCTGGTCAAACTTTGGTGCATACAGTATCAATAAAAACCTGCTTTGAATGTGAACTGTCATTTATTTCTCAAGCTTCAAAAGCAAATTTAATCTACGTCTTTCCACTTCTTACCCATTGTACTCCCATTAAATGATGACAACCGTTTTTAAATGGCAGAGTTTCTGCTGTGAGTGACACAATAAATGAAAGCCTGTTGAAAAGGTCACAGTGTCCTCCTCCCTATGGCACATTGGGTTTCAGCACTTTAGCACCAGCAGGTTTTAGACTCACGCCCACCACACAGAACAGAACAGACTGATCAGGTCTTATAAGGATATATAAAATTTCACTCAGTAAACACATTTAAAGAGCCTCGAGGGAGTCATAAATAAGCAGGCTTTGAAAAGAAACTTACATAAGCTAAAGCGTATTTTGACTTCATGTTTTATGTGCAATTTTGAGCCAAAGATGCTATCTCTGTGAATAAAATAATAATAATAAAAATTAAATTGCCAGGTTGTATAACTGTTGCAGTGGAATCATTTTGAAGCCAACAGGAAATGAGTAGCAAAATTACTTTTATCATTTATTGTAGCTGAAGGGGGGAAGTGAATTAACTAGAAGAATCTCTGAGCTTTAAAAAAAGCCATTTAACAGCATGACAGACATGATTTAACATCGTGACATCTTACAGTATTTTAGCTCAGGAAGGGAGTTTATCTGAGAAGTATTTGAATGTTCACTGGAATTCTCCCATCCAAGCTGTATTTAAAGCTTTTGAAGAAAGAAAAAAAATCATCATCCGTGTTTGTTGCAGCCGTGTATTTAGCTCATCCAGTTGACGTCATATCTGCACGCACTGCACTCATAAATCCAGAGCATAAGCACTCTTATACAAGCCAAATGCTGGGAGATGGTTGCACAAGAACTGCAGAGGAGGTTCATTTTATAATGTTTGGGATGACAACAATGCACACTCATGGTTGCTCTCTCCATTGTTTTCTTTTGGGCTTATCCTGAGGGGTGTCAGAGGGAATTAGTTGCCTCGTGTGTCTGAGGAGATTTGTATTCGCCAATTTCCAGTGGTCATGTCCTCATCTTGCTTACTCATTTATTTATGTAAAATCCCAAACTAAAGATCTTTTGGTTTGTACCCAGTCTGCAGTAGACAACACCAGACACCAGACGTTGTCCAAGGGAGGAAAACCAGTGAACAGACAACAGTGATGTCAAGGGTGGTTAATGCTCACTAATGTGCTTGAGTTCTGTGGTTGGCCCATGTGGTCCAGTCCAGCAGAAGAGCAACTGGATAGGAGTCAAAACACAGTGCATCACCGCTTGTTGTATATGGAGCTACATGGGCGTAAACTGGTCAGGATGCCCATGCTGACCCCTAATGGGCACGTGGAAACCAGAACCTGACCACAGGGCGCTGGAGAAGAGTGAAAGGTGAAATGTAACAAAGGGTTCAAAATTTACTTGGTTTTCAGGGTTTTTTGGGGTTTAATTAACTTTTATAACTCCAGCAACTTAAACAACCTATAAAAGTTCAGAAAGAACGGTGCTTTATGTGAACTAAAATATACAATAAATAAACTAATTAAGCTTTATTTAACAGTGGTGCTGAAACTAAAAGTGGTTAATTATGCTAATAACTTTATATATTTGTATAGCTGTAATAATATCCGAAAGCACGTCTGAACAATGCCAAAAAAGAACAAATAAATGAATTCAAACAATGACAGAAATAAAGCTGTCAAAGGGCCTATAGTCTTTGATGCCCTTTTTAAAAGTACAAAAGTTCTCCATTTTTTACAACCTAAACTAAAAAGAGCTATCGATTTAAAGCTTTTTTTGTACAAAAAAATAAATTAATAATTTGAAAAAAAAAGTTTATTTAAGTAAAACTGGTACTAAGAACTTGTTTTGATGGCACACTGATGATTTCTCCATGAATGTTTAAAACTGAATAAAGTTGTACGAGTTATGCGTTATAAAATTCAGAATTCAAAAGACGCTGTTAGTTTATCATTAAGGGTGTAATGCATCATAAACCATACCTATAGAAGACACTATGCTGACTGTTTATTACACTTGGTAACACACGTGTCACCAGAAAAACTAAATGCACAATTTTAAAAGGAAAAAAATGAAGATCGAGATTTTTGTGCTTCCTGTGATATGTCTCTGGTTTATATTGCTAAGTGGATGTGGTAAAAGGATGAAAAAAAAGACACTCAAACAGATCACATGTTTTTTTAATTTTCTTTTTGCACTGAAATCTACATTCATATTAGTTATGATGTAATTTGGTACAGTAAACACTGCTGATGTGTAGTTTTGCGACCCCCCTCCCCCCTTCTTCACACTGATCATACTGTCAAAGAGACTTCAACTAAAGTTCAAGCATCAGTTCATCTCTTTTTTTTTTTTCTTACTTAGGTTGACTGGCCCCTCATGTTGGAAGTCTAACAAAATGTCAAAATGCAAAACAGAAGCAACAACATGGGAGCAAAAAGAAGAACAACAAAAGGACAGACTGGACAGAGAAATGATAAACACATACTGCCGAACAACAAAGAAGATATTATATATATATTTATATATTTGTAAAAGCACATTCGTATTAATAACAGATGCTTTGGAATGAAAACAGCAACAAAGAGGCTCACTGTGATCAGCTGTCCCACTTGCACTCAGCACATTCCACTATATATTATCTGCAAAATTTCACTTGTGCCATTTAAATGCATGAATACATGTCATCAGAACCCCCTCCCCTCCCTCAAAACACAATAAATAAAAAAAAAAACAAGTGATTTGATTGGTCCATGAGGTAAAATGTGAAAAAAATAGCATGAAAATTGGAAAGATTTTGGAAAATACAAAATATTGACAAAAACAAACAAAAAAAGTGTTAAATTAAGAAAAGATTGTGATTGCAGACAAGAAAGCATGATGCCAAAAAATTCATTCTCAGTCCTGGCTTACACACACACACAACTGTAGAGGAAGCCAGGACTTATCAACCGCTCCGGCTGTCGTCTTCTCAAAGCCACTTAAAGGAAAATCATTTCATCTTTACAATGAAGTGATGATGAACAAAAAAAGGGGCGAAGAAAAACACCAGAAAGATTAAAACCAAGAGCACGATAACATATTCTCTTTTCATTCCTTCACTTTTTGATCTCCTCCTATGCACTGACAAGAAAACAAGTCCAATGAAGTCTGTGCAGGAGGCGGCTGGGGCTAACAGAGACACAGAGAGGAGTTAATAACAATAGTGGTGATGAAAATACTCGAAAGTAACAGGGAATGTAGAGGCATGGAGTCTGCCACGCAGCGTAACCAGGCAGGTCGACTCTTTTCTGATTCTGCTACAAGAAAAAGAGCACTTGAATGAAAAAGAGCCCCCCTGCCATGTTTGGACTACCCTGGTTTGATATCACCTCCCTCCTCTCGTGTGGAGGTTCAGTGTGGGAGAGCATGCAGTTAGCTACACAGTATAGCCTGAGTGGGTGGAGTTAAAAGAGCACTTCGACAACAACAGACCGCCCGTTTAGGGGTTAATACAGGGCTCCGCAACTAGTCCAGCTCCTTCTGCAGAAGTTCAGGAAGCATCGACCAGAGGAGTGTGTGAGTGTGTGTGTGTGTTGTAGAATTAACAATAATGATAGAAGCAGCACTAGTAGTGTTCAGCAGGCAATAGTCTCTGTCTTTTTTTTGGAGAGGAGACGGCTCAGGAGCAAACTCGATCAAGTTTTCATGGGTGTTACTTTCTGTGTTTCAGAGTCCCTTTTCTGCGTTTAAGACAGGAAGAAAAGTTGCTTTTGTCCGTTCGATGCTGTGGCTGGTGTGTTTCCAAGATTCATCAGCTATTTAATCGAGGCAACAACAAAAAAAAACTCAACATTCAGATATCCGTAGACGTCATGGCTGGCATGCTGAAATTTTACAAGATTGCCGTGTTCTGTATTTTTTTTTTTTCAAACCACACAGGACTGCAAAAGTGCCCAGCACAAATGACAAACCTAGAAGCCACAGTTAAAATATACCAGCAAATTATCAGTGTTGGGTCATTAAATCTTTTTTTTCCTCGTCTTCATAATCACGTGTTATCGTAAAGGTCCTTGTGTTATCTCATCTCTTTCCTTTTCTTCTTGTGATTGTCGCCCATTCCCCCCTCCTAATGTTTGCAGCACCACTCAGGCATTGGTACAGGTAGGCAGTGAGTTTAAGAACGATCACAATGTTTGTTTAGCAGTGATGGGTTTTTCACCACAGCCAGGCATGAGGCGAAAGGTCTTTATCCTTGATCGTGAGAACAGAAGAAACTAAAAAGGGACGAAAGGGAGTGAGGGAATGGTTGGAGAGGACACCTCTCAGAGGCTCTGCGCCCCCTAAGGCCCAATGTGGGCTCAGTCCTGTCCAATCTGGCCTGGTCTGAACCTTGTTTGGTCAAACCAAAATCCAGTCTAGTCTGGTCTGGATGAGTCCAGACGAGGTTTTTAGAAGAGTGCTTTGGATCCCTGGTTCTCGAACTCTGACCAGGCGTCATTCAGTTCCATGAAGATCATCTTAGCGTAATGTTCGTAAGGCTTGCCTGTAGCCTGCAGAAAGAGACAGAGAGAGGGAACATTAAAAATCATCCTGGACACTGCATATGTGACATGTCAAATCTTGCTTTAACAGGCATACCTTATCAGGGTGAACGACCAGCACAGCTTTCCTGTAGAACTTCTTCACCTGATCAGGCGTCACAAGGTCAGCCATGCTCACGGGCCTCCAGCGGGTTTCTCCCTCCCACAGCACCGTGTGCAGGGTCGACAGCAGCGCTCGGATGTTTCGCTCTTTGCCTTCGATCCAATCCAAGATCTGCAACAAGATCATATATCACTACCTTAAAATGCTTGGGGGCTTCCACCGACAGCCATATTTGGTGTGGCACCAAAGGAAACACAACTGACAGTCGCTCAAAGGAAAGCAATAGCATTCACCTCATTGCTGGCTAAGAGACTGATTCTATTCAACTGGATAAAGGCAACACCGCCATCTCACAAACGATGGATAGAGGAGGTGATGGCACACCTTAAATTAGAGCATCTTAGATTTACTTTGCCCGGCAACACTAGGAGATATTTTAGGGTCTGACAGCCTTTTATTTCCTATTTTGAACACGAGTTTTCTTCTGCTCCAACATATTTGGCAGCTTTTGACACCCCACCCCCCCTTTTTTTTTCTTCTGTTGCTCTCCTCTTTATTATCATAATTTCTGTTATTGTTACTGTCATCTATTCATTTATTTATTTCTAACTCGAGAATGTTTGAAAAACAGGTTGTGGGTATGTCTTTGTCTGGTACCGGTATGTTTTGTTATGGTCTTGTTTGTAGTTTAGACCTGTTTTCGTGATTTATGTTTCGTTCAGAATGAGATGTTTGTTTGAATATGAAAAACGAAAAATACTTTGATTATTAAAAACTTGGGGGCTACTTTGACCATCAGTCTGTTTGACAAGAATCAAAGAATCCCATTTTGTCCAGTAGTTTTTGTCCTGTAGTTTCATGCAGTGCATTGTTGTAGTGTTTTTTACATGATTAAATCACTATTAAAGCTTTCTTATACATGCATTGGGATGTATACAGCGACAAATAAAACCTCAGAAAAATGCAAGAAGGGTGAGTGTATACTGGACAGTGATAATTCATAAAAATAAAAAAAAACCTGCCAGTTGATGGCAAATGCAAAAAAAAAAAGCATGTGATCCTCTTCACCTGTAGTTTCAGTGGATCGATATCTTTAGTGATCTCCTGCCTCCTCATCTCAGCGATGGTCCTCGGTCCCTTCCTATCAGGCTTAGAGGCAAAACCCTGAGTTGACAACAGGTCCTCAAAATCGTCCTCCTTCACCTTTGGCTTTGGGCCTAATATTAAAACAGCAGAGAAAAATAGAGCTCATGAATGGGGATTATGCAGCAATGTATTCGACTAACATATACATAATTATGTTCTTATTAATGCCAAGCGCAGTCTTTTGTAAGCAAAGGAACACCATCATTCATCAATTCAGCACGAATAAAACATAAAAAATATCCCCGCATCTGCTATCACATCAGAACTCATGTCTCTTACCAAATCCAGGCCCGCGGACTCCCCTCTCCTCTCTCCCCCCGATGACACTGGAGAAGTTGAGGTTGTAGTTGGGTTTGGTGGACTGCGCACCGGCAGGCTGAGGCGCTGAAGAAGCTTTGGGTGTAGTCCCAGATCCTGATCCGTGCATCCATGGTTTGTTCTGGGCTGAGGTGGGTCTTCCAGACTGCCAGGCTTGGGCTTGAGGCTTTGCAGAGGAGGAAGAGGCGGATGAAGTTGGAGCCTTGGCGTTAAAGGAAGGCCCGGAGAAGTTACCGCTGGAGGAACCTGCAAGAAAGAAAGTGGAATAACACATTTATAAGTGAAGATTTATCCTTGTATGGACCCTGCTTCTTCTACTTTAACGAGGGGAGCTTGTTATTAGTGCACACTTCAAAAACCAGCTTACAAGGATGCATAAGTGCCTGTGCCCATTTATGCACGCATTTATAACTCAGCAAGAAGACAAACCACATTCTGCACACATTACAACAACATGGCTCTGTAGAAAAAGAGTGTAGGTGCTAAGCTGGCCTGCTTATAGTCCTGACTTGTTACTGATTGAAAACATTTGGTGCATTATGACAAAAAAAATGAAGCTGAGCAGCTGAATTCCAACGTCAAGCTAGATTGGGACAAAATTTAACTTTCAACACTCCAGGAACTGTCTCCTAGGTTCCCAAACATTTACAGAGCGTTGTTAAAAGACGAGGTTACGCAACAAAATGTAAACATGCCTCTGTCTGAACTGTTTTGAGAGATGCTGCTGGCATCAAATTAAAAGAGGGAAATAAAAGAGTACATTTTTACAGCTTCAACATTTGATTTGATTCATCGTCTTTGCACGTTTTAAATTAACTGTAGGCTTAAATGCACAGTGAAAGGTTAAAAGTTACTTGACTACTTCTGTTTACAATAAACAATAGCTGCGAGCCTTTTAACTATCAGGCTTAACACTTTAACAGTTATACTTTTGCATTTCAAAAATCACTCAGATTTAACATCAGTTCATTTTCCAGAAACAACACTTTCCATAACAGCCTCTTACCTGGTAAATTGGCGCCGAGGTTTCCTAAATCGGCAAAAGGGTCAAAGGTCTGGGACTTGGCCTTCGACATGGATGACATACCAGAAGCTGCAGACACAGTAAAAGTGCGTGAATTAGCTCTGTTGTTTTTAATCTATCAACATTTATCATTACTAATTGATGTAGATACACAATCATCCACTGAATTGTTGATTCATAAACACAAATGTCTCCATGAAGTAAATCCACCTACTTGTATTGGTGTAGTTTGGTTTGCTGGTGGTGGCGCTCATGCTTGCGGTCGTGCCAGCTGCCCAGCTATCCCAGCCACCCAGCAGATCTGGCTGGCTGGCCGATGATGTCATCTTAGGGGCATCATTCACTATCTTATCTGTGAAGCAGCAAAAGTAGCGAATAACCTCAACTTGGTTTTGTTTTTCTATTTTAGCTGTTCAGTTTGAATACCTGACGAGTGTTTGAAGCGAATGTTTGCAGAAAGGAGCGGTTTGCCCTGTAAAACTGGTTTAAACTTTAGATGCTGCAGGGAGATTTGTTGCAGCAGAGTCAAAGATACGTTGTGTGCATTTATTTGTGTGTGTTTTCACTGAGAACAGACCGATCTGATACGTCAGCAGAGGAGAGGTGGCGTTTTGGACTTACTGAGGTTGAAGAGGCTTGTGTTGGAAGCAGGGGTGGCACTGCTGTGAGCTGAGCTGAACCCGCTGGTGGCTGAACTATCAGAACCCAACAAGTCTCCAAACAGGTCTGGTCCAGACGCCTGACGAGAGGAACCCACGCTGGAACCAACGCCGGAGCCAGACCCCATTCCAAACGGGTCGAAAAGGTCACCCATGGCTGAAACACAACACACAGTGAGCATGAGGACAATGCATCAAGGTTGGATTCTTTTTACAATAATGCAGCGACATTGTGAAGCCTCAACCCTCACGTTTTGAGTCTGGAGTGGCCACACTAGCCGGACCGCTGAAGAACAAGTCTTCCTGCACTGCTCCTGTCTGACCACCAGGGGGTGCAAATAGATCATCGAGGAGGTCACTGTTGCTGGATGCAGCTTTCATTCCTCCCTGGACTCCTTGAGTAGGAGCTGGACCGGGAGTTGAGGACATGGAGGGGGGTTGAGGGTCAGCATTTAATCCTAAGAGGTCAGCTGTGTCTCCCATAGGGGACTCCTGGGCGGCTGGAGGGGGGTTCTGAGGAGACACATGAAGAAGAAATAGGCATTAGATGAAACTGGCAGTCAAAGCTGACAAAATTTGAGCATTGAAATTTAAACTTAAAGATACTGAAATCCCTTATTAGGATTAAAAACAGCAGTTTTATAAAAGAACTCTTTGTCCTGAGAGATGAGCAACGCTTGGTCTCAACTCTCAGCATGCTTTATAATAAACAACAATAACACATCCATAAAAGGGTAAGCTCTGGCTTTTCAAACCTTGGAGACCCAAACAGGATCACCCAGAACTGATCAAATAAATTTAATCAAAATAACAGAAATACCACACGTAATGAAATGATCTTTTCAGTCTTTTCAAGTCTTTTCAATATTGGTCTTTTATGATTCAACTCAGGTCGGTATTTGAATAAAGACATGTCTTAATCAAAGCACATAACACTGCCAGGGGATGTGTTCATTTCCCAGAGTCCCAAAATGCTGCACCAGGCGGCCACCGCTCAGTGTTTTTCAACCAGAGATCTCTGTGCTCTAAACTGCTGGTCTCTTGTGAAAACACTGATCTGTGCGATGCTGGATTTAGAAGTCAAAGTACCATTTGCCAGTGGACATTAGGTCACAGACAAGACGCACTCTGTCTGCTATACTACTGGACTTTGAAAGGCTGCAGTGTGATATACAAGCTTAGCTGTCAGATTAAATAAGGTGAGTTAAAAGGGAATATGATAATGCAAATAATACACAAAATGGCTACTTGGCTTTCTTTTTTTTTTCATTACAAAAATGTTTTTGATCTATTAGAGTTGTTTTTGGTTCAGCATGCATTTCCAGCCTTGTAAAAATAAGATCAACTGGGTGTTTATATCTTGCTCTGAGAAAAATAAAACCCTTACTTTGTGCACTTATCTCATCCAGACCATTCTGTTACAGTGACATACAGAAAATACTGGTCTAAAATTCAAGAGCTTTTGCAACACAGAATGAAAACTATTACCTGATTCAAAACTGATTAATTTCAGTTAAAAAAATCTAGGTCTATGTGTTTTGAATGTCTGGGGTCACCACAGTTTGGGACATCAAATCAGGTCACATGCCAAAAATGAGGTCTCTAAGGGGCCTCTCTCACCCAAAGTCCACTGAGAAGGTGCGGACCAGAAACCACATGTTTACATTGTTGCATTTTGCATTTGGTCAGGCAAGCGTTCACAGGGGACTTTCGCTGAACGAACCAAATGGTTAAAAAAAAGAGGCAAAATTACAAAGAAAAATTACTGTCTGTCACTCGCTCATTTGGGGCACAATCTTCATTGTCCCACAATACACAGAGAGTGGCCGACCAGAGAGAACAAAGGGTGTCTTGCTTCAAACAATTCACCAGAGGTGGCGGAGACATTGTGCAAGGAGACACGGGGCATTAATGCAAAGGAATGCCTTTAACACATTGTCAGCATGTTTGTTGAACAGAAGAACACCCAGGTATTTAATATTTATCACCCGACTACTGGATGATGGATTAGAACACAAACCCTCTGCTTTACGGACAGTCCGGTGTTTTGACCGGCTGTTCTCCGTCTGCTGCAACCTCCGGCCCGGAATAATTTCCCAGATTTATTACAATGTAAATGTGTTATTGGTTTATACTGACATATAAAAAGTCTGTCTGTATCAGCGCTGCTTTCACATCCGCCATGGACCGGACCGTGGTTTGTTTAAAAGGGGACAGAGTCTAGCATTTTCAAGAGGACCATGGTTCGTTTGTTTGATCCAGACCACGGTTCGCTGGCACGTTCATACCACCTGGACCAAAGGATTAAGGGGACCATGGTCCTTTTAGAACAAACCACACAGTCCTGGTATGAATGCGCCCTTAACCAAAGTGCATAATAAACTAGTGTTGTGATGGTTTAGTAAGATGTATTTATCCACACCTGGAAGTCAGCATCAAACAGTGGTTCGCTGGGGTCACGTGACAGCGGCTCCCCACCGGGCGCAGAGTAAGAGTAGGACTCTCCTTCTGATTGGTCACTCAGCTCCTCCGGGTCGTTCATGGATCCTCCTCCTTGACTTTCATCCTGAGAGCCGCGCACATCTGGGAATACGAGAAACTGGTCAGTCAAGAGTCAATGCTCAGTTTTCCTTAGGAGCATCTGCTTAAACAACACAGATGAGATACTCTTCACTCTGCACAGAAGCAGTGAACTGATAATCATATGATAGCAAGAGGTTGAGGGTCATGAGTGTGGTACCTTCCCAATCCAGAGTCTGGAAGAAGTTGTTTGCGTTGCTGTCTGTGCTCACAGGAGATTCTGGCTCTGTTGCACCGGGTCCTTCTGGAGTCTGAGCCGGTTGAGGAGCTTCTGAGTCATAAAACGCTGATGAACCTGGCTGACGAGGCAGCTCGGGCTTACCTGCAGAGAGCGGGGGGTTAACATTTAGTCAGAAGGTCCAGGTAGCCAAATAACTCCATGACCCAGAGCCTGGCTCTCACTCACCAAATTTACTGAGAATCTCCTGCTGTTCATCACGGGAGCTGAAAAGGATTTTCGGGTTGAGGCCCTTGGTTTGAAAGCTCTCCCAAGGTGGGGTCTTGGCGCTTGGTCTGTCCCTGGGCTCCACCTCGATGTCCAGGTTGACCTGGAACAAGTCTGGGTACTTCTCTTGGATATCACAGGCGTCCAAGTCGTACCTGACAAGTGACAGGATAGTTTTAAAATCCAAAACTCTTACGTAGGAGACAGTACAGTGCAGGACAAAGGAAACCAGGGGCTTCAAGTGGCAAAGATCTTGTATTTGTGCATTTGTTGCTTACTTTGCAAACTTGACAGTGGTCGCATTTCTGGGGACAAAACCTGTGTGGAATTGGATCTGGAACATCTTCATGGATGCCATCTACAACACAGCAGTAGAGAATTTAACCCATTTAACACTGTCTAGACAAAGAGGCACAGAATCTGCTTATAGCTGATGGGTGCTTGTGTGGGTAAGTACCTTGGCCTGAAGACGTCCTCCCAGTGTAGATCTTGCATGATAGATCACCACCAGGACATCTCCTTGGACTGTCACATTGAGGGGAATCTCCGCTCTCCCATCCTCTATTTTAAAGTCCCTAGATAGAGTAAAAAATAACAGAGGAAATTTATAACAGCAAACCAACACATCAAAGAGGATACCCCTTTAATCTAGGCACAGCTTCAGACTCACTTCATCTTGTCGTACTCTTGTGATGTGGTGAGGACTCTCTCGTCTCCGACATAAACTTCACAGAACGGCCTGCACCCGTTGCGCTGCTTGTTGAAAAGCGGCACTGGTGTCATGACGATGGAGCGGATGACAATGGGCTTGCTGTGAGGGATGATGGGCTCCTCTGCCATCATGTCGCACATATACTCGATATACCTGCGATTGAAAAACATTAACCAGGATTGAGTGCTGTTCGCTGAATATGAAAATGGAAATAAAACAATTTGTCTTTTCAAACTACCTATTAAACAATACACCTTTCAACAACTTATACACTATGTGTGTGTGTGCTTTCTTACCTCTTGTGTGAGGGTGCTATGCCAGGTGGGCAGCGTTTCATTGAGAACATGTAGACAGCAGCCTCAGCTGTGGTGAAAAGGCGACAGAAACACAGAAAAGAGCAAACGGCCACAGCTGATGCTGCCCTGCCGTCCTACAAAGAGAAAAGTCAAAAAGTTCAGGTACTGCAGGTGTTTCCCTTCTTCATCTTGTTCTGCTGTGATGCATGAAGGACCAAGACATCATTTGTCTTTATCATCCATCTACTTACCAAGCAGTGAACTATACAGATGTTCCTCTGGTCCTGTTTGAGCCATAGGTGCATGTTCTTGCACACACTGTACAGACTGCGGAGGTTAGGGGCTCGGCGCACCTGCCAGTTACACTCTGAAACCTGCACACACAAAAACGCACAAACATGAATCCAGCAGGAATACTATACAGCCGCACACACGAGAAAGATAGTCTCAAAAACTGTGGCAATGATATGTTTGACAGTGGAGAAGACAGAAAAACAACACCGACAAACTGCCCACACTCAGCAGCAATGACTCACCGGCGTTGTAGCAGAGAATTTTGGTCTCAGTCTGATCTACATCCTACCCTGAACAAGATTCGGCATGCACACAGAAGAACACACAAACATTGGCCCACAGTGCACACACAGAAAGACAAGCTTTGTACCCTGTTGTGAAATCGAGAAGGCCTGTATGAGCGTTTGGAGAGGTTGTATACAGCGTAGTGCCCAGCATGACGTGAATCCAGGAAGAGACGGACGTCCTCAATGTTGTTCTTTATCGCTGATTCAACCCCCTCTGCTGGGAAGGACATGACTGCACAAACACAAAGGTTTTTTTTTATCAGTCACCTTTGACAAAATCATGTAAGAAGAGGATTCTAAAAATATAAGACTTATATAACTGTAAATGTCATAAGTACTGATATAAATGCATGTTATACCTATTTGTCATTGTGTATTGTGTATATTTAATGTATTGTTTCTATGTTTTTAAACATCTGCCTTAGGACAACGGATTAAAATGAGCAATTATGCTAACTCTGGCATATTTACATCGATGCTTTTGCTGACATGTCACTTAATGTGCTAATCAAATAAATAAAATAAATATATGAATACATGAAGATCAGTGTGTGTACCTGCTATTCTGGAGGTGATGTATGAGATATCCAGGTCCCCTTTGGCATAGCTGTAAGATAAATCCAGAGTGTGCTTGTAAGTGGATTTGGTATTGAATGCATTAAGGAGGGAGAGGCACAGATCACTACAAAGTCAAAATTTAATTGATTCAGGATTAGGAGAGCTCACAGCAATTACATCTACTTATCAAGGTGAAGAAACAACGCTAAGTCACAGTGTTAAATTACATTATGTTTAAAAGACGGCACAGTGCTGCAGAAGTTATTTTTTAATCAATATCTGAGTGGACATCTTTATCAGAGGTATTTATCAGTATGGATAGAAACTCGTTTTGATGAAGCCGCAAACAAATGTTGAGTTTTAAACGAGCACATGCATGTGGCAGATGGAGGAGGACCCTTTCTGCTCACAACTCCTTGGTTTATGAAGTAAAAAGAAGGACACACTGGATTTCATCGCAAAATAAATCACATGAGAATTCTGGAAAATTCAATGGTTGACACAAACAAGCCTTTCTGTTAAATTCAAGATACTGCTGTGACTGTATGGTGTCAGGACGGACACGTGATGCTGGTTAAAGCAAAGCTAAAGCTGAGATGGTGATTTAGTAAGCAGTGGAGGTGTGTTACGACCTTGCAGCCACCCTTCATTCATTCACTCAGTCATTCAAATTTGGCTACGTCTCAATTTGGCGTTCACTCTTGGAGTTACTCTTTGGAAAATTCACTAAAAAGACTGGAGCGCAAATATTCTTCAGCAGTAAAACTAAAAAATAAGAATCCATTTCTAAATATTGTGCCAGCTTTGACAAAATGAATTTATCTGGTGCAAGTACAGGAATAGTTGGGGACTTCAAAAGTGATGAATGACTAAAATTTGTGAGAAAAAATTAATAAAAATGAAACCAAAGGCAGAGGAGAAATGCCAAAATCAGAAAGGGGAATGAAGTCAGCTAACAGATGAGTTATTTTTAGTCAACTAAATTCAACGTATAAATGGTTAAAATAGATGGAAATAATAACAAATCAACAGAAAACGTAGTTGCTGTGACTTAATCAAAATAGATTAAGTGTGTTAATGCCTCAAACTAATGGACAAACAGTTGAAAAAGATGGAAAAAAACCACCAACACCATAGTAAAGGGAATGATGGTGAGCTGACAGGAAAAGAGGGATTTGGTTAAAGCGGTTAAAATTACAGGTAGTATTTGAGACAGGGCTGGCAGGGTCTGACAGGAAAAGGGTGACAGACTTTGAGTTTAGACTATGATGAGGTACCTTGCAAATTATACAGAGATGGAAATAAGATGATTGCTAACGTCAGTGTTTGATTTTAATTTATTCTAAATCTTGCAAAAGGGGTGGGACTAGACAAATTTCGACTTCCTCCCACTCCATTTTGAACATGCAAATGACACAATTAATTGACTCTCTGCTGGTTTTGTTTTCTTTCCGTTTTTTGTGTGTTTATGTCTTTAATTTGTACCATGTTTAATTGTCGTTCATGTTCAAATAAATTCTATTAACGATAGTCTTCTTTACCATGCAAAAAGGATGTTTCAGTTTGCTTTATCGGACTCTCCATTCACTCCTCAAATGAAATCTTCGCTATCACACTCTGGTTTGCACTCATTCAATTGAATTATTGAATGCTTCATGTTAGGATCAGCAAGCTGTGATGACAAGACACGGCACAGCGAGAGACTCGACAGGGTTTTTTTTTTTTTTCTTCCTCTAAATCAAACACAAACTACAAGACCACACAGAGCAACGCATGAGATGACGCACTTCTCCGACCCGTATTTACCTTGGGTTGCTAGGTGATGGACACATAGTGGGACCATGAGGGATTGGGACAGAGAAAAGAAACAACAACAAAAGAAATAAACAAAACCACCAAACAAATGGGACAAACCGATGACATGACAACAAAATGAAATATCAGACTTTAAAATGATAAAAACAGAGGGGCTGATGAAGGAACACTTTGCTCATTTCAACCTCTGAACACAATGCCTACAGAGACTGCCTGCCTGCAATATCAAATTTTAACAACTACTGAGTTAGTCTAATGAAAAAGTAGACAAAATCTAACATAACTTTCATCTTTCCTTTCAGATTTATAACTGCAAAATCAAGTAAAAAGAACACTTCAGAGGGCAAAGCAGCAAAATGTTCCTATTAAAAAGGTAAATCCTGGGACTGGGAGGTTTGAGCGTGAGAGGGAACAAATTTACAAATGCATTATTCTCAATATTTACTCAGTTGTTCAAAGTCAACTGAGAAATAGTCTCCTAAAGTTAATGATAAGGCAACCTCAAAGGTAAAAAAACAAGAAAATGAGAATCATGGGATAAATTTAGCAACACATGATCATGTGATGCCAATCGAGGGAGAAACTGACAGTCAGAAAGAAAAAAAGTAAAAATGATTCAACTGAAATAAAAAAAAATCTAATAATTGCAAAAGTGACCATCAGGGTAACACGGTAGGAGCGCCTTACCTTGCTACTGACTGGATGACCTTAGATGAGGTGTCCTTGATGTTTGTCAAGAAGCGCTCCGTTCCTCCTCGTAAGATATCCAAGAGGCCACTGCCCGACTGATCCGGGTCGTATATACCTGTAGGCATCATGGGTAACGCAGAGAATGCTAAGTATGCTTGCTTTAGCTGAGCACTTGACATTAGGTAAAGCTACAGAAAGCAGTGTCAATATTTAATGACAACAACACCATGCACACCATCTTTGCATGAAACAGGCTGCAAAACACACATTCATTATCTGTCTATTGACATAGTTAATGACTCTAGTGAAACATAAAACTGTTAGCTAAGCTGTAATTAATAATATAAGCTGTGATAATGTTGAGGTCTGGCCAGTGTTTGGTTGTGGAGTAGTAATAAAATTCATTGCTGTGGTGATTTGATAGAAAAAGGAGCAATAAAAAAGTTTTGAAGCTGCATGTTTTGAACTCGGCACACTTGTCATGCATCCCAGAGCAGCTATGCTCAAACCTAGGACTGAAAATGTACCGATACTGAAATTAACAACAATAACCGTCGTCATTTCGTCCATATCGGTATATTCTGTGTCAAAAAAATACATAAATAAAAGTTGGTGTGTGTAGGGGGGCTCTGGTCTCATATCCCTTTAAGACGCTGTCCTACATCAGAGACGTGACTCCACCCCATCCAGTCCATAACAAAGAGGGAAAGATTGGTGAGGAGATAGAGGACAGTTCAAAAGTTGTAGTGGCTGGAGTGGCGGCTGAGGTAGAATAAGTTAATGTGGGAGGGGATGAGCAGCTTGTGGAGCAGTGATCGTCCATTTATAGTTATCGAGGTGAACTGCTCAATATGTCATGATATTGATTTGAGGCCATATCGCCCAGCCCCACTCAACCCTCAAGTTTTTTGGGTCTGCCATGCCCAGTGCTCTTCATTCTGCTCAGATAGGAGAGGATTCAAGGGAGAGTAGCATCCACTCACATCACACAAATTTCACTGAAACTTCATAACAGTACTGGAGTTACAGACTCTAAGGAGTGACCTGAGACACGACATGGACCTCGTCTGTCGGTAAATTGTCAACGATAGTTTGTGATTATGACTTGGAGCTATACAAACGAAACCAGATTGATACGTTAACTGCCCTTCGTGGAGATAAGAGCTCATTTATTTTCTTATTGCTGATCGTATGAATGGACAGCGAACCCAGTGATTCCTCACATCAAAGAGCAAACGTACTCTGCTTTTCGACAGATGGTTGACCGGCAGTGAGGAAATCCTCTTAATGGACAGAGCCTGCATGTGTGTATGGATGGGTATATGATAAGCCTGTTACGCTCACTTAAAAAAAAAAAGAGTAAAAATTAACAACACAAATAAGATTATCATTGGCTCCTTTGAACTCAGTCCTCTGCATCAAACATAAAGCAGGTATTTCTATGATTTAAATGATCACAGGATTTGTTTTCTCAACTTAAACTCACACAGTTAAGCAAATAACCAGTCCTGTGATTGATCATTTACTATTCTGCTGCACATCTATACTGAAAGAAAAGTATAAATCAAGCACAGCAGCCACCAAAGTGGGGATCACACAAGTTAGGATGTGAAACAGAGTGACTATTAACAACAAAAACCAGCTGATCGTTACAATCAATGAACAAGATGAGGAGTAATTTCGGGAGTAGGATCTCTCGTCATGGCAGGACATTTTTAGCACATTGATGGAAGTCTGTAAATCATTATCACATAAAGATTAAAAAACAACCAAGAGCTCTTTTTTTCCTCAGGAGGAGGAACTCTCTGGTTACCTCACACTGCCCTGGATCCACAGAAGCTGGAGTGTCATGTGTGTGTGTTTTTGTGTGTCAGCAGGGTGGTCAGTGGAGAACGAAGCTGATTACTCATTGCCTTGTGTGACTCTCAGTGATATGGGTGAGATATGGAGGGAGGGTGTCTGGGGTGTTTGGTTTAGATGAGCGTGTGAGAGGGGGCATGTATATCTGGTTAGGCTAACTCAATATGAAAGGACAAAAATCTTTAATTAGGAATAACTGATCAATATTGCAACAAAGGGTGTTGTGTTTGCTGATGTTTCCTCCCGTGTTTGTGATTAGTCAACTAACCTGAATTCAAATTGATTCTCTAAACAGTGGTGCTGGCCTTTCACACATAAAGCTCTTCCTCCCCCTTAATGGTCACAGCTTTTCTCTCCCTGTTTTGCCATCATTCTCGCAAACCATGACGCTGCCACCAAATTTACACAAAATAATTTGCTGCTAGCTGTGGTTTTATCTGCCTGGCCAAATGGCAGACATGCCTTGCCCACAAATGCAGGGCTCCATCTGATAAGTGAAATGTTAGGATCCTGTGAGTGTTAATTGTGGGACACTCACATGAAATCGCATCTTTTTAAATCACTAAATTTCATGGAGTTTGAGTTTTTAAGCCAGTTTATGTTGCGACTGATGAAAATGTTTAAATAATTGAGCCCTTTCCCAGACGATTACAAGCCAGGAGCTGTTGAATCAAATAGTTCAGTCAGTCAATTTAGTGTCTTTCTCAGTCACAGGCTTGAATTTTCAAACAGCTGCCAAAGTGTGAGACACAAGGTTACTACACAAGTATGGAAAGTATTAAAAGTAAGGAAGTAATTTGATCAACTTCCAGGTCTTAAAAAGTATGGTAAATGAAAAATAAACTATGGAAAAATAGTTATGTTAACAGACTATATTACCACAGTTACAAAATACTGTTTTCTAAAATAGAAAAGCTGGTATTTCCAAAAATAATCCTAAAAAGTACAGTATGGAAAAGTATGGAAATTCCAACTGTGTAGGAACCCTGACAGAAGCACAACAAATAGGCCAGGGATCACTAATACTCTTCTATTTTGACACAGGTGGTGCCATTGGTTGTATTTTCTTGCACATCTGGATAATTTAACACAACAGCAGACAAACACTCACCTGCATTGTTCTGGACGTTGTGGATCTGCATGGGCGGCTGGGCTCCGTTGTTGCCGAAACCTCCGTTCTGCTCCAGGAGCTGCAGACATTCATAGCCGTCATACACCGGGCGCCAACAGTAGTAACTGCTCAACATTGTTGCAGGTAGGCCAAGAAAATTCACAGCAAGTCCACACAAAACTTTTAGAGAAAACCCAGGCTGCAAGTTTGCTGAAGTAATTCAAAATTAATAAAAGCCAGGCGCGGATGAAAAATAGAGGAGAAAGTCATCAGTCTTCACAATCAAAAATTATCACCTCAAAACAGAAAAGCTCAAATTAAATCCAGGTTTAAAGTCCTGTCCTTAAATGTAAAATCCAACAGTTACAATGATGCCAAAACACGGTACATGATGGCTGCCTGTGAAGTAAACACTTGGTGTCAGACAAGGCAGATAAAATAATTCAAAGAGGAAAACTGGATCAGCGTCAAAGAAGCCAGACAGCTTCTGTGTTTCTCTTCCCCTCCTGATGTCTGCCGTATTTCCCTCTCTCAGTATTCCACTTCCATCTCACAAGTCCCTCTCCTCTCTCTGTTCCATCTCACAGTCAGTCTGCCTCTCCATATGTCTGTGCCCAGAAGCAGCAGAGTGAAGAGGAGGAGGAGGAGGAGAAGAGGAAGGAGGATTATAATCTCCTTATGTCCAGCAGAGAAACCCCTTCTTAACCCTAATCAGATCAGCGATCGCCAAATCTGCCTTCACTCTGCACACATTTACTATCCTTATCATCACGATTCGCTTTGGGAAGAAATTGATTGCAGTAATGAGGAACTCAATTCTCCAGTTTTAAGGTTTTTTTTTTCTGATTCATGGAGTGATACTAAAAAAAAGACTTGAGGTCTTAAGCCATTCAAAACCAGATAAAAAAGTGTTTTTCGAACATTGGTAAGAAGAAACCGACTATCAAAACAATCAAGAAAATTGTCATCCTATTTGCATGAACCTGCCCAGCTTCACTCAGTACTTGTCATGTGAAAGTTGTTGGAGGAAAAAAAGAAAGTTTGTACTTGGAGGTAAACAGAAAAACTGTAAAATTAAGAGACTTCTGACTTTGAAATCAGCTTTACTTACTATAAATCACAATTGTGGTGAAGGATTTGGTGATAAGTAGCAGGATTTGTGGATTTGTGGTCGGAATCAAAGGAAGCTGTGGCCGCTTAATTGGTCATGACCTAGAGTAGAGTGCTTTTCTATTCACAAATCTTGGCTATAATCTTAAATCTTATTGTGTTGGATTAGCTACCTTAGGTGGTGGATGAAAAAAATCTGCTTTAAGAGTCACATCTGCGCCTAAAACACCCCTGACGTGCTGTTATTTGACTTCTGTTTCACCAGTTTTCTGCCTCACAGTCTCCCAGTCTCTTTGCACTCATTAGGAATCTGCCAGCTGGGGGGAGAGGAGCCTGGGAAAGAGAATACAGACCCCTTTGAGCCCGGCTATGTGTGTGTGCCTGTGTGTGTGTGTCTGAGTGAGGATGACTGCATCAGCAAATTGAGGACATGATTAGACACACACAGGAAGGAGAGGCCGTGTGGTTGTCTTGTCAAAAGCCTCTTCAACTGTTTGGCAGACATTGTAAAAGTGCTGATGAGTCAAGTTGTTTACCCCAAAATGAACTTGGAGAAACCTTGCACCCACTCAAAACTGATACCAAGATCAAAAGCCGCATGAGACAGTCCTGGATTAATAAACCAGCTCTGTCTCAAATATATTTTTATAAGGAACAAGGACTGAGGGTGACGTTTGTTTACAAGATTAGGGCTTGAAAAACAGCAACAAGCATTCTGAGAAGAGCTGAGATCAACATGTTGACCTGGCATGGTTAAAAAAAAACAGCCCAACAACTTCAAAAAGAAAAACATTTCGAGGAGATATCAACTCCTAAATTCACAAGATATGGTTGTCAAAATCATCCATCCACTTACCTCTGTTATAGGAGACTTAGGGTTGACGTTTCGTGCTGCTGCTATCTCCTGAAGCTGGTTGACCAATTCTGTGATAGACAGACGCTCCTCGGGGTTCACCTTTAACATGGAGCCTGTAGCAGCAGAGAGAGGAAGAGGAGGGGGATAAAAGACAAAGGTTAAATATCTGAAAACAGGAAGGGTGAAAAAATACAACAAGACTCATTATTACCAGATCATTTAACGAAGAATGAAACTACATCAATGTAACCTGGAGAGAAAACCCTTCACTAAGAACATTTAAACATCTGTTCTGACAGACCTTTAAAGGTTGTGTTTTTAATCATCAGATAGAAGACAACTTTAAACCGTCCACCAGGTGGAGCTGTGAGTTTATTAGATTAGTTCAAACAAGCTGCTGTCAGCACAGCCGTCATAGAGGTGCTATCCTGAACACATTCCTGTCTATCTAAGGGGACAGCTGTTTGGACCGGAGAGAAACAAGAAGGGTGGGTGAATAAAGGTACATACGTATGAGGTCATGATAAACGGTGTACTTGACGTCGTTCTGAGGGATGGAGTATTTTCCGTTGACGATTTGTAGCTTGGCTCCCTCCTCGAAAGGATGCTGCTTAAAACACAACAGGTAGAGGATGCACCCTAAAGCCTGCAAAAAGGAAATAATAAAGACGATATTAAACTCAAGAGGCATCTTTTGATTTTATTAAACCAAAAAGAAAAAACATTTAACTGACACAACTATAGTCACTGACGCAACTGACTGTAAGACGACAAGCTGTTGCTCTTAAATGTCTCTGTTAAAGGGAAAAATATCTTCAGGGATATTAAAAAAAAAAAAACATCAACAAAGAATAGTGAATCTGTTTTTTGCCATTTTTATAGCACTACCTCACACTCATGTTTTAACACAGTGGATTCCTGGTGTCTACCGATGGTCAAACAATCATTTCTTATCTTTGACGGTTTATAAAACGTGTGATTTGTGGTAAACTCTACGAAATAAATACAGTAAAATCCAAATGTTAGAGGATAAAAGTAAAAATGCAGGTTCTGACCCAGATGTCCTGTTTCTCATTGATGGGGAAGTTGGAGTACAGATCGATCATCTCTGGAGTTCGATATGCCGGAGTCGTGTTCCTTGTGATCTAAACACAAAAATAAAGAAAAAAAACTTGAACACACATTAACAGCTGATGGACCACCTCAAGATGCTGCAGTGGACTAAACCAGATAAAATGATGTTGGTAAATCTTAGCCATAAAATAGCAGCTAAAATATCAGTTCAGTCACTGAGAAAAGATCTGAAAACACTGTAATGTATCCTCACACACAAAAACAAGTGTGCTTCAACCGACAACATTTAAATCTAAACTAACAGGCGCCATACAAGCTTTCTCATCAAGCATTGTTCTTGTGCTACTGGCCTAAAACAGCTGACCAAGAAGTACGTAGAAACCAGGATCTCTAGGGACCAACAAGCTGAGGTCATCTGTGGTAAAGCTCCCGTGTGAGCGTGGGTCTGTGTGGTTAGATGGCAGAAATAAAATTAATCTGATTGATCTTTGCTTCCTGGACCTCTGGCTGTTAATTCAATCAAAGGTTCCTGGTTCCTGTCCATCACCGTAACGCCTGTACTAGACTGATTAACCGTCTCTCCTGGATGTTTTTTTTACCCCCTTAATTGGAGAACTTACTTTTGTGGAAAGACTTAATTCAAAAACAGATACTGTCTTTTTTTTTCAAAAATATAAACTGCTCGTACATTTAAACAAAAAAAGAAACCTTTTTTTCTATATCACTCTCTATAGGAATTTAGGAAAAAGAGAAAAGCTAAGTCTAGGGACAGCGGTATTCTCCATATGTTTGCAACCTTAAACTGAAAACTCCTTTGTCACAGTTTATCTCTGCTTTGGATTCACCACAAATACTCTCTGCTTATAGAGGGTTGGTTTTTCTTTCTTACATAACCTTGGGAGGAAACGCTGGTACATATTTCTATAAAAATGTTGCATCACAGATGTATGTTCTCTCTTTACTCCCCGAAACATTCAGTTATGAAACCTACAAATAGTCTCTTTAATACTTCAAACCTGCTACATCTTCAAGAGTAAAAGTGCCTTGTACGTGTTTGCTCCTTTTTCTTAATCTGGGCCACACAGAGTCATCTAAACTTGGTCACATTATGAAGATGAAAGATAAACAGCAGTACGGATCATTTAAACACTAAATTTGCATATCCTGTGGCTGAACACTTCCTTGAATGATGTAACCTCTATTTGTACAATTGTGAATTATTGTCTTATAAGGCTGACCTGGGACGTGATAAAGGTGAAATAAAAAGGAACTGTTGCTGGAGGTTGGTTAAGGATTTTTGTGTGTGTGTGTGTGTGTGTGTGTGTGTTTGCACCTCATCCTCCACCATGGACCTCTTCTGTGCTGACCAGCTGTAGTCGGGGTAATGGGACACTGTTGTGGCGCTGCCAAAGTCACACAGCTTGATGGTGCCCTGGTTACTAATCAAGAGGTTTTCAATCTGCAGCACAACAAGAAAGCAGTGGGTTCCCATTTCTATCAACACAAACCAGTGACCACAGTAAACCCTCAGTTTGAGTGTTTTTGAGCTTTTCTAAGCTCTAAATTTATATCAATAAAACATATAGCTCTTAAATATTTGTCCGTTCAATTTATTCTCCGTGGAGTTCTGCATATGTCAGGCTGCTTTGTCGTAAATCAGCTCTACATTACGTCTTCCTTCAACTGATATGACGAACCTTGAGGTCTCTGTGTATGATCGGAGGCTTCTGTTTGTGCATGTGCTGCACGGCGCGGCACGTCTGGTAGAGGATTTTCAGCACGGTGTCACATGACAGGGGAGCCCTCTGCTCGACTCGCTTTATAAAGTCCACCAGCTGACCTGAAGAGAGGGGAAGAGACGGAAACAAAAATCAGTTAGTGAAAGTAACACCTGCCAACCTGTCTGTCTCTCTGTCTGTCTGTGTCGATTTTAAGTTGAGTTCAATGTCTCATTTTTTTCAGATAACAATCCTTAACTAAATAATGAAAAACTGCACAGAATGAAGGTTAAAAGAGTACATAAATTATTTGCCTGGGTAAATCAAGATGTCTTTTCCAATAAGGTGGACAAATAAATGTTTATTAAACTCATTTAGGATGTAAAGGGAAAAACAGGAAGTAAAAAAGCCCACAGACGGGAAACAGTTTCAACACGAGTACCTTTGGGTTCAAGTTACAAAGAAATGGTTCTGTTGACTTAGAGTTACTGAAATTTAGCCCGATAAATGAGTCAGTACTGATTCAGCAGTTAAGACAAAGAGGAAGTGAATTCAGTGTGTCACTGTGTGCCTCACTCTGTGTTTTTACCTTTACACAGCTCAGTGAGGATCAGGAACTCAGCCTGTCCGGTGTCAGACTCTTCCTTACTGATGGAGGCGGCCGAGCAGAACTGAACCATGTTGGGATGACCGGACAGCTTTTTCTGTAGAGCAAGAGGGTCAAGGAACATCTACAATCTCATTTGAACGAGTCTGCCGTCTACTCTTAAACTCTATTGCTGAACTGTTTCATCATCTCAAGCAGAAAAACAGTATTACAGAGGGTTAGGAACATGCCAAGTGAATACATAGACATTAACTAATCTGCCGCATCAACATATTAGGCGTTAGTTTACTGAAACTGAGAGACACAATGCTTCACTTCCAAAGAGCCCATGCCTTTATAGCTCGCCACACAGCTTAAACAACTTAATTATTGTTTCCTGAAGAGAATGCCTGGATTTAATACTGCCCAACATAAGCTATTCCAGTATTTTCAGCAGGTTAAAAGGTTTGTTTGTTCCCTTCACTGTCGGAGTTATCTCTTTGATGATAACCCGACTGCGTAGCACCAAAAGCCCCCTCAGAGACACTGAAAAAAACAGATTTATTTTATCTCTTATAAATCTCACACACGAAAGAAAAGACTTTGGAATAATTCATTTTTCACCCAGCAGTCCTGCATTTCAAATAATAAAATACACACTTGAGCTGAACCTAGAGAAGTATGTATCCCAGCACTGAGGGTAGAACTGCATGTGGAGTCTACAGTCATATATTTTAATCTACGAAGCTAGAAAAAGTCCAATCTGTATTTGCATTAACCACAAGCACTGTTACTGTAACTGGAGCGGAATCCTTAATATTTGACTTCATGACTGAAGGAATTCATCTTTGGCAAGTAAATTTCCATCTTTAAATCCAGGTGTTCTCTTTAGGAAACAATAATTAATTGTACGGATATTTTCAAGCATCATAATTCAGCAGCTTGTGTTTGTAAAAACAAAATGCTGTTGTTTCATCAACCACTGCAGAAACACTTTAAGTTTCTACATTACACATTCTGGTACTGTGTGGTGTTCCCAAACTGAAAAGACTTGGATGAGTTTAACTTGCTTTTGCTTTTGTCCCGTCTTTAAACAGTAAAATCTCTACATTGGCCCTGAAGAGGGAAAAAATGTCTCTCACAAAGGATACCATGAAGCAGACTTCCTGTATGATTTCCTTGTTCTTCTCTTCCTCGTTGGAAAGCAGCCTCTGAAACAAAGCACACACACACACACACACACACACATACACATGAAGCAGAGTTCTTCTTTTGCTGTTTAGACATGCATTCCTCTGACAAAGTAACTCATATATTCCATCAAAAATGGTCTGCAGCACATATCTAATTATGTTTTTTCCCATTTACATTTAGTCAATACAGCTTTTGTGCAGCTCATGGGTTTCATATTCTCTACCCTGTGCTTTTATTATCTAAGAGTGCAGGCATTTCAATGAACCACCAAACACGCCACATACAACACAATAACATTAATAATAAAAACCATAGAGCGAATAACCCTATTTAACAGAGCCAGTGCCAAACTTGTCTTATTGTGAAACAGCTTTTGTAGGACTGATTCAGGGTGTCAAGTGTTATGATGAGCAGCAACGAGCCGCAGGAAGGTTTTCACTTCAGCCACTTTCATATTATGTGGTTGGTATATCTTAGGATAAAAGTTCTCCTTATGTTAAACTATGAATGTTTACATTCATTACATTCTGATATCGAAGTCCAACCATATCTAGGAATGCAAAGTATGCTGATCACTATGCACTGGCTGTTATTTACTCATATTACCAGTGGTAGTATTCACAGCATTTGTATGTCTGCAGAGAGCAGACTCTACACACACAGAGGTAGTGTTCCTGATTCAGCACTTCACATCTAAGTTGTCGCGCTTTCTAACGCATGAATGAATGTGCATTATGGTGATGTACAGTTTGTGAAAAGTGGCTGAACATGTTACAAGCCAAGACAAGCAAGATTTTCTCAGCAGGTAGCTTACCTTGAGGGCATAGTCTTTACCCCCACTCATGTCCTGGGCTTCATACACAAAGGCAAATCCTCCTGAGAAGAAAAGAGGAGAGCAGCCAGGATGTCATTTATATTGTTAACAGGTAATTACATCAGCACGAAGAGTACAAGCACTCCTGAGCCTCTTTAATAATATATATCAACATCAGAGGTCCTGTGTAATGTAGAAACTGTTTGATGAAGAAAACGATCTGATTTGTACAGGTTGTTCTGTTATAATCAAACATTAAAGTGAAGACGTCAGTTCTTAATAAAATTGGTGATGAGAACGCCCAGAGTACACAACATGATGTTCAGGGATCAGCTGCCAGGTGTTTCATTTTTAGCTGTGTCCTAAAAACAAGAAGCTATTCAAGAACAACAGCACAAAAGCCTGTACTCAATAATAATACTCAACAATAAAACTCAATAATAATAAAGTGAAATAAGCAGAAATAGGTGATAGATAAGATAGATGACATAGATGCTGCTGAGGCTAGCTCTGCTTGGGTAAACAGAGCCTGTGTCCACCCGCTGCATTTCATTGCACTAGAAGCGCCTGTTTCTACTTAAAACCAACGCATCTAAGCATTTTCAGATTTCTAAGTCAAAATGCTTCCAGCTTCAGCAGCCAACTGTGCTTTCACCTAAAACTGTTTAACTTTTGAAGCTCTGCCGTCTTTTTAATGCAATTCATCCATAATTTCTCCATCTGACCAAAAGGGATCAGGAAAGGAGCAGACAGTCAGATGACAACTCTGTCAACTGGTTTGTATGGAGCAGAAACTAACTGTACTGTATTTTTTGCACTATAAGGCGCACTTAAAATCGTTTTGGTTTGTCGGAACACTGCAGCTACTGTAGTCGAATAGAGTTTGACTTAACTGACTGTTTTGTTTGGCTTAATGCGCTTTATAATCTGGTGCACCTTATGTATGAAAATAGACGCGAATAGATGCGTTCATTGATGGTGTGTGCCTTATAATCAGGTAAGCCTAATAGTGCAAAGAATACAATACTTATATTTAGAGGGTACAATTCTGAGACTAAATGAATACTACCAAGGGAAGCAGACGTGCCGTCAGACAACTTTTGTTACCTTCAAAAAGTTCGTCCAGTGATGATCGCTCTGACTTTGAAGTCATGGGTGCTGCTAGCGAAAAATATGTTGTTGGTGGAGACAGGCCATTGTCCGGGAGGGAAGTTTGCTGAACTGCTTTTGAAGCATCAACTCTAGAGATTTTACGTCAAAGTAGAAGAGCTCAAACTTTTACTTTTTTCAGTCACATATTATGAAGAAGGTGATACAATGCAAACCTCAGTCAGGACTGTGGAGTGACCCTGAATTAAACTAATACACATGTGGGTTAGTAGTGAGCTGTGTGGTAAGTGACAGTCAGCCATAGGGGATAAACAATATCTGTTTGACACATACACATCGCTTATGCTAACCCATTCCACATGATACTGCATCATTTTTGCTGTAACACTACCTGCAGTAGAACCCTGCTTCACATACCCATAAACATTTAAGGCTGGAAGCTGTCAAGTGTAACAGCAGTCTTATCTGATGCACCACAGCTGAGTAATTGGAGCTTAAGTGCTTTCTCAACACAAAAGTAACCTGCCACTGTTGCCCTCTCTTACCCATGGGCAAACATCAAGCCCTTTACTATGCTGACAATATGGCTGAAACCAGAACTGTGCGCTGTGCTGTGGTAATTAGGTGTGAAGGTATGAAGTTATCTGGATTTTCCAAAGAAAACTGTTCAGGAGGAAAGACTTCATGACTGGAATTTTGAAGAAGAGAGCCACGCATGTGCCTCCAATCACCACAGCAAAGTTAGCTACGAGTCAGTGAGTCATCACACTGCTGCAAAGTAAAGATTGACAAATTATTAAATACTAACAGGAGACACACTTTTTGGAAATGCATCACCAATATATTTCATGTGAAAGCTCATTTATCCAAGTCCTGATCAAGAACCTGCTTCAGGTACTGGACAAGAACCCCTTAGTGTTTTCACTTTTCCAACAGGCATGTCTGTGTGCTCAAGAAAAAACGGATTTAGCAACCCACAGTCCAAACAAGACGAAGGAGAAGTTACCATAGTGATGAGTAAATCAACTACCAGCCCTGCTTTACTCAGTGAAAATCTGATTGAGCACGCTCCACATCCTAATCTTTAAAGCTTTATTGACATAGCCAAGTATGTCCAGATGTGTGCATTGGATTTTCTTTTGCTGCTTCTGATTTTTTAAGCCTGTCTTGGGAACTAGTAACCTGGTGGTCACACTTAAAGCCACAAACAACACAGGTTTTATTGCACTTAATGTGTACTTTTCTTTCAGACAAACATACAAAGAAAAACATAACTCGCTGTCAGACACACACAAGCTTTGATGTCCTTTGTTTGAAGATGATTTTGGCAGTATTTTTGAGACTGCACAGTTCAGGGGTTCATGGTTCATAACTCATTCCTTTGTATGGTAAATTAGCACATATCATGCACCCTACAGGTACTTCATGAAAGAAATCTTTCCTCACCAAACACAAGCTTATCAATTCTTGCTGGGTCACAGTCTTTGTGCTTGTATCAAAAGACTGCAAGGTAAGAGGCACAGCTTATCAACTCAAACTCTGAATAATAAAGACGACACTCTTTTCTACAGTTTCACCTGCTCAGAGGACAGAATAAAATCCGATGGCAGGAAAAGAAGAACCTGTTTAGTAATGTGAACAGACTAATCCCCGCCGGACATACCTGAATGATCTAAGTGGTGAACACGGGTGTGAAACTGGGGCCGATTCAACCATAAAGACAATCTAAACATGTACAACAATCAAAATAGGGGAGAGCGAGTGTTGAATTTACACCCATGACAGCATGTTGTCACTATTTTAGAACCAGAACAAACCTTAAATGAGCTTTGCCTACCCAAAGTGGCAGGCACAGTGGACTAACTATTCATGGATCTATAAAAAAAGAACAATAGGGATAGAGGAATCCTTTGTTTCCCCCCCATCAAAGATCCTAGCAACAAAATGAAACAAAGGCACCTCTCAAACAGCAGGATGGGAGTTAAATTAGGGTCAGAGGTTTGGTGTAAAATGATCTTTGGCTTCATGTGACGTCTGTTTTGATTCTTGTGTGTCTCAGAATCTTTTATCTATCATGACTGAGAATGTAAAATCATCTTACTTATGTTTAACTGTGGATCTGGTTAAAATATTAAAACACATGCACAATAAATAACTTTATTCATGCAATATTTCATACTCGATAGGCACTCTGGAATGTAGTTGGGACAGAATCAGTCGGTGCTGTGAGAAGTGGACCACTGGTGCAGAAAGTTAGAAGTAGTCAGCAGTTTCAAAGTAAGGTGAACTGAAGGACACATAACTGAGAAAGAAATACTGCTGAGTAGAAAAGAGCCCAGCTGACTACCTGAATATCAATCTGTTACTCATAATGTATCAAAGAGCACAGTCTGGAGCTGCTCTGTCTGCACAGTGTCTTAGGATAGGATTTGTAATGAAGAGGCACAGTAGAAAAAAAATGACTGTATTAGTTGTACTTTGATTTGATTTGTATTTTTTTTATCAATATCCCACAGACTGGATCAACGTTAAACCGTGTCCTTTGATCCACCAGCTGCTGTTAGAGATAAGATAGTAAAGTAAGATTAGCTTGCCATTTGCAACGAGGCTAACAACCCATGTGCAATGCCAGAGCAAAGAAACCTGAGCTGTGGGCCTGTGTGTGTTCTTTCACCAGAGTCATTGCATACAAACAAAGAAAGAGTACTATTTCAGGTTAAGTTCAGGCGCATCATTCTGAACAAATATTATTATAGCTAGCAGACAGAATCTTTCAGAAAAGTACATGAGGACACGGGCAAATGTACACAGTAACAGGGTCAGATATAACACATGGCACAATGAATTTAAGCACCTTTTAGATGTCTGCAATCTTAAGACACATGATTGACGAATGGCACTGTAATTCGCTGAAGTACACATGGGGGAGACAAGGAAATGCTGTAGTTGTAGTCTTGCAGTCGTCTGCTGACAGAGGTGGGTATACAGTCTGTCTGTCAATCTGTGATACTAAAAAAAAGGACCGGTGGCAAAAGGTTATGTTGATGAGTGCAATCAATGAGGGTCCTAGGCTGGTAGGCTCGCCAGAGTCCACCCAATCCTCTCTTGGGTCAACACGGAGACGCTAATGCATGCTTTTATCACCAGTTGTATAGACTATTGTAATGCCCTGCTTTCTGGTCTTCTCAAGAAGAATATTTCGGGTCTACAATTATAACAAAATTCAGCAACACGTGTCCTGACTACGACGAGGAGGCTGGTCCACATTACACTGGTTTAAGAATCACTGCATTGGCTCCCTGTGTGTTTTAGGATCGATTTTAAGGTTCTTTTACTTGTTTTTAAATGTCTTAATGGTCTTGGGCCTTCTTATCTTTCAGAACTGCTTTTACCTTATGAACCTTCACAGACACTGCGCTCCTGCCAGAGAACCTCGGGCCGCAGAGAACGTCCATGTTTATAAGAGCAGACTCAAGACCCACCTTTTTAGCTTAGCTTTTATTTGATTTTTATTTATTTTATGTTCTTTTATTCTAGTTAGCCTTGGTTTAGTTTAGGTCTGTGTTTTATTTATATTTTAGTTTTTACTTGTTTTTATCCTGTTATCATTTGTAGGACCCACAGTGGATCCTCTGAGGGAGCCCTCAGCACCGGGAACAGTGGTCGCTTGTGGTTGCAGGGGCCGGTCACGGGGTTCATGGCGGAGGTTGCTGTTTGACACATCTCTCCTCTGGCCCCGTGTCTGTGTCCTGTGGCTGTGGGCGGCTCTCTGCTCCTGGTGCTGACGGCTCCTCTGATGGCGCCCTCTCAACTGGTTCATGTCCACTCAGCCTCATGTCCACTATCTTAGTGTGTGTATGCGCGGGTGCGTTGGCGTGTGTGTAGTTGGGGGTGGGAGGTAAGGGGGCATCTGAGATCATTTTTTAATTTTGTTTTTAACAAGATTGTAAAGCACTTTGAGTCACAATCCTGTAGGAAAAGCGCGTTATAAATACAGTTTGATTGATTGATTGATTGATTGATTGGTATATGAAAGCAGTGATTCCCAACCTGAGGCAAGAGTCTGTGTCTGCTCTGAGGTTGTCAAAATAAACTTAAACATTACACTGCTGGATAGTTCTACATGTGTAATGAATGAGTGGGGGGCCTTGAGGGACCTTTCAAAAACACCATTGATGATCTTTTTTCATGTGCAATTTTCAACATTTCTTTATCGTACATTTCACTGACAGAGGTAAATGTTTGAGAAGAGAGGGGGTGGTCATCCCAGTCAACAGAGTCCTGCAAAGCTCTGCAGGTGTCTCGGTTTATCCGTTTGGATAATTAATATTCAAAATGTGTACTGAAGTGTAACACTGCAATCAGTCCACCCGTTTTCTATGATCTTTAGCTTTAGTCAAACAGGTCCTGCTGCCAAGAAAGATGGGAAGGTTTGAGGTATGTGGTTTAACATTGATTGGGGGTTAGTGGAAGAGTAAAATGCAGCTCTCCGTGAGTGTGCGTTGGATAACATATCTAGATATGATTTATAGCTGAACAAGAATAGAAGTGAAAAGTTACAGTTGCATACTCACCTCATTGAAAATAAGATAAAATATTACAGTTATGAAGTGGTGTTAACTCGGTGACTCATAGCCCTGCAGTCTTTTGGACGTATTGTCATTGACTACCAGTTGAAGTGTGTCACTTGTGTTAGCCTCTAAGCTAGTTCAGTTAGCTCTCATATCTACCCGCACAAGACTGGAGCAACATTTTCCAAAGCGGTAAATCGGCTCACCTTCTGCGATAACCCTCTTTATCCTCAGTTTCATGTCACCGAGCTCAACGACTTGTCCGACGAAGTCATTCTGGTCCCGGCTGGCAGCCCCGACCGAGCCGGGCCCGGCTAGGAAATCCAGTGCCGACTGGAACAGGGACATTTTAACCCAGCGCCCCGCTTCAGACTCAATGAGGGCGGCTCCAGGTGAAGGAATGTGCGGTTCAAATCCCAGCAGGTCCAACAAGAAAACTTTACGGTGTCTTAATATTTTATAAAGGCTGGAAAACAGGTGAAATTATCCTTTCACTGGAAGCAAACATCCTCTTCCTGATGCTAGGCTGACGAGGCCGCCACCATCACCGCGCCGACTTCCGTGAAGAGTGATGACGTCGAGGCACGATTCAGTCATGTGATGTGGAAAAAACTTAAAATCAACAAAACTTAAAACTAATACTTTTTATTGTCCAGTGTTTTTCATGTCACAGGACTATGTAGTTGTTCCCTTTAATTTCTAAGTCAAGTCAGTCAGTGCTTAAATAAGGGCTCGCCTTCTAACCAATGTATGAATGAAAGCGTTCAAAAGGTGCTTTACGAGCTCACTCCATGAAAATGTGCCCAAATAGGATACAAATTGCAACAATTTGAAGAAGAAATACATGATAACATCTAATCGTAACAGAAAATTCAACATACAAAAGTAGAGAAAACATTTCTCATTAATGACACTTTAAATATGACACTGTAGTTTACCTCCATGTGGCTATATGTGCATATACTGTATGTACAGAGTTGTGGATAATACAGTATTTGTATCATTAACATATGTCACAAATTATTTCTGCTTGTTTTTGATGTTTTCTTACTCTGTATTGTCATGTATTTTCAACAAAGAAAAAATGGGAATGAAGCCAGTAACCAAGTCATTGTCTCGTTTGAAATCAATACTATACAAACTTGATTTCATCCAGGGGCCATCTTCTGACTGGTTTGCTTGTATTTATTTATTTTTAATGAGGTTTTGCCAACATCTCAGTATTATAACTTTTCCCCAAAACTTTTTGATTTGTCTGCTTCCATGTCTGCCAGAGAGGTTTCTTCTGGTTTTAAGGTAATCAGTAAAATAAGTCATTTTCAAAAATATTTTTTCCCCCCAGGGGAAAACTTTAGAAATCTGTATTCACAGTTACAGTTAATTTGATCACTAGATGACACAGAAACTTGATTTCTTGAGACAGATTCAAAGAGATATTTCAGCAGAAGAATCTGGGGCCCTTTATGTGCACACTCCCAAAATGACATTTACAAAGATTAAAAAAAGATAAATATAAAGGGCTCTGGCATTAACACCATCCAGAACCATGTCCAGAACATTTTGTCCTCAAACTATCTTTGCCTTGTTTTGATTTTTTGTTGCTTTTATGCAGAGATACGATACGTATTATCTTTATTCAGTCTTATAATGCGGTGTTGAACGTAAAAGCTGATGAGATTCTTCACTTGAATCTTAAGGAGCTGAATAAATAAAGTCTTGGCATCTGATTTGCTCATGGAAGGATATGGTAGCACACGATATTGTGTATTAGCGCGCCATCTACTGGACATTTAAGCTCAATGCGATTTTTTTTTTTTTTAATCAGCAGCAAGCCTCTTACACAAGTTACTTTAAAATGAGGGGTACATGTTAGGATTACCTGATCACATAAGGCTCATGCTAATATTAATGTTAGAGTTTAGCTAAATAAAGGTGTATGTAAACTTAATAATATTCATGGTTGGTTTGGTGGGAATGGTGGAATACTGATAGAAAAAAATAAGTTGTTATGATAAATCAAAGTCCTATCTACATTGGCTTTTGACTAGACTCATAACAATTGTGTCTTTCGCACAGTATTTTTGAGTAAATTTGTTATACCCACTTCTGTTGTATACATGCACAGTTTTAAACCTTTTCTAAATACAGCAAAAATTAATGTACTTACTTTACCACTTGACAGGTATGTAACTGAAAAAGATAATGAGTTGCTGTGACTTGGTCATGACCAGCCTATAAGATTTATGAACTAAACCTGACTATGGAACAAGTCTGCAAACTATTTTCTCTTAGACTGAGTAGGCTCCTGTGGGCTGCTCTGAAAGCCATTACAGACACAAGCACCTACTCGTTGTTAAAGTAAGGCATGCATTTTTTTACTAGCAGTCCTGCATTGGACTGCACTAAACAAAGCTGCATGTTACTACATTTAGTTGATTAAAGGTTGCCTTTTTGTTCCATAACTCTCCATGCAACTATTGTCAGGTAGATTCAACAAAGTAACCCAGGATCCAAAGAGCAGTCACTGGGAAGATGTTGCACAATGAAAATGACAGCCGTTGCTTGTTACAACATGTGAATTTTGTCTAGAGAGCAGGGGGACATATGAGCTCATGTTGAAATGAAGTCAGGAAGACTTTAGGGAGTCATGCCAGGTTCTTTTTTAGGTTAAGTAATCAGAGTAATCTGTAAAACCAGACAAAAAAAAGATTCGCCTCGAACATGTTAAGCTGGGAAATTGAAAGGTTAACATCCAAAAAGCTAACACTAAGTAATTAGAATCAAGGAGCAGAAAACCTACACCTTTATACACTATCTGAACCAACCAATTTTAAACACTGTTGCAGATGAATAATGACATTTGTATTCTTCATCCAAGTTGTGTTGTTTCTACATGTATTTTTTTCTTCAGCCACATTTGCATCATGTGTTTCTAGATGATCTAGTTATACAAAACCACTATTTTACATTTTGATGTAGCTTGTAAACTGGTACAAATGATAAAAGCTGTAATGTGCTTAGATGCTTGGTAAATCAGTGTTCGTCATATGACATCAAACCACATGTTTGGATATCAGAGATATATTGTTTTAGTAAGTCTCTTCCTTCCTTTGCAAGGGCTGTGTACACATGTATAAGCAAAAACTCAAAAGATAGTCACAAGCAGGGTTGGTTATTCAGTGCAGTTTATTTGACAGGTGAAACCAGACTTTTACATTTTTAATCCTTTTGTTTATGGTTTTATTTGTGTGTTGCAAAAGATACAACACAAAGACGAAATCGAGAAGAGAATTCCCCTTAAAACAAGCTATTTTACTTGCTTGATGCTATTCCGGATGACCTTTTCACCTCTGACCAAAGATGTATTTTGCATATTTTATTATTGTTTGCCAAGAAAAATGTAACAGTAAACTGGAAGAATGTCAAATCACCGACTGTGGCTGAATGGAAGCAGAGGTTGAGACAGGTGTATCTCATGGAAAGAATGACCGTATCATTACAGTTGAAATTTTTGTTATCAATTTCCCTTTTTCTAAATCTTTGTCCATTTGTTTATCCTGTTTGTTTTTCCTTATTACTGCAATGTGTAATGGATATTTGATATACATCTGCATTATACTAGCAATACCTAGGTGTGGGATTTTTTTTTTTCCTTTTTTTTCTACACCACTAATCTTGTCTCAGGTACTGTTTAATGTTTAAGGAAAAACTCTAGATGAAAAGTTCCAACGGAAAAAAAGAAATAAGTACAACACATGCATGAGTTTGCTTTTCAGCTAATGCTCAATATGTCTGAGTTACAAGTGCAGGACCAAGTCAAATAAATGAATGAATAAAAAATAGAATAGTCGGGGGCTCTTCATGGGCAAGATTTCACTATCAGTGTCAGATTCCAATGTCTATTATGTCCTGACAGAGTTGAAACTCATTGACACATTCCTGTTTAAATGAGGATTTTTATACTGATCCATGGTGCCTTGGATTTTCCATTTAGTCTGCCAATATCTGTTAAGGACACTGTAAACAACCTGGACTCTCACGTTCTTTTTTCTTTCTAAATTGTGAAAAACACCATCACTTGGGCTGTAGTGCCTGAAGGAAACTGAGCAAACCTCAAACAGCATGTGTTCCTAATTTAAGACTTCGTAATCTCAAACTGAGTTAGCATGCATGAACATATTTTTTAGGTCTTTGTTATAAGTAGTATCAGGGCGCAGGTTTGCAAGTTGCACACAGACATGAAACGGTTACAGGTTTTATTTACATACAGTGAAAAAATGAGACGTGACTTGTGAAACGGGGCAACAAACTTTGCCTAAACTTGTCTCGAACAAATGTTTCATCGCTCACAGCAAATGGGGAGACCACCGCTCAATAAGGAGGGTCGTTCATCCCTCTCTCTGATTGGGCACACCTCTAAAGCAGTCCTATGAACTCGGGCTCTGATTGGATAACACGTCTCTTTTGAAGAGCTACAGTTTGCAGTGAATCAAACGATTCAGAATGACGAAACGCCCCCGGCATAGAGCGATCTGTCGGCTGATGTGGAACCAGTTCGCTGAGGACCAATCAGAATCCTCCGTTGTGACAGGCAGGTTTACCGCCTGCGCGTAAGATTTGACTACAGAGTAGTATTGCGCGCTCACGCGTGGGGGTGTTCAGGACAGAGTTCAGGCCTTTTTGCAGCAAGAAATCCACTGTTTTTCCCCGAATGAAACTCGCGAGTGGATGCGAATGTTTTATAAAACAGTTTATATGTCGTATCACCTTCTCCATAGTTGGACTCATGCATTGTTGTGCCCTTGCATCCATTCTATCCATGATGAAGGCAACACACCTACAGGGTTCCGCTGATTCTACACATTTGGCATTATAATATAAGATATGATCATATTTCCCCGAGTGGTATATAAAACTTTTAATGTTATTGTAACGCTATGGACAAAGGGACATCGCATGATGATAAATTAATATCAACACTTAAGGGTAATGTAACACGGTGAAACAGTGAAATGATGCGCAAAAAAATAATAAAATAAAAATAAATAATCATAATTTCGGGTGCTAATAAAGTATATACGACGGAGTATTAGGGCCACATTTAGAAAAAAAATAAGACTTCGTAATTACTAATAAAGTCGTAATAAAATCATTATTTACGTAAGAAATTACTTTGTTATGGCTTTATTCTCGTAAGTAATTACAAGTCTTATTTTCTCAATTTGGCCATTATACTCCGTCGTAAGTATAAGTTATTATAAAGTGATAATATAGGCCTGTTAATAGAGATGTGAAATAGAAAATAAAAGAATATAAGGAATAAATGGGTGTGATAAGTGGTTTGAATCTATTTAAAGATATGGTTATTTTTGACACTTAATGTGTTGCTATCTATTCTTTAAGAAAAAAAAAAGAGTCCATTATTATAATTAAGCTGAGAGTCTCATTGTTGCCCCTTTACTTGTGGAAACTACCGTGCACCTGCCTAAACAGCAACAGGATGATGTGATCACGTCAGGCAACACGTCATTACGCCGCGGCGTGATAGCAGTTTTCCCAAGCAGCCCCACGCTTGTCTTTGACACACTCTTGCTAGCTGTCTCACGCTGTAAATCCAAAGCCATTCAAACTAAGCGGCTAGTCGGGGATCTAATTTGACAGGAGCCTCACCTCCTCTGGGGACGGTTAGCTTAAACAAGGCGCTCACGCTAGCTTTTATCTGAAGGCCGACGAAGAAGAAAGGCTACAAAGATGTCTAAAGACACAGAGGGCAAGAGCGAGAAAATTATGGACATGGAGAGCAAGGTTTTGTGGTACCCGGACTCTAAGAAGAACACACAGATGGACAAATTTAGGATACAGGTCAACGGGGACTACGGGCTTAATCTGGGTGAGTATTTAGAGGAGGGAGACGGGCTGACCGACGAGGAGCTAGACGCAGACAGAGCGCTTGAATGAATGGGAGACTCGGGTTAGAGCCTGCTCGGCTGGCTCCTCTTTTACTGCTATTTATCCTTTTAATATGTTGTGCTATAAACTCCTACTTTCTGAACGAAGCTGGTTTAACAATGCAGTGTTTTAATCCAGTTTTGCTATGCAGCTATTTAGCTATTTAAACAACATTAATGATTCAGCATTAAAACACGTCTCTGCAGGTGTAAATATTCCAGTGATAGTAACGATGCACGGGTTATGAAATATTTCTTTTCGTCCAAAAAAATAGATTTTACTGCAGTTTTATTCCCACATATGCAATCTTCCAGCTCAAAGTGCATGTTTAGCTGTTTATTTAATGTATAGTCACCTTGAAGAATGCTGAAAAACCCGCTAGGTGCTGTGCAGAAAAGAGGGTTACGTAATGTTGAAAGGGATGGGAGTGTACACGGCTATTACAGGTGTTTGAAATTATGAGTTATTATAATTATACAGCTATTTAGAAAGGCAGAAAAGTCTGAACATGTTTGATTAGTCTCTGACCCAGATGAACCAAAACCACCCCCCTCTTTTCACTCTAAGTAAACAGCATTTTTCCATTTTCATGATGATTGTTGGAGTACAGGATGGTTAGGTGAGGTAGTCCTGCAGCAGGTTAAAGCACTCTGTAGCCAGTGCTTATTTTATTCAGTTTGATCCATCTATTATTTTCCACATTAATGGTTAAGTCTAATAAGTCAAATAATGCAAAACTGCCCCTTTACTATTTTGCTGAAGCCAAAGTGATGTCTCCATGCTGCCTCCTTTCTTTTAAATCCCAAGACAAAGAATAGCAGCATTGTGCTGGATATAACAGACCAGAGGCAGTAAATGCAGGATCGGTTTGAATAATCCAAATAGTTGGCATTATATTATCTTTGAATTGACAAAAAGTAAAACAAGTCATTCCAGCACTTAATGTTTTTTTGAAAGGTTTTGCGCCATAAATTCTGGTGATCCACAGATGATTTACATGTTAGAAATAAAAGGAAATACAACGTAGCTGTTCTTTAAGAAAGTATGGACTATTTTCCTGGTTCATTAAGGTTAAATAATCTGCTAAAATTTAAAAAAGTCAGAATCACTGCGCTACCAGCGTTTACAAGGTCACTCTGACCAGAACTCTGTTTGAGCTCAGCCTCCTGAGCAAAGCTACAACCTGAAGCTATACATTAGAAAACAAACCACATGTTCAGGGAAATGTATTTCCATTGACATAGTGTGAGTGAAAGACTGTTTAGTTTGTTTTTTTTACATGCATTTGAAGTATTTCTTGTATTAAGCCAAGTGTAGCAGCTGTACATCCATGTCTGAGCGGTATGGCCTAGCTGTTCTCAAACTGCACTATGTACATACTCTCTCTCTCTCTCTGTCACTCACAGTGAACTACAACGACCTGTACCAGTGGTCAGTGGACAGCTACCCTGAGTTCTGGGGAGAAGTGTGGCGTTTCTGTGGTGTCCTCAGCTCCAAACCCTATGAAGAGGTGGGTGCAAACTCTGTTGGCATAGGAAAACAAGTTCGTGTTTCACCTCAGAATAGCGTCTAAAAATGTGAGGTGTCATTTGGAGCAGATGCCATAACAAGCATTTCACCTGCTTCCTCATTGTCACAGTTGTGGCTTTAGACTTCCTGGCTCATTCTTGTTCCTTGAAAGTCCTTGGATCTTTTTAGGTCATACCTCAAACCAACTCCTTTTTCTAACACCTTGAAGTGTCTTGACTGCCACAGTTGCAGTATGTTGTTTATCAGGGTTTCTCAGCACACTTGATTTAAGTGGTTAACTGCAGAGTGTTACAACATACCAGAGCTTTATATATGTGGTAGGAAGTGATCTAAAGCTGGTCTGTTTGGTCACACTGAAGAGCACAACGCTTTTACAGGTTGTTGATCCTGTTCATTTTGCTGTAAGTCAAACTTTAGATAAGATCACCTCAGTTTCCAAGAAGAAGTTTAAGATAAATGGAAAGAAGAAATTAATTAACTACATTGGTATTAGTGTTTGGGTTCTACGAATAAGATCATGGTCAGTGAATTGATGCTTCCTACTTGCAGATATTTGTTACTGTAATTCATGAAACTCTAAAATTCTCACTTGATGCTTCCTCTCAAAGTGTCTGCTAATAATTTGCTGTCAAAGTGGACTCAGTTGGCAAATTATTTGTCCCATCAAGCAAAGCATTGGAGCTATAATAAGCCTGCCACAAGGTAATTTTATTTTTGTGATACAGAGTCATCTCTTTGTGTAGTTACTGATTAAGTTACTTTTGAGCTTCTTTCCCTTCCTGAATCCAGGATATATCCACTCAGGTTGATGTGTGCTGTAATAAATGATGTTTCAGCTTTAGCTGCTGTGCCATGTCATCAACACACCCCTTTCGTACACATAGACAACACTCTCCACGTCACCTTGGCCACATGCTCTCTTTTTAAGCAGACGTTTTAATAACCTTTAATTACCTCTGGTAAAAAATACATTCTTGGCAGACATGATGATGTTGTCGAGGATGTTGTCAAACAAGCATTTTGTAGCAGTCGTAGAAACTTTAGCAGGTAACCATAACCATGTACTGTATTTTTATGACCACCTTTACTTAAAAGCTGGCTGCTGCAGAGGTAAATAGATGAGCTTGAAAGTGTCATCAGTGCAGCAGTGGGTTTCAGTTTTAAGAGCTTTGATCGCACAGACCTATTTATATCAGATCCTGACTCAGACAGTTCACTCTGATCAGTGAAATCCCAACATTATCTGGCTGTTTTCTTTTTTGTTTCATCCAAAAAAACATTCACCACTCTATTCTTCACCGAGAATTTAGGTATGAACCTTTTTTTAGTAGGAAACATCTGCAGTGGGAGACTTTTGTCACACACTGGTCTAGTCAATGACAGCACTGTGTTCCTCCATTCTTCCTGTGTGTTTGTGTGTGTGTGTGTGTGTGTTTAATGGGTGTACACCAGGTTGTAGATGCATCCAAACGGATCTCAGATGTTCCAGAGTGGTTTAAAGGGGCTCGACTCAACTACGCCGAGAACCTGCTCAAACATGCAGACCAGGACAAAGTAGCTCTTTATGCTGCAAGTAAGTAAACAAGGTGCAAGATGCCACATGAAAAGATATATTTGATACAGAATAACAGGTTTTATCTTGCTTTACATTTTTCATTATGGGGAATACATATATTATATATGTGTGTGTGTGTATTCATGTTCTATAAATTCAAGCATAAAACAAGATGGTTGGAGAAGTTGAGAATTGATGCAGAGCACAAGGCTGCCCACGTCACCATGTTATTAGATTAACTGCTGCTCCCTGCTCTGTCTCCCAGACCTGTCACATGCTAATGGATGGACCCTTCTTTATCACTCTATCTGTGTGTGTGTGTGTGTGTGTGTGTGTGTGTGTGTGTGTGTGTGTGTGTGTGTGTGTGTGTGTGTGTGTGTGTGTGTATGTGAGAGGGAGAGTGGGTTTTTGTACGCTCATGTAGGCAGATGCACACAAACACACACACAGCCTTAATGTAATTATGACAAGGCCCATTGGTCTCAATGCTGAAGAGCCTCTGTAAATGTCAGTAAACTATTACTTAGAGCGATAACATGGCTGTTCCTGTTTGTCCTCTGTCCTGCCACACTATTAATCTTTATTTATGTCGTCATCTCTGGTTTGCTGCTTTTATTTGTTACCAAAACAGATTCAGGTTTTTGGTGGGAGTTATGTCAGCCGACAGACAAGAATAACTCACTCAAGCAATTTCTTATGCTAGTTTTAGTTTTTCTGGAGATATTTCTTGAAAATGCTCATCTTTCTTTCTTTTTCTGTGTCTGTAACTCACTTTGTCTCCTTCAATAACCCAGCGGAGGCAAATGAGGAGATTGTGAAGGTGACATTTGGGGAGCTGAGGCGTGACGTGGCGTTGTTTGCTGCAGCCATGAGGAAGATGGGCGTTAAGACCGGAGACAGGGTCGTAGGTGAGTCCATTTTTTTGTAACTACTGGAAGGATAAGAGTATGGAGAAATGGAGCTTATATTTTTATGATATTGTTTGAACTGTCAATAAAAACCAACATTAGGTGTTGGTGTAAGGATCCTTGGCTCTTCTCTTGATACACAAATCATATCTTTGAGTCTCTTTCAATCATCTCCTCCTCCTCTGGTTCATCCTTTTCTTAAACCTGTTGCATGAGTTAGACATAACCTCTTTTGCTGGAGCTGTGTGTGCATTTTTATGTATTTAAGGAGGGAGCAAGGAGGGCTGGCTGTCTTGGCAAAGCTTGCAGCTCTTTCTGAATGTCACCATTCATTTCTTCAGAGATCATATTTGTACAGGGGAGACTAGCTGGGTAAATATGTGCCCTACAGGATGCTCAGCACATTGATCCTCATTTAACTTCAATCTGTGTATCAGATGTTTCAAGAACTTCTCACATCCCTGTTCCTGAGGAAGCTCATGAGCTGTCAGAATCCCTCAGTCATACAGGTTGATTATTTAAATGTCATAAACAAGTATATCAGGATTCTTTTTTGATTACCTCTAAAAGAAAAAAAAATAACTTTAAGTGACTTTAAAAGGTTTTCTTATCACAAAGTCTCCTCCTTATGTTAGATTGATAACTACTAAAAGACAAGATTTTCATTTTGTGGCGTTTTCTGCGAGTTGACCCTTGCACATTTATACATAGTGATTATAATAGGCGTCATACTGCTTAAATGTGTGTTGTAAATGCACATTTATCATACATCTTCCTGTATTCCACTGATTTTTTTCCCTCACTTGACACACACTCACTCACTCACACAACTACTTTACAATCATCGTGATAACAATTTTAATAATCAAATTATGCACTTATAAAAACAGGGATTAACAAATAGTTCGCATAGAAAAAACAAAGCGTAAAAGACAAAATCCCAACAGCAAAAAAGAAATGCATGAAAACACTGTTAACCCAACAACATAAGACACATTAAGAGAACAAGAGCATAGCATAAACCTAGAATAATCTAAAATGAGTGACACAAGAACCCAACTATGTAAACAGAAACCAAAGGCCAGAGATGAAAGAGCATCAAGAAATTAAGAAAGGAAATTATTGAATCAAAATTCAAATGCCTTTTTAATCAAGAGTTTTGTAGATTTTTCTCATCAGTTTCTCACTGGAAAGTTCATCACAATCTCCCTTCCTTCTGCTGGGTTTTATACAGAGTCTGTATGTTGTGATGAACAGAACTCAGCCTTACGTAAATGTCACACTGAGGCTTATCTGTCACTGTGACTGATTCATTCTCTGCTCTGAGCCACGTCTCAAGCTTTGACACAACAGTGTGTATTGAGCTGTTTGTACTATGGCGATATCAGCGGCTTCAATTTCACAGACTTTGTCGAGCAGAAGCATCTCAGCTGTCCCCACTGTCAATCTTTCGGACAACCTACCATCTTCTGAAGGTGGAATAAACATATCCGTTATGAACTCTTTGGTGTTATTTTTCAAACTACTGTCAAAGGTTGAGTCAGAGGAAATTTAAATGGAGGAAATGTGTAAAAACCTTCTAAAAACTCCCATAAATTGGGGCCTTTTTCCAAAAAACTAATTGATAAGAGACAACTCAGGAATGTCATTTGTAGCTGGGGTCATACATTGCCCCCTTCTTACATACCAGTCAAAAATCAGTAAGTTAAAAATCAATAACCTAAATGTCTCGTTACCCTGTTTGTTTCTTGTTTTTATTTGGAAGCTACACCGTGCCAAAAACATGGCTGCTGCTCACAGAGGTGTGTAAAGCGTTTCCATTCAGGAGTGACCAGGCTGTGTCGGAAAGTTTGTACGTGCACGCTCAGAGTGGAGATGGATATTGCGGTTCGGGAAATCCATTAGCTTAATGACTTGAGCTCTGTGGGAATCTCATTAGAACAAGCAGAGGGAGGAAGGAGGAAGGAGCATGGACAGCCTCAGAAAGACAGAAATCCAGCTACTTCATGCCTCCTTTTTTACTTCTCTCTTTTATTTTCCTTGTGTAACTCAACATGAATCTTTGTGTTTAAACGTGTTTGCTCGCTTATATTTGTTCATGAGTGGGTAGGAGATAGAGATGTCCTTGTCCCCTGGCTGTAACTTCTTGTCAGGGTCAGTAATCCAGGAGATATATAAGCACTTAGCTGATGAAACCAGTCAAGCTTTATTACAGGACATCAGCCAACCCTGCACGAATACACACACTCACACACACACACCTACTCTTCCTCACAGGCACTTTAATGTTCAATAGCTTTCCTTCTCTACTCCTGACATCCCCAAGATCACTCCTCACCCTGTTACCAAGCTTGTATAAAAACCCACTATCTTCCTTAGTTGATTATTATGAATAAAACCAGTAGTATCCAGATATTTTTTTGCATTATCATCATGTAAAAGTACCAGTGGAAAATAGATATACACTAGTGTGAATGATTAGTATGAAATGACTAATGTAAAGTAACTGCAGTGTTCATTCAGTCATTCTTAGTATTAAAAAAAGACTATTCTTAGCATCTTTAATCTCAGTAGTAGGGCGTGTTGTACTCAGCAGACATTTACAAAACAAAACCTCAGACTAGACTCCGCCCAGTGATTTCCTGGTGACTAAGAACATGTACCAGTGGCCCCATTGACGGATTACACTTGTAGTGGTAATCTACCTCAATTTTGCTGTTGTACATTTAGGAGTAGCTATGCTAACTTTCCAGCATCGCGCTTTTGGGGTTCATGTGGTTGAACTCTGGTTGAGACCCTTATTAATTCTCCGGTTCAGAATTTTACACAATTGACAGCTTTTAATGAGGAAGAAAACAGTGAAGGATTAATGTGTTTATTTCATTTGAGGAATACATTAAGCTCTCCAAAGGTTGGAAAAGGATGTCACTGATTGTGTGTAAATATTATTTGAATCCATACAGTAAACAGCCTAAACCGTTTCAGAGTGAGTAATATTTCACCAATGAGATCAGCATTGTGTTGCTCTGACATTGCTTCAGCATAACTTGACAGTGATTCATAACACCAACCTCAGAGGCAGTCTAGCAGGGTGTTGCTGTAAGATTATGATCCATGACGCTACTTTTCCTGGTCCAGGGTAAGGAGATAATAATTTATGAGACTGCCTCTAGAGCTGGTGTGACAGGATGGTGATCTGTCAGACGGTGATTTCCTTGTCCTGCCACGTTGAACGTCCTGGTTACAGCAGGAGGAGTCAGCATAGTAACCAATACAGGCCTCATTGGGCATGATTCACAGGAAGTGACAGGCTGCTGGACCTTGTTGTCTTTGATTGCTCAGGCTGCTAAAGTACAACTAGGAGCTGTTTATTGTTTTTATCATGTCAGATAAGGTGTTATCATCAAAACAGGTAGCGTGAGGACTCCTGTATTCAGAGAAACCAGTCCGTGCCCTTTTTTAGTCTGACCTCATTTTCTGGCTGAACTGTTTCCCTGTTTATGGTTGATGGTTGATGATTAAGAATGAAACCTTTCATGATGACTGAAGAACTTCACTGATATCAGGAAGTTTAAATAAGTTTGATCATAATCAGTCCAGTTGAAATGAAAGACTGTGTGAAATTGATATGAGAATAAAGGATGACAAGAATTAGATATAACAAGAAATTCTATGAAGCGATCTTCCTTCTCTAGGGTGTCGTGTCTTTCTCTTTCTCTCTCTCTTCTTCTGATTGTCTGCCAAGTTAAAAGACTTGTCATGTCCTTTAGCGCACCATTTCCTGTATTGATTTAATATATCACAGGGAGACAGCAGTTATGATCTCAGCTCCGCTTGTTAAGAATAAAATAAACTCTCCCCCCTCTTTGATATTCATCCTTTCTTTCTTTCCCCCTCCCAATTTTTTTAAACCTCTTGTTTTTCTCATTCTTGGTGTAGTCCTCATAGTTTGTTCTCACCATCATCTATCCTGCTTTCTCTCTTTTAGATGTGGGAGAAAAAAAATCGATAAAGCACAGTATCACGATATTATGTCTGACATCATAAAGCAGGAGAAAGTTAGTACAACAAATATAAATATATAAGGTTTGCAAGATGTGCTACATGAAAATAAAATACTGAGTAAATAAGACAAACATAAAGGAAAGACAAATGCTAAATTAGCTAAACAGTTAAAAAAATCGTATAAATCGCAATATATTGTATCGCAATACTCACTGTATCGCTAATATCGCCTCATGGCCGAAGTATCGTGATAATATTGTATCGTGGGGTCACTGGTGATTCCCACCTCTACTTTCTTTCTTTCTCTTCTGCATCCTGCGTCACCAAATGTTTCTATATTTCATACAGATTAATGGTAAAGCAACAGGTGAGTGAATGAGCAGTTACAACGATTAAAGCAATCACATGAATAAAATTAGTAGATGAAAAATAAATTATAGGGGGATGATTCTGCTAGTGAAATAATAGCTGTAAGCTGCAGAAATCCAAATTAATTTAGACTGGATGGCAAAAGTTAATTTGATAGTTTTTGTGTTATAATCATTCGTATTGCAGCTAATAGGTAACACATTTTATCACAACAACCTGCCAGAATTAGAGACTGTCACATAAAAAGTTTCCTCTGTAAGGGTCCAGTTCAGTGACAGCGGGCTCTGTAAATGGCGAGAGTTTCTGGCCCCGCGTTTGTTCACCTTCTTTTATACTCTTTATATCCTTCCTTATTCTTTCATTCTCTTTAAACTCTTTTATATTCTTTTTATACCCTTAAATACCTTCATTTTTACTTGTCTGGGGTTGTTCCTGTCAAGTTGGTTGTCTTGTGCCCTGTGATGTTGTTCTGTGCTTATGTTCATTTATTGTTGTTGTTGCCGTGTTGATTGTACGGCCACTGCAGATCAAATTTCCTCTGGAGGAACAATAAAACCTCTGAACTGAACTGAATCTCATGAACAGGGTAGGATCTGGGAAATCAAATCAGCTCAGCAGGTGTTAAAACTTTAAAGGGTGAGGCACAGTTACAAAGAAGTTTTGTTGCGAAAACTAAAGAATGAAGTTACAATGAAAAACAAAACATTGGAGACGGACAATAAAGACTGAGGACAAGAAAAGGACCAAACACGACTGTAGACTGAGAATTGTCTTGTAACATAAGACCAAAGTGAATCATGTGTCTTATTCACTTAAAAACAAAAGAAACAAACTTATCACATGTGTGATATTTGATTTGAATCAAGCTTCTGTAACAGTCTCAGGATTTGCTTTATTTGAACTTACTACAGCTACTAGAAAAGGATCCTTATATAACCCTTACTTCATGAGTGAAACCTGAGATGACATTTCACACATACACACATACCTGGGAGGTGCACCTAAGTGTTTTACAACTTCAGTCTGGTATCCAACACGCTGGGCCTGTGGAAGAACCCGGTACTGAGTTCAAAAAGTCACACTCTGTTGGTGAAATAAAGATAAAAGGAGTGAACAAAGAGCCATTATACCTCTAAAGATTGTCCATATTAGAGGCTTAAAATGAGAGTCAGGCTGAATAAGTTGTCTCTCTAACTGGGGGAAAAAGGTCAGAGGTCAGATTACGGGGGAAGGGGTGAATACACACAGACACAGTGTCCTGAATGTTGGAATGTAGAGCAGGGAGAGAAAGAGAGAGAGAGGACAAAGCTCCAAAAAGAGGGAGTGGGGCAGAGGATGACAAGACTGATTAATGTTAAAAAATAAATCATTGTATTTCCTGCTGTAAAGATCTGGATGTGTACTCGAGTGCATGATCTGACAGGGTTGTTAGTTAATAAATGTAATCTGTATATTCGTACACATATCACAGGCTCTGGAATATTTCATACATACTTTAATACAATGAAGCCTTTTTCTTGAGTAGGCCATTAGATTGCCGTATTACCCTAATATCCTCCTTTTCTCTACCCTTCTCTTCTATTACAGGCTATCTTCCTAATGGGATCCATGCAGTGGAGGCCATGTTAGCAGCAGCCAGCATCGGAGCAATCTGGAGCTCCACGTCTGTCGACTTTGGGGTCAATGTAAGGACTGTTTGTGGCTTTTGTTTCCTTATTTGTGGTCAAGTAAATTTTTAACCAACAAAAGCTGTTCATGTATTGTAAATCCCTTTTGTTTGTCAGTTCTTTTAGTCATTCAAACTAGATTTAAATACACAAGTAGATTTCTTACACAGGAACTACTCGGTCTTTTGAGGCAATGTTGGATTATATCAAAACTATTTGACCTGCTAGTTTAGAGGGGCTTGATTTCTTTAACCCGTCTAAACTACGATTTAACTAGTTAATTCTAGTAGTAATTCTAGTTCCTCCATCTATATTAAGAATTATAATAGAGGCTGTAGACACATCCAAAAAAACATAAATACAGAAGTGAAGATGAAAAGGTTTCCAGGTTTTCATTGGTTCTTTAATAGTCTTCTTTCTGAATTCTTGTGCTCTACTTTTGTTTCCAATACTCTGCTGCCCCGTGTGGTAAATCACAGTAGTGCATGTACTAAAAAAAGTTATTTGTGTTGTTGTAGTTGCAGTTTTACAAGGCTGTAATGTACTTAATGTTCCAATAATGTTAGGAACTGCCTATCCACCATAATGTCCATTTCTCTGTCTCTTTCTTTTTCCTTATTTATTTATTTATTCATCTATTTTTTATTTGATATTGCTCTTAAATGTGTTTTAAATGTTTGTGCCTTTTGTGCAACAGTTTAACATGATGCTCATCACTCTTTAGCAGACTCCATGCTTGTCTGCTGTTAATTATTATTTGCTCTTATTTGTTTTATTTTCATCACATTAAAACTCTGTCTCTCTTTTTTCAGGGTGTCCTCGACAGGTTCTCTCAAATCCAGCCCAAGCTGATCTTCTCTGTTGCAGCTGTGGTTTACAACGGCAAAACACACGACCACATGGAGAAGCTGACCAGTGTTGTCAAAGGTTCGCAGACACTGAAACCATCCAAGCAATTATTTTTACGTTTGATTTTTATACATTTTTGATTAAGTTTTGGTTTTTTTTACAAATTTAAAATCTATTTATTAAAAAGAAAAATAAATACACATGGTTTCTTCAACTAATGGGTGATGAAACCTAAAACTTTTGCTATTAGATAGCAAGAAGAAAAAGGGTTGAGCAGTTTGGGACAAAGGAGCTCTTCAGGCTTTCACAAGTGTTTGAAATGTAGAGTTTCTGCACAGTAGATGCTGCAGTAAAAAGTAGGATGAAACAGGATTTCCTCCTCTGCTATCACAGGACTGTCCAGAGATTCACAAAGCATATTTCAGCCCTGGACTCGAGAAAACCTTCAGGGGGGCTCTGTAGAGGAACAATATGTGTTACATATTCTTAGAAAAAAATAACACCTACATCCCTCTGGGAGCCATCTTTGCTTTTCACAAGATTACAGTGTGAAGAAACACTAAAGCCTCGGCGTCTCTGCTTCTCTCTCTGTAGGTCTGCCTGACCTGAAGAAAGTCGTGGTGATTCCCTACGCTCGCTCCAAACACGAGACTGACCTCTCCAAGATCCCCAACAGGTGAGTGTGCCTGTGAATCAACTGTGCTAAACTTGTTCAAGCTGACGATCAGGTTACTTTTGTTCATCTTTCAACAAGTTTGACTCATTCTTTTGTGTATCTTTGCAGTGTATTTATAGATGATTTCTTGGCCTCTGGGCGGGGCGAGGGGGACCAGTATCCCCAGCTGGAGTTCGAGCAGCTTCCTTTTAGTCATCCTCTGTTCATCATGTACTCTTCCGGCACCACAGGAGCTCCTAAATGCATGGTGCACTCTGCAGGGGTAAGAAACAAGCTGTAGTTCCATTAGCACAAAATCATATAAAAAAAAAAAGAAAACATAGTTCAGCATTTAATCCATTGACTCTCCTGTGATACTGCTATTTCATATTAGTGATTAGTTCGTGTCAAACACAGGACGAAGTGAACATTTTGCTTCTATTTTTATGCCCAATTTTTGCAACCGATCCAGAAGGGCTGGATGGACCACAGCTGTCACACATGCAACTGCACATTAGCGCACACTGGTCACATCTGTTCGCCAAGCTCTCCAGGGATGGCAAACATGCACAGTTTTGTATCCAGTCCAAACTATTTATATAAACAGGCATGTGGACGGTTTCTGGAGATGTGATGTTTGATTCATTTTTATAAAAAGTGAGAAAAATGTGGTTGAATCAGACAATGTAACACAAAATGATTTATTCTCAACACGTAACCAATTTCTCATTTATTCTTAACGATCAAATTTAAGTTTCTACTTTACTTTTCTTTCTTCACCCAGCTGTTATGGTCCCAGTGTAAGTCGGCTGTCTTGTTTTCAATTTTAGGCATTTGCCTTGTTAAAAGTTTCAAGTTGTTGCCTGAACTTTGAAACAGAAGATATATGGAAAACTTGTAATAAACTTTCAAGTGTCAGGAATCAACACAGAGGTCATAAATCAAAGATGTATAAGATAATATTTGAGGAAATTCTAGATATTAGCTTGTTGTTAAGGTGAGATGAAAAAATATCCAACATTTAAGGACAGTTTACTACATGTGTTATATGGTTGTGACAACTACAGATGTATTAATATAGACAAAAAAATACTAGTATGAACATCTTTGTCATACCTTTATCAATATCAAAGAAGGACACGAACAAGTTCTGCCTGAACTCTGGTCCTCTTGTCAGGCTCTTAAGCATTAACTGTGTCCGTTCCTGAGGTTTTAAGTTGCTTTACTGACCACAAGGTGGCAGCAAACCTCCATCAGAGGATCTAAGAAGTGCCGTTCCCTCTCAGGGGAGTGAATGAATGACATTTTTATCCTGCTGCAGACCCTATCTGAGTGAGGTGCGATGTGAAGTTTAGATGAATGTGTGATTTTATCAGGTTGGCTGCTCTTTGAAGGCTGAAACACTCAGACATACTAAGTGGATTAACACACCCAAGTGAATGCATTGACACATTTACGCTAAATATTTATTTTTCACATACACTCTGTTCTGTCATTTTTGTCATTCTTATCATTCTTACTCTTCTTTTACCCTTCTGCCTGTTTCACTGCAGCTTCTCCATCCCAAACTCGCATTTCTACATTTTTACAACCCATCCGCCTGTCAGACTCTCCCTGGAAGTTTCCCCCGGCTTTATTTCCTCTCTCCTCCAGCTCCCTCTATTTTCTCTCTCTTTTGTTTTCCTCTCTATCTTGTTCTTTTGTGCTCCCTCCGTCTCCCCATGCTGCCGATAATTGGACAGTAATGCGTTGGTGAAAACATTTTGTATCGCGACGTTGGCAGTCCTCTCTGGCTCTCCCAATTAGCCCCGACACTGTTGTGCTTTCTGCTTTGTTACGGCTCTGTTAACATGCTGTCAGTGGCAAGATGGCACGCACCAAAGGACGGGGTATGGCAGCTGAGTTCTGCCAAAGATTATATGCACACACACACACACAGACACACAAACTGAGCACCTGTTTATGCAAACAGCAACTTATGCTGGAAACTAAAACATGGTGAGTCCACACGCTTGAAATTCACCTCTTGCAATAATTACCTGTCAAACTGAGGAGGGCTTGTGACTGTGGATGAATCCACACTTTACACAAATTGCACTTTCTTTGTTAGAAGGATGTGCTGTAGGGGAAACATATTCTTGCACAACTCAAGATTGAGGTCCTAAATATCTCAAAAAATAACATATACATTACAATATATGTATTAAAAATGTTCTTCCCCTCTGTCTTTCTCTCTTTTTGTGTCTGAATCTGTAGGGCACGCTCATCCAACACTTGAAGGAACACATCCTCCATGGCAACATGACCAGCAGTGATGTCATCATTTACTACACCACGGTAGGTGTAACCTTTAACTTGGAAAAAATGACACGCTTGTTCCCAAATTTTCCAGACCAGAGAACTTGACGCTGCTCTCCGCTCTCTTTGCTTTATCCCGGTTAGAAGTAAGCACAGATTGAGCAAGTGAAGCTTTTCTAATGAGTACTGAAGGTCAGAATACTGATTTCTGCCAACTTTGGATGTATTTAGAGTGAGAAACATGAGCTGATCTCATTGAGGCACTTGATCTGATTCAGAAAAAGGGCTAGTGTTCATGTAAGACAAATTTGACCAATTTATGGCATTAGGTGGATGGACTAGAATTAACGGTGGATCGAGTTCAGATACGTTACCAAGATGTACAGTGCTCAGCATAAATGAGTACACCCCTTCAGAGTTGTCTGAAAACCTTTAGTTTCCTTTCAAAATCAACATTTTCTGTGTCAACCTATACAAAAAATATTCCCCCAAATGTAGGCTATTAATTGCAAACAAGATTTTTTAAGTTGCATAAAAGAAGTATTTTTTTCAATTTAAAATCAGGATGCAAAAATGAGTACACCCCAATCAAAGTTCCGGAGCAAAGCTAAATTTTAGTTACTAACCCTTATTTTCATCTCATGGTAAATGAAATGTTATGTTAATCTCAGCTTTGTCAAAACTTTGGAAATCGAACTTCTACTCATCTAGATATTGAGTAATACGTTACTCAGCGGCTGTACTGACTTATGCTGGGCACTGTACTTCCAATCTGATTGACTCTCATCAGGTCAGTCCTGTCTGTTTGTTCAGAGCTGGAGGAGAGTATCAGCTGTGATATCAGATTTACAGTCGTATGAGGCACAGACTCGGCGGTCAGTTTCCTATGTGTGTAAGAAAGGTGTCATGTTAAAATGATATCTTTCAGACTTTTCAAGTAATAAAGTTCCGGCTCATGTGGCTGACATTACACATCTTGCAGTGTGACTATCATGCATGCACACTTTGCACTGATACATCCTTCAACCCAACATGGACCACAGATGCCTGATGTTGAGCCTGCAGGACTTGTACATTTTGCTTCCTGTTTCTCCCTGTTGATGTTAAACAAGTGTTTGCACCAGATAAACTGACCACTGTGTTGTGTGTTTTTGTCTCATAGACCGGCTGGATGATGTGGAACTGGCTGGTGTCCTCTCTGGCAGTCGGAGCTTCAGTGGTCCTGTACGACGGTTCACCACTAATGCCCACACCCAATGTGCTGTGGAACCTGACAGACCAGCTGGGGTGAGTTAGCCACGGACACAAACACACACAGACAAGCACCAGAGATAACTGAGCAGGACTCATTATTACTTTTTGGGAACAATTTGCATCTTAATTTAGGTGATAATGAATACAGTATTTGTAGTTATTAAAACACACGCACAGTCCATGGTAATGTGTTGGTTGTGACCCTTTCAGGATCTTAAATCTCCAGATCCATGTTGCTTTTTTTAGCACCAATTGTAAAAGTGATACACGACTTTTTAATAAGTTTGGATTTCCCTTTTACGCTGATATTCTATTTGAGTGGAGAGCAGAGAGACTGACGGAGAGAAAAGACCAAAACCAGACAATTGAAGGGAAAAAAGAGTCAGATATGCAGACAGAGTGTGAAAGGGGAGCGTGAACAAAGGGTAAGGTTTTCCTTTGAGATTTCGTTTTTCTTTTTTTTTCTTTTACCGCAGAATTGATAATGTGTTTACCTAACTGGCAACTTGCGCACAAGAGCATAGCCATGAATAAAGATTTCTGCTGGTTGTTATGTGCATTGAGATCAGAGACCCTCTGCAACTGATTATCCAATAAACATGTTTTATTATTTACTTGCTAATAAATCACACTTTATGTAAATCAGGAGGGAGAAGAGAAGTGGAGTTAGAGAAGATGGCTTGGTTGGGAAGGAGAGAAAGACAGTGTCGGCAGAGGGAGATCATTTTGCTTCATTTCACTGTTTGCTATAAATGCATTAAGGTTTGGATTAAACACAATATGAATTTTCTCACAGCCCTCTAAAGCACTAAAAAAAAAACAAGAAGTTGTCTTCATAAGACCACAGCAGCCTTCACACTCAGAACAGGAGGCTCAAATGTTATCTCCATATTTTATTGCTGTGCTCCAGTCTTTGAAATGTTAATCTGACAAACTGGGATCATTTCACTTCTGATCGAACGATAAGCATCTTCAAAGAGATAGACAGCAGGAACCTAGAGAGACACTTCAAGTCAAATCACAAAGTCGACAAGCTGTTAACCAACACAAGCTGACTGTGGCATTCAGCATCTTCATATTGAACTATTTTATTTTAAAATCATACATCAACAACAACAGATTATATCGCTGATGTACAGATACACAGTTCCACATGAATTAATTTCCTCCATCTTATTCTTATTAACAATAATGTTTTGTTTTAGTTCTGTTTTAACTTGACATATGGCCGGACGTCTGTCTCAGATTTTCACCACCTGTTATGTTTGTTTGTACTGTTAATGGGTGTCCATCAATCAGGAAGCAGTATGATGACCACAGTGTGTCAGGTTGTTAATGTTTATGACCTGGACAACGGCAATAAGACTATCGAGACCGACAAGCAGATGGTCAGACAACAAAACCAGTAGGAGAGTTGAAACCCAGAGTATAATCAAGCACTGAAACTCTTTTCTACGGTGGCCCTGAGGTGCAAAACACAACGGCAAATCCAAAAACACAACACAAAAAGAGGAAACACAATGGCAAGAAAACACAATGGCTAATCAGGAAACACAACACAAAAAAAGAGAAAACACAAAAACACGAAAACACAACACAAAAACAGAAAACAAAATGGGAAATAAGAAAACACAACACAAGAATAGAAAACAGCGGCAAATCAGGAAACAACACAAAAATAGAAACCACAAAAAGAGAAAACACAACAGCAAATCAGAGAAAATACAACATAAAAAGAGAAAAAACAACACAAAAAGGGAAAACAAAACGGGAAATAAGAAAACACAACAGCAAATTAGGAAACAATATAAAAAGAGAAACCACAAAAAGAGAAAACACAATAGCAAATCAGAGAAAACACAACGGCAAAAGAGAAAACACAACACAAGAGAAAACAACTGCAGAGGAGAAAATACAACACAAAAAGAGAAAACACTGATTTGCCGTTGTGATTTGCCGTTGTGATTTGCACCGTACTTTTCTGTATAAAATGGCTTGTTACGTATGAATAAATAAGGTGATAACCTGCCGTTTGACGTGTTAAAAAACATATTCTGGACAGTGCTTCTGTCTGCATTAGAGAAGTGCTCTGAAGTAACACAAATCCAGGAGTAAGAGCAGATTTAATCCACTGTGAGAACAGACTGGGAAAGTTTCCTTCAGTAAAAAAACAAAAACAGAAATAGATTCTGTTTCATCCAGCTCTCCACGTCTGTGCTGTATAAACCCCATAACCCCTTTCCTTCTAATCAAAATCTTTTCACACACTGTAGGTTCCCACCTGACATCGCACAGCAGCTATTAACAGCACTTTCTCTTGGTAAATGTCCTCTTGCCCCCTCCACCACCACCATAACCATAACAAACAGCTGATGTTAAAGCCAGTATTGATCTTCTATTGTCCTCTGAAGACAGCAAGAGAAAGGAGGAAGTGGTCAAGGATAATAGTGTGAGAGTGCAGGTGTGCAGGCAGGCAATTAATTTGTCCAATTTTAATTGGGAGGATGCTGAGGGTGTATATTCTCCCTGTGACCCATTGTTTTCTTCTTTATTTATGAAGCCCCCAGGTCATACCCCATTCAGCCTTTGAATTCATTGGCTCGGCGATCCATTTTGTCGACTTTTAAGGTGTGATTTAAAAATTTCACCCAAAAAATACAGCCTATTTACCCTCTGCTCACAGCTTTCTATTACCCAAGAAAGAGGCTTATATGATCTTTCTGAATAAAACAAGAGAGGATTTGCAAACAGCATGATTAACAGCTGACAGTGGCTGCAGTGTTTGTCTTTGACAAAAGTAAACAGACCCAAAGAGGAAGCCCTGAAAAGTCTGAGTCAGAAGGGGGACTCCGTTACTGAATAAAGATGAATTATTTCTTGTGGCCAGCAGGGGGACTCAGGCTATCAAAGCACTCTGTTTTTATTTGAGTTGTGTCAGAAAATTAATGTCCCGCCTCAGTTGACATTTACCACATAAGGTAAATGTTTTAATAACAAATTTTAGGTTTAATTTAATGCAAGATGAAGAATTTAGTCTTTTGTGTAAAGTAATTATTGATATAAAGTGTGTTTCCTTCTTGGTTACACCCTGACCTGCTGTGATGCACTAAAAAAATACAGTAATAAGTCAAGGGTTCCTTTTTTGGTCGTTCCATTTCATTGCAAGCTTGTTTTTTGTAGCTGTGGACGTGGATGAATCTTGCATTGGTCGCCCTATTACAGCTGATTTGCTTTCCTTTTTGCATTTCTCTTGCTTTCGAAGGCCAAAGATGGTGTGAACCGAAAAACTTGAGGCTTCAGAAAAGCAGTCCATAAATCTTTAAGTGGTGACTGCATGGTTGCTTTCTTCACTTTCTACAGTTTGTAAATCAACCACAAGCTTTACTGCGTTTGGTTGAGATACTTTTGAACAATCATGCAAACCAAAGGAAAGTCGGTCATCGGCAAAAATATTTGATAAATCCATATTTTTTGAAAATCCATGAGGAAATATTTAAAATCTAAAACTCACAAACACATAAGCAAAAAATCTGCCCCCAATGTAGCTTTGAGCAACCTCAACTAGCATTAATAAAAGATGGATTATGTCACAAAGAGGCATCTTCCAGATGTCTGTGTGTGTCACCGATCACACTCAAGGAACTTGTGGTTAAATTATGAAAGAAATCCACTGTGGTCAGCAGAAGCAAAGAGAATATTAGGAAGTGGTACGTCAGGTGTCATATTAGCTTCAGCATGGTGGGAAAGGATGGAGAGAGAGATTTGACATGGATCAGGATAAGTGGGAAAAAAGTACTTCTGCTGCATTTACCTAAAGAGGATCTGCCAGTAAAATTCCAGTGCTAGTAGTTAGCCCCTTTTTATCATTGAAGGAGTTTAAAATTACCTGTCAGTTAAATCAATCACACAAATGCAAGAGTTTTAATTCTGCTCTTAAGTTTGAAGCTGTAATTTGGATGAACACATACTTTCGGTACTGTTGTGTCAAGAAAATGTACTTTTCTTACAGCCACACCAACTCTTCTCTCTCTTTAATAGTTTATGGTACATAAGAGAAGGTGTTCAACGCTAGAATAATCTTACCAAAATCACCCACAGAAAGGATTTCAAAAGGTGTTTCTCGTCTGACAGAGACAGATGAACCTTTGAAATGGTGAGGACATTTTTGAACCAATTAAGTGCTGATGCAGTCACCTCAGACACATTTTCCAGATCCCAGCACTGTGTGGAAAAACCCTCAGGGAGAGGTTGACATGGAGTTTTTTACACCCTCATCTTCAGAGTTGAGGTTGGACATTTTAATTGGGGCTAAATCTGTCAGAGCCTCTGAGAGTGTTAAAGTAATATTGATGCTTCCCACGCTGCCTTGAATTTTGTTGGTTAGTTGTGTAACTCTGTTATTGAGCCCTGCTGTTATACCACACTCAGAAACTGACTTTGCAGTTTGAAATGCTTGTTAGATCCTTTTTTAATTATGATATTTTCAAGTCCGGGACTAGAGGGGGCATTTTGTTAAAGCACAAAGTTTAGCATCTAGAAAGTGACATGAACCTCTCTATTAGGGGTTGGAATCACCAGTGGCCTCACAATACGATATTATCACGATACTTGGGCCACAATTCGATATTATTGCGATTTTTAGCATGCTGCATTAAATTTCCTTTTATGTTTGTCTTATTTATGCTGTATTTTATATTCATGTAGCACATCTTGCAAACCTTATACATACATATATATATATATATATATATATATATATATATATTTGAAATATTTTGTACTAACTTTCTTCTGCTGTATGATGTCACCTCTGCCAACTTCACTGGACAAACAGCTGATTTTATTTTTCCATTATCATAGACTTAACTTCATAATTATATCAATACTTGGTAAATGAGACGATACGATATATCACCAGACAAAATATCGCAATAATATGCTGCATTGATTTTTTCTCCCACCCCTACTCTCTATTCAGTATGTCGGCGTTCAAAACTCAAAAATTGCCCCTCTATCTTGTGGGAAGTGCTCACCCCCAGGCAGCCTCTAATGTCAGTCTACTGCTGTTAACAGTTTAAATGAAGTGATTTGAACCAGTAGAAAACTCTGTTTTGTGTCTAATGAGTAAAGTTTTTTTCTGGTGAAAAAAGTGATAGCCCTTCCAGTGCTGAAGCGCCAATCTGAGGAAATCAGAATCTAAATCAAATGGAAAGCAGTGTCACTAAATACACTCTAGTTGCTGCTCTTGTTCACTCTCTGTCTTATTTTTGTAACAAAGCCTCTGAATGCTCGTCCATCTTTCTTGTCTGTGTCACTTAGAGGTTTATTGAGACTGTAGTGAAAATAAAAGCAGCAGTATTCCTGGACAAAGCGAGCAAAAGGTTACAACATTTATACTCATGACAGGCTCTATGTACATGACAGGACCCCTCTTGGATCTTCTTGTCTCTTCCATCTCATGTCCATTACGTGTTGAGCAGATTTCTCAGGAGGAGAAAAAGAAAAAAAAAACGACCTCCCTGCACTTCTGTGCGCACAATGGCAATGTTCTCTTTTACAAATGCCAGCCAAGATTGGCCTCTGTGGAGGAGATGATTACAGATATGTTTTATCAGGCTGCATCTTGTCTGCTCAGTTACAAAGTAAGAAACATCGGCATAACAGTTCAAGGCCATGTCTTTACGTTGAAATCTCATACACAGATTATTTGTTTAGATTAGACAAAAGATGCACCTGTTTAAATTGTCAAGCATATCTATCTATTGTCAAAACACCAACAGTATTGGCCTCTACATGGTCTTTTTTTTTTTACCACTCCTGGCACAAAAGGAGTGCTTTTCCAACACAGAGTAGAAAAAGTTTCTCGATACAGAATGGTAGAAAGAGCGGAGCGCTGATAGAATATAATTTAAACATCTTTTTTTTCACAAAAGAGAGGGCCGAGTAAATCAGTGAAAAGATGAAACAAAGTTGAAAGGGAAAAAAACTGCAACTCTAGAAACAGTAAATAATGACGTACTTCTGATATAAAGTCTGTCTTTTGTATGCATGGCAGTAACAAGCTGTACCTGAAAAGATGTAGCATTTACAGTTTCCTCAAAATGATGGAGTGCTTCACATCAGTGACACAATCAGGTAGCAGTTTTAAAATGCTCCCCACAGCCCCTCATGCCAAAGAGGTCGGTAATGTTTTATGGCAAACGTGTGCACAAGCAGTTAAGTAAACACTCACATTCAGTCGCCGCATCATGACACGTGCAGTGACACATTAACGTGATATTTGCTCAGAGGTGCTCCGGTGTCTGATTCTCTTCCAGTGCCTCTTATTGGCTCATTACCTTTCAGTGGCATGTCCCCCTTCAATCAGACACACAGGTACATTAACACATGCAGGCGCACACTCACAGCTTCTCCTCCACCCTCCATCCAAAGCAGCCAGTTAAGAGTCACACCTAAACACCTGCGTCCAATCAGGATAGAGTAACCTTCCTCATGGACACCAGTAACGCACAAATCCAGATACAGATTGATAGAGACTGGAGAGTGAATATGTGTATGTGTGTCATCTGAAGTATCTGATAGAGGTCAGTGAATTTGGAGAACAGGTACAAATTGATTTAAGTCATGAGACACACACTTAAACACATATTGTAAAGTAAAAGGTAGATATTTAAAGACCCACTCTAATGAAAATCATGTTTTTTTTGTTGTCTACATGTTCATATGGCATTTTCCGATGCTACAGGACATATCATTAGAAAAATAATTGTGGAATTGCATTTCTGAGTATTTCTGCACTCAAATTGCTGTAAATCTCTGGCAGATCCAAACGTCAGGTTCAGACACATAGGGATTTCCTATGTCACAATTCCAAGCTCCGCCCCTGGTGCCCTGCTATGCAGGCCAGACTCGGAGCAGTAGAGAGGACAATCGCTGAACAAATGTGTGGGTTAGCAGACTGCAATGCTTGTAAGATTGCTAATCATGATATTAGCTTTCATCATGTCCCCAAAGACATTAGTGTCTGAGAGCTGAATAGCTCCTATGTTACCTGCTTCTTCTCCTACACTGGCAATGTTACAAGCTAGCGTGTAGGAGAGTGAGCAGAGCAGCGATGTCTATGTCCACGACTCAGAATTACTAATGAGCCACTGGAGCTCTGCAGAAGAAAAGCCCTTGAAAATGAGACAGGCAACATGATTTTGGCTAAAAACTTCATAATCGCAATTTAAAGACCACTGAGAAGAACACTTTAAGTAGTAACAAAAAACTGATTGGAGTGGGACTTAAAAGGCAATGTGAGGAGGTTTCCCTCTCACCCACTGCACCAGACTGTGGGGGCTTTAAGCAGCTCCTTCAGCAGCAGACTTAGACTCCCACCTTGCAAGACGGAGCGCTACCGCAGGTCATTCCTCCCTTCTGCAATAAGACTTTACAACAAACTGCAATAAAACTGGACTCACACCACCACTTTTTTCTGGTACTTAAATTGTGTATATTGTATATAGTTTTATTTTATTTTATTTTATTTTCTTCTCCCCTTTTTCCTTTTTCTAATTTTTTTCTTAATTATAACATTTATTTAAGTTCTTAATATTACGATCTTTATTTTTATAACTGCATTTTGCACTACCTTTGTCTGTGATGCTGCTGTGGCAAAAAAATTTCCCCCATGGGGGATCAATGAAGGAATATTCTATTCTATTCTATTCTGTTTATGAAACACCCTGAAGCTGAGACTAATGCCTCCTTATGACCTTTAGAAGCAAACTATAACACTGGTATTCAGTATGACACGCACTGTGATTAAGTTGTTAAGATTTGGCACTCAGGCAGTTTGGTGAGGATAGAAAGTGAGACGTGAAGCGGCATGGGCAAAGGTGGGTTTACTTCTGCACATTTAAAGCTCTGTGAACGTGTTATTTTTCATCCAGAGTGGACTGAAGCGGCTTTATTCTGCTGTACACAGAAAATAATGAATTTGAACAGCATCTACAGCATCTTCTGATATTACTTCTCAGAAGCTTTGCCCCTTCGCCCCATCCCACTGCCCCCCACCCACCACCAATCTCTATTACCACTAATCGATTCTAACCTCGGAGAGCAAATCACATCCTCCACTGAGAACCAATTCCTGCTTATTGACCAATCAAGCACCAGACTGTTGTTCTGTGTCCCAGAGACAGATCCTCTCTTTTTCTGATGTGATTTGATTGACAGGCATGGTTACCGGAGTGATAGGAGGCAATTTGATTGATTTGATGTCAGCAAAAATAACTTGAAAAGGCAGAAAGAGACAGACGAAGACACCAACACACTCGTGCAGACAGAGGCAGACTTTAAAAGGCGCCTTTGTTTTAAAAGGAAAACTGCAGGGGAACACTGAAGTGACGTTTTGTCACTTCTTGCCTTCCACATGTTGTCCAACTGTTGTCAGCTGTCACGGCGACTTCTATTCACTCAGAAAAAAGCCACCCTCCAAATTCATTTCATTTCAGTCTGCAAACATCCTGTCAATACCTTCTCCTCTGAACTATTACCTTGTCGAACACTCACAAAGATGCTGTTTTGTCCACTCATGCCAGGCTGACCACCTTTGTGTTTCTTCTTTATGTTTGTTCACTTAAAAGTCAGTACACAATCAGTTTCTTCTTTTTTCTTTTTTTTCGATTTCTCTTATCTACCCATGTAGGGTTGACTGAGTGCACACACTCTGTTTCAGCGTCACCTTGCTTTACATTTGCACAGCGACACACACTCTCCTCTCCTGGGAGCTTCTTAGCACAGCCGAGCCACTGAGCAGCTCCACTGGAGCAGATGGGATTAAGGGCAAAGGCTGTTCAGTGGCTGTTACCCTTTTTGTATTTCTACATTCAGTGTGCAGGCATTAAAATTGTGCTTTGTCATGCATAGATTCAGGGCAACAAATGGAGCGTTTTCAGTTAAGGGCATACTTACATCGACTCCTTCATTCATACTCTTTACTTCCAGTGCCATAATAATACTCAGGTGAAAAAAGCTTGTATGACACTCATACTTCTACCGTAACATTAAAAGGGTTGCCGCTTTGTCCATAAGGGGGCGCCAAAGTTAACACAGACAGAGAGTTCCTTCTAGGAGCTTTAAAGCCTGACCCCGCAATTTCCACTACATCCGGAACGGCTCCGAATATTTTTTGCCATCTGCAAATTCCTACTGGATCCATTTGTGAGTCGAATTTCGTGGTGGATTACAGACAGCAGCAATCTCGAGAACTCACAAGAACCTGTGGATTCACATGCAACTGCGCAATAACGAGTTGTCTTCTATAAAGATATCCACATAACTACAGTACAGGCCAAAAGTTTGGACACACCTTCTCATTCAATGCATTTTCTTTGTTTTCATTACTATTTAAATTGTAGACTCTCAAAACTATGAATGAACACATGTGGAATCATGTGCTTAAGAAAAAAGTGTGAAATAACTGAAAACATGTTTTATATTTTAGATTTCTCAAAGTAGCCACCCTTTGCTTTTTTGATAGCGCTGCAAACTTTAGCTGTTCTCTCAATGAGCTTCATGAGGTAGTCACCTGAAATGGTTTTTACTTCACAGGAGTGCCTGAAGTAACCCTGACAAGGTACTTCTGTCATCAAGAGCAAAGAGTGGCTATTTAAAAGAAACTAGAATATAAAACATGTTTTCAGTTATTTCACACTTTTTTTATAAGTACAAAATTCTACATGTGTTCATTCATAGTTTTAATGCCTTCAGTGACGATCTACAATGTAAATAGTCATATAAAAAAAAAAAAAAAAGACATTGAATGAGAAAGTGTGTCCAAACTTTTGGCCTGTACTGTATATGAGCGGTAGATTGTGTCCTTCCAGAGGAGGAAATCCACTTCTAGAATCAGCATCTCCATCTAGGGTGTCATCAGGGTAAAATGCTGTCTGATAACCTTTACTTTGAAGTACGATCCGCCTGAAACATGTAGTGGTTTTTTTCATGACTGTGCCCGACTTCCTTTCCAGCACGGACTAATCTGTGCTGAATTTGTGCGGCATGCTCTGGCGTCCGGATAAAACAGAACTCTTGCGATCAGCTGTGGAGTCCACCGATCCGCAGCAGAACGGAAAGAAACTGGTGGAAATTGACACATTAACTTGAATGGCTACGATCAGCTACAATCAGCGGATACAGCCTTTTCGGAGCCTTTCCAGATGTGGTGGAAATTGGGGGTGAGATCTTTGAAGCTTTTAATGAGATACCAAACCTAAGTTGCTATTTTTGTTCCCTCTCAAGATCACACATACTCTAGAATGACAACAGACTTTCTCGATTCCTTAACCTCTTCAAACAAATCTCTAGAGACCAGGAGAAGGTGCAAAAAAGGCCATTCTAGCTCACGAATCGACCTGTCTATAACATTCAGACCAAGTCAACACTGAAGCTGAAGCCCATGGGAAATCAAGCAGAGTTAACAGGGTGGTCCAAGCAAAATTTTCCATGAGATTCAGTGCAAATATTCACACCTTCTGATGAGGGGTGATTCATTTAGTTGGCTGATTTGGTTCTGTTGTTTTTAAAGTTAATGTTGTCACAAAGCAGAATAGAGAACATGGACGTAGGAGGGCTGTCATTGTTAAAAACATTGACGCAAATCCTCCTCTTTTTTTTACCCCCACAGATAATGAGCGTCATTTTCCCCTTTGGATAAGCTTGGAAAATACTACTCAACTTCTGTGCTTAAACTTCTGTGCTTAAAAATGTACATGATGTTCATTAGGTCTGTCTTTTTCTCATTTCCAGTATCACCATCTTTGGTACAGGGGCCAAGTGGCTGGCTGTGCTGCAGGAGAGAAACCTCAGACCCGGTGAGTTGTGATGACAGACTCACACCTGTACTCGCGCACAGTCATGCAGGGACACACATGGACGCACAAAAATAACAAGCAGGGACTGGGAGAGAAATGCGTTCACCCACTCATACACACACAAACACTCTCTGCGAATGGAACCTGGAACAATACGAGCAGATGGACACGATAATGATTATAATAGTGATGCTATTTGACTCCTAATGTCCTCTGAGCCATTTACTGTCTGAATCAACAGTTTGCCCTGCGCTCTGGTGTTTGACACCGAATCGAACGGATAAAAGTGCTGTTATGATAATTCCTATGAGTCATGGATAGGGCCAACTAATTGCTTTTAGTGTCACAGCTCTCTAGAGACACAACCAGGTCTCCACACAGAATCAGAGCCTTGTTAGCCTTCCCGCTAACCCCTCTCCCTTTCTCTGCTATTTACGTGACAAAAATGACAGTTTAGAGGTGCACACTAAAATTACTGCTGCTACGCGCCGCTCTTTTCAGAGAGTACAGGCTGTAATATAAAGGGAGAGAAAAGTTTCTCAATTCTAGTCCCCAATTTGGTGTGAAGTGTCAAGCAATGCTCTTTTAGATTTTGGTGACTTTTTATGGTAAAAAGAAGGAAAAAATAGATAAGTGAGTTACACAAGCTGGAGTTTTGTTGAAATAACTGAAGGTCAAAGCTTTTGGTCTTAAACGGCTTTCTTTTCTTCTGTCTTTATTCTTAAATGTAACCCTGTTTTCTTCTTCCTGCGTTAAGTCTTTTTTTAAAACTTCTGCAGAAGACAAAGCTGTTCCCTCACATCCTCCTTTCTAACCACCTCTTCTGTCCTCTTCTTGGTTCTTTTTCTCCTCCCGTCCTCTTATCCAGTCTTCTCCTCTCCTCTCCTCTTACCTTTTCTCTCTTTTTAATATTGTCTTCTTTATTATTTTGCTCCTTGTCTGTTCTTCTATAATCTCTGTGTGGTTTTGTCCCATCCCCTCTTTTCTTCTGTCTTTCACTCTCCTTGGTTTCTGGTCTTTTACTTTTCTGTTTCATTTCTCCGTTTTTCTCTTTTGGAATATTACTTTGTTTTTTTCCTTTTCTTTTCTTTCATCAATATCTCTCTTAATTTTAATGCTCTTCTCTTCTCTTCTCTTCTCTTCTCTTTTCTCTCACTCCCAAATTCTTTTCTTCTCTTCCTATCCCCTGCTCTCTCCTACTTTCATCTCTTCTCTCAACTTTTTTCCTTTTTTTTCCTTCTCTTGTCTTTTCTTCTTTTTCACTGTTCTTTCTTCTCGTCTTTTTTCTTTCATTTCTTTGCTTCTTTTTCTTCCCCCATCTTCTCTTCTTTCACTCTTCCTCTTCTCTTTTCTTCTCTTCCTATTCCCTGTTCTCTTCTCCTTTCATCTCTTCTCTCAACTTTTTTCCTTTTTCCCCTTCTCTTTTCTTGTCTTTTCTTCTTTTTTTCACTGTTCTCTTTCCTCTCATCTTCTCTTGTTTTTTTCTTTCATTTCTTTTTCTTCCCCGTTCTCTTCTTTCGCTCTTCCTTTTCTCTTTTCCTCTCTTCTCTTTTCTTCTCATCCCTTCTCTTCTCCTCTCTTTTTTCTTCTTCTCTTTTCTTCTTTACTCTTCTCTTCTCCTCTCTTTTTCCTTTTTTCTTCTTTATTCCTTTCCTATCTTTTTCTCTTTCTTTTATCTTTATTTTTCATTCTTATCATACTTCTCCTGACCTCCTTTTTTTTAATCTTGTTTTCCTACTCCTTATTTTCTTCTTTTCTCTTCTCTAACGTTATCATTTACAACTGTTGTTTATTTCATAAAGTGCTGTTTCTGTGCCTCCTGACTCCGGTGCACCCTCATAATCAGCTCAAATCTTTATTCATGATTTCTTTTTGCTGTGATTTTGTGTGTCTCTTGGAAAGTTTTAAATGAATTAGCAAAACAAACTTCTAGTTTGTGGCTGAAAAGAAAAGAATCACAACAAAAATTATCTGTTGGTTTGATTCCATCTTTGCTCCTCCCCCTTTTGTTGGCCAGACATTTGATCCACTTGGCTCTTTGTGTGTGTATGTGTGTATGTGTGTACGTGTGTACGTTTGGATGCGTATTAAAGAGAAAGAGCATGGCAGACGGAGATTTGTGTGTCCCTCTGTGTTTTTGCAAATGTGTGTGTGTTTATGAGTGTGTGTATGAGCATGCCTGTGGTGGGCTGGGGTGGGGAGGTTGAGCTGCTTCAGTGGATCCCCCAGCGGAGAGGCTCTTTTCCCTGGGCTGACATTTGGACTGGACACCTGGAGGCGTTGTGGGGGGTAGCTCGAGTTCCCACTGTTTGTGTGCATGTGTGTGTGTTTACGGGGTGAGGGTCGGTTGTTGGAAGCTGATCAGTGTGCTGGGTGTTAATGGAGTGTGGATTGTGTGGCAGTGAGTGTCCATTTCTTTGGGGATAGAGGCAAAGTCCTATGATGTGTCACACGAGGCTGGTGAACCACACCATGGCAACACGTATGAGGGTGTAAAACCACAGCTGTGCACTGTGTTAAATTTGACTGTTTTTGGACTCTTATTTTGGCCAAACAAATGGGCTTTAGCCTCTAGTGGACACTCAAAGAATTGCATTATTTTGCCCTCTGCTTTGGCTTCAGTTTTCTCCATTCGAGCTTGTGTGTTTATGTCATTTGGTTCCAGCTCAGTGGAAGAGCTCTTGTCAAATCTTTATCACAGTTTTTCATCATTGCTGAGGCACATTTCTTGAAACCTTCCTCCCTTTGTTCTAAAACAGTAAAGACGAAACCCAGTTTTCAAACTACATCCACAAAACCTCTGATTCTTCATGCAAAATCAAACAAGAATCAAAGCAGCTTTATCTGAGCGCAGAATCAAACACTGTTTTCACATCATAGACGCAGCAGTCAAAATAAAAACACTCCAGAGCAGGAATTACACGACATGACAAACTAGAAAACACAGCAGCAAGGGATCACTCGAGAAGAAAAGTTTGCGTGAGACCACAGTTAGAAACAGGAAGTTAAGTTTAGTTTAAAATGGAATGAATTTTACAAAACAAATATTCAAAACTTTGGCACAACCGGACATAGCAAAGGAGTCCACTAGTAGTGACAGAGCAGCTGCTCCTTTTAACCCCAAATTTGAACCTTGAGTCAAACCCTGGGTGGACAGTTTATATTTGAACTGCAATGAGCTGCTTAAACTCCTAATAATACAATATACCAGCACATCAGACCACCTGAAGTAGCTTGTCATATGATCCAGCAGTGGGAGTAGCTCGGGTTCTGCACTGTAGATGAAAAAATGAATGTCAACTTTGTACAAAGCAGCTGTCTCATACGTCAACAGTGGCTAATTTGCTGGCTCACCTGATTGCTTGCCACCCACATGAATCCACAGTGATGGAGGCACCATTGTTGAGCACGACGGCAAGAGTTTAGCTCTGTAAAAGTGCCTTTTTTACCACCGGCCCCTTACCGGAGGTTCAGAAAAAGGCCATTACTGACAACATTGAAGAACTGTTATGTATTTGAACTAGGGGTGGGAGAAAAAACTGATTCACATTAGTATCGTGATTTTTTGTTTTACAGTTTTTAAATCAATTTTTATGTTCAAAAATCGTTTTTAAAAATAAATCTTAAAAACTGACTTACATGTGATGTTTTTTTGGGGGGGGGGTATGGTTTCTGGAATAGTCAGTAGACAATCATCATATGGATTATAGTTTAATGTGCTTATCTGGCACTGGCCCCGACTCAGTACATGCTATCATGACAGACAGCCATCTCAACACTAGTGTCTAATCAGAACTGAAAACAGTCAGTCTGCTGTTGTGTTAGTCTTCTCGCTTCCACCTGGGACGCGTCTTTTTTCCCCCCAGAAAGTCGCAAAATCGCATCGGGCTTGACAGGCGCGTCAAAATTCGCCTCTAAATATTTCGTAATTTCGAGTCGTATATTTGCGTTGGTCCCGGTGTGTAAGGACCTTAAAAATCAAGAAAATCAACAATATCACAGAATCGCGATTTAAATCGAATTGGCATCCAAAAAATCATAGAAGGGGAAAAGCATATCGTCCCAGCCCTAATATAAACATTTGCATGTCAAGTTTGATATTCATTGGAGGTTGATTTTCTGAAAAACTGACAGTCCTAACACACACGGTGCACTGCAAAGATGGTCAACCTAGAGACAGTCTCACTCTGTTCTTGATCTTGGTTGTCGTCCCGCTCCTCCTCCTCTTTGCGTTGCAGCATCTTTGATTTTAACTTTCAGCACACTTCAGCTTGATGTGTGTAGATCTAGCTTAGTGTCTGCCCATGTGCACCATTAGTGTTATTTCCTCAGCTTCCTGGCTTATGAAGATCTCATCAAATCCTTAGCATTTTGTATCTCAAGTGCATCAAAATGTGATGCAGTAAGTGGGAATGTGTTTAGAGTTTTGTGAAAAGAGTAAATTAGATCTGCAGTGGGTATCTTTCTGAGTAAAATTGTTTGAGGTCTTGTAAAAGAGTGAGCAATTCAATGAATTTGTTTAGACTGTTGACCATTTTGTACAAAGAATATCAACCACTAGAGTAAAAACCTCTCCTTACTTTCCGGCTGTTGGGTTAAAGCGCTTCAAGGGTGTCATATAATACAAACAGCTGTAATAGATCTCTTTAGTAGGAACCCATATGCAGTCACAAACTGTAATTTTGGAATTTGTAAGAGACATACTGTACATTACACTTTGATATATGTTATCTAAATTACACCATTTTTATCTTTTTATCTCCCAGCTGAAACCCACAACCTCCAGACTCTCCACACCATCCTGTCGACTGGATCCCCTCTCAAACCTCAGAGCTACGAGTACGTCTATCGCTGCATCAAGAGCAACGTGCTGCTGGGCTCCATCTCAGGTGACTCACTGGTGCCGCAACAACACATTGTTTTTATTGTTAGTGAAATCCTATAAGTACACAAATAGCTGCAGCTTTTCCAAAGCTTGTTGTTGTCGTTTGCTGCATCAAAAAAAAAAAGAAAGAAAGAAAAAGAAAAGAAAACCAACAAAGCATCTGAGACGCTAACACAAAAGGACAGATGCATACAAAGGAAATTCAGAAATAACAGTATATTCTATAGAACTGTATGTTTTCCCCACCACCCACAGCACCGGGAAACACACAGCAGCACGCACAAACACCGACTCTCTCAGCCCATTGTTAAGTTGACAGGGCAGTAGAATGCTATCTGTCTCTCTCTCTCTGAGTCCTGAAACGTTTAACATTTAGCACAGCCTGGGTGACTGACGTATTGTAGGCACACACACACACACATAAACACACTCCAAACAGCAGCTGCAACCGTCACACATAAACCAACAGAATTTGGGCACCACGCATGGGCAGAGTATAAACCCCTGATGATGACAAACACAAACACTAACATGTGCACAAAGACAGTGAAGTAGATGGATTGGACTCAGAAGCATCAAGTGAAATGTCACATGTGCGGTAGCAACATGTCCTGATACAGAGAAAGTAATGGGCCTTGAGCAGCATACTTATTGTTACATAGCTGCAGGATGTGCTTCTTTCTGATTGGTCATTACAAAGCAGTTGCTCATGGCAACAGTGTGTTATTTCCCAATAGCAAGACGGTTGTTATGAGGAGCGGACCGCTGCTAAGGGATGCAGCTCTGATCTCAGACTGTTCACTAAAACTAATAACAACTAAATGAACCCAGGTTAAAAAGCTACAGTTAGCAGTTACCATGAAAGCAGATCAAACTGCAAATGTAACAGACTAGAAAATAAAGTTGATCTTAAATCAATAAAGTGAATTTGAAGTCAAAACTTGGTATAAAATTAAAAATGTAGATTATTAAAGTGTAATTTTCATGTAAAGATACTGCCCAAAGTCCTGAACAAAACAAAACACACACCAATGGTTTAAAACAAATAAAGCTATTATATAAGAAATATGAAACAGCCGGATAAAACATAGTAGTCTATAAGTCATAAAAATAGTTTTGATTTATAACAAAAATGAGGATAAAACAGGTATTGCTTTGATTTTTCCTTAAAAAATCAGGGAAGTCTGCTTTTCTTAGATCCAGACCAACTTAAAATGCCTCAAACCAATTCTTGTGCAGTACTCTGGGAACATCTAAAAGACAATGGAATAAGATATATTTAAGAAATTGTTGATTTCTGAGGTAAGAATGTAACAGGCAGGATAGTGTATAGTGAGCTGGTTGTTTACATCAAGGTAATGCTCATAGATTCTGGGTTTTACCAAACATTGTCAATTACTTAGTCTGAATTTATTCACACATAAACATGAGAGATAAACAGGAACTAACTACACGTTTCTGCTCTAGGCACAAAGAAATAAGACCATTAAACAGCGCCACTGGTTTAGGGTTTTTAATCAGACTATATGAGTTTTTCGACTGCTCACAGAGACGTAATCATAATTTTAACTGCAGACTGATCATAAAAAGAAACAGACATAATTCCTCTTTCCTCAGCGTGGGTGTCAGAGCCATTTTTCAAATACGTACACCTGGTGTGTGCTGTGTCTTTTAAATCAACCCCCTACCTGTTTGCACCTCTTCTCCCACTTGCTCTCTGCGCCGGCCACCAAACTACCTCACAGATGGGCAAAGAGGATGTCAAGGTCAGGAAGACTGTCTGAGTGCTACTTGAGATGGCTGTTGATTCGCTACAGAAAAAGGCCTGAAGACAGATATACAAAGAGCGTTTTATAAGAACTGAAAGTTTCTTCTTCCTTTCACCTTCCTCTCCTCCTCTATCAACTTTTCCTCTGAGAGCATAAGGCTACAGAAGCTGTCTGTGATTTTGGCAGGTCTAACAAGTTATGTAGCCAATGTGGAGATTTCTGCCTGGTACTGTAATATAATATGTAAGGATTTTAAAATCAGAATAACAGAAAGTATTGAAGCACTGAAAATATGAACAAATTAGAAGTGAATTCATATCGCACTTTGAGTAAGGAGGAGGCATTGTTTTTTTTAACATTAAAGGATAAGACCGTGAATTTTGGATGAACTTCATATTTTAAAAACATGAAGAGGACAAGTGTTCTGTGAAAGGGGTTTGATAGTTTAGGATTATGAGAATGATGGATTAGATCTGTGTGTGTGTGTGTGTGTGTGTGTGTGTGTGTGTGTGTGTGTGTGTGTGTGTGTGTGTGTGTGTGTGTGTGTGTGTGTGTGTGTGTGTGTGTGTGTGTGTGTGTGTGTCTGTATATGTCAGAACAGCAGATCCTGGCTCAGTCAGTTTCCTCCTCCTGGCCAAGGGCAACAGCAGGCTGCAACCCTGTTGGCTGCCACCGACCTAACCTTGACCCCTGAGGTCAATACTGTGTGTGTGTGTGTGTGTGTGTGTGTGTGTGTGTGTGTGTGTGTGTGTGTGTGTGTGTGTGTGTGTGTGTGTGTGTGTGTGTTCTCAGGCTTCATCCCAGCATATGTGACTGACTGCTGGTCGTGCTGACATATGTGATGGACCCCTTTGCCGAGTCACCCCGCGTGGCGCTGCGTGTGTGCTTGTGTGTGTTTGTGTGTCTACACACGTGCTTGGGTTGAAGCGGATATTGTGTTTTCAGTGGTGTTGAGATGAGTCTTCTCCCCTAAATTTGTGTATATCTGGGCTTGTGTGTTTGTGTGTCTTGTCAGCAGGGATGTGAGGAACCCGTCGTTCCTCACTGGGGAATTTTAACACTTTCAATGCTGGATTCCCTCTGTCTGACTGCCCATATGTCACTCCTCTACTCCAGTTTTGCTTCTTTTCTTTTTTTTTTCCTCTCTGTACAAAAAAAAGAAAAGTTCAAACCTTCTATTTTTTTTGTTTTACTTTTATTCAGTTCCATCCATTTTAACTTTCTTTGTTGACTTTAATTATTCATAGATTCTACACAAATTTGAAGAGTCTTTCAACAGGGGCTAGGTTTTTGAAAATGTTACAGTTCATCATTTTCTAAACCATGTGATCATTTTGTGAGTGTCAATATTGTGGAGTGCTTGAAGCTCACTGTAAACTGTCTGCTGGTCAGATATCAGTTTACATTATTGGTTAAACGATATTGGTTTTCAGTGGCTAATAATGTAAGAGCAGGTTGGTCGATATGTACTGCCAATATCACATCGTTGTTTTTCTTGTTGTTGTTGTAGTTGGCCCTTGACAAAATACAACAATTTATCAAACTGACATAAGAAACAAATGGCTGGACTTGAGTAAATTCTCTGATTTAACAAACACAGACAGAAGATTTTTGCTTAGTTGTGTATCGCCACATTGAACTCGGGTTGTAAAAGAAAAAAATCAAAGTGCATATTTGGATTAAGATTGGAAAAGAGAGACATGTTGAGATTTGATGTGTGGGGACAAATGTGTTTTCATTTTGAAAAAAATATAGTGAGTGCCAATACTAATATGATGTCAATCACGTCACAATATTGTGTCATTTCAGTATTAAACATGTTACTAAAAATGTTGACAACCTTACAATTCTTTTCATACATGTCAATTATGATCATCTACAGTGGCACATATTATCATTGTACTGGGTTTCCAGGTTTTAATATGCTGTTTGTGATGCATTCAGGTCAGTATAGAAAAGCCCTCCTTTATTTTTTTTCTTATGTATAGTTTTATTATTGATTTTTTATAACATAGAAATGCATCTGGAGGTTGCTGTTAGCCTCTCTGTCTTGATTGGTGGCTTTTGTTTTCAAAGCACTCACTCCTCCACAAGTGAGAGCAGAAGCAGACTCTTACACAGGCACACAGATATAGTTCAGAAGACTTTTTCTTGACTGTTCAGAACAGTCAGAGCTATTCCAAACATCAGATCAGCAGGACACATTACCCTTAGTGTATACACAGAAAATACACACACTAAATGGATGTCGGTGAAAGGCGCCACAGGAAGGCAGCAGGTTTGAAATAAACTTAGTGTGTGCGTGAGTGAGTGCATTTGTGTGTTTTTTGTGTGTATCCACCCATTAAAGCGAGTGTAATAATAAAATAATTGCATGTCTTCCCACTATAAGCGTGTGTGTTTAATCAGAAGACAAAGTTTCCACTTCCTCCTGGGAGCCAATTAAAGCTCAATAAAGAACCTGGCAGAAAGAGAGAGAGAGAGCGACTGAGAGAGAAAACGAGTCAGAAGAACAGAGAGAAAAGCAGAAGATGAAGAAGGAGTGGTAGCAGGGCAGAGAGCAGCGCAGAGGAAGGAGACGAGAAGGATGGATGGAGTCTGTGATACAGAGAGGAAACCAAACAGGGAGGTAGTGTTAGAACAATGGAGGGAGAGATGAATAGAAGGTGTCAGAAATAGGAGATGATTGGAAGGTAGGAGGAGGCAAATGGATGGTACAGCAGTGCAGGTTCAGTGTGTGCGTGTGTGTGTGTTTATGTGTGTGTTTATAATAGTTTTAAGATTGTGCTGCAACTCCTATATAGGTCAGTGGAGGTAGAGCAGGGAGCTAAAGCAGCCACGTTGAGTTGTCAAACACCAAATTGGTATTTGCTCTAAGTTTAGCAAAATCTCAAGCTGGGATTCTCCTTGATGCTTCACTTTGAGTACCTCCTGCCACAGGTTATAAAATAGACTATGAAATGAAATTTCCCTTATGCAATTTAAAATTTTTAACTAAAAGCAACATCTGACTCTTTTTTTTTTATAACTGCACTGTACTTTTTTTTCTCTGGGGGCAAAATAACTTAGACATGAGTGGAGGGCATAGTGTGACTGAAAGGCAGTCTCTGGGGTTGACTATTGTAGTTCCTTAAAGGGATATTCCGGTGTAAAATTAATTTAGGGTCAAACACACTGTAACACCAAGTTAGACACCCCCTCGAGAGATGAATGTTGCAGACTGCTTGCTTCTCTATTTATACCAACTTCAGTAACGACCACACGATAACACAACAGTGGTCTACGTCTCCTTGTGCAAACCTAAAAAAAAAGCCACTCTAGAGCCACAAATAATGCTCAGAATGACACCTAACTTCATTAACAGCTCATATGGAGTCCCGGCCATAGTATTAGCCATCAAACATCTTTTTAACTTTGCCTAATTTCTTTAGCAAAGAGACTAACGATAACTCACCCACTCTCTTCCAGCAGCCGCTTGTTTGTGGGGGAGCCCTGGCGAGTTGATCACCGAGTGCAGTGGAGTTTCGCAGCTCAGGGAAGAACATTTATGATCATTACTTAGTGAAAATGCAATCAGAATTCGTATGTATCTTGTATATGCACTACAGACGCGGTAGTTCTTCTGCCTTAGTGTCTCGGTCTGATTGCATTTCCATGAAGTAATAATCATAAATTTTCCGCTGCACTCAGTGATCGACTTGTCAGGGCTCCCCCACAAACAAGCCACTAACTTGGTGTTACGGTGTGTTTGACCATGACTTAAATTCACTCCGGAATATCCCTTGAATTGTCAACTTGGCTGCAAAAACAGAACAATTCCGCATTAGGTGTTAGCAACATTCTACATGTTAACAGTAAGCATGTAGCTCACTCTTTTGCTTGTTATATCATCTGTTTTGATTTTATGAAGACTAAATCTTTGCTCTGGGGTCAGTGCGAAAACGTGATTGAGACAACATGAGATTATATGTCTTTAAAAGTGCGCAGCAATTTTGGACCAAAAAAATACTGAGTGTGCAGAGGCTTTGAGAGTCATATGTAAATTTGTGTAATTTGGGGCACAGCTGAGCTCACAGCCCTGTGGAAGCTGTTTCCAAGGATGTAAAAGCCCACTCCAGCTTCACCTCTCTGCCTCTGTTTTAGTTTATGGTTAAGTTGAGACAGCTTTTCCAATAAGGTGACTACCAAGAAGAAACTGCAGGTGAAGTTACAGAGGCTACATTCATGCTTTAGACAGACTGAGGGAACCCACAATGAAACATTCCTGTTTACAGCAGAACCTGATACAAAAACACTTTTGGTGAGCCCAGTTACATCCAACCATCCCAGAGGACAAATGTAAACATGTGCCAAGATGACGTGATAAAAGCAGCTACAACAAACGTCCCAGAAAGAAACTTTAATCGAGATGTTCTCCATCAGACAACCAACTAACTCGGCTCTCCCTCTGTGCCTGTTTTTCCCATGTTCTCTCTCCACAGGTGGTACTGACATAGTGTCGTGTTTCATGGGTCAGAACCTGACAGTGCCAGTTTATCGGGGAGAGATCCAAGCAAGAAACCTCGGCATGGCTGTGGAGGCCTGGAGCTTTGAAGGTAAGAGTTTGTGTGAATGTTCAGAGAGATTGTTTTGCTTTTCCCTCCCCGTTTAGCCCAAACTTTTTTATTCGTCTCGACAACAGGGACTGAGAATACAAAGAGGCTTTGGGGACGTTGTTTGTTTGAATCCTGGATGAGTCTGGAAATAAATTAAAGAGGAAAATGAATCACAAGCCGCTTTAAAAACTGCTGATACGCCCCATGTGCTTCAGTAACTGCTTGCTAGTTCACAAAACTTCTGCTTATGGATCTTGGTGCAAATGTTGGCCGAATTTGAGGCTAGTCATCGGTAAAAAGCCATGCGAGTAATTAGTGGACTTTCCCTGGCTGAATGCAGGTCAGAAATGAATGGAAAACACAATCTTTTCATTTACAATCCAAACAAAAAAGAGTGGCTGTTATCTTGCAGGGGAGTCTTCAAAGCCCTCTTTGTCTTGCTCATTGATTTTAGTCCCTTAGTCCCAGTGCCCGATCTCCACTGCAGGCTGCTCTGGCATGTCTCCACCACCTCAAAGGAGAGTGGATTGAAGAATAATTTAAAGGCAGTTTTGTAGGAAGAGCTCGGGATTATTTTACTTGGTCTGTAAGCCAATAACACCGTCCTGAGGGAGGAGGTGAAGTCTGTGTGAAACCACACACTGAAGCGTATCAGGGTACATAACCAGGTGATTTACTTTAAATCTGTGACTCTGTGTTTGTCTCCAAGGGTGGGTTTATGTTTAAGGGTGTGTGCCAAAGTAAAGGTTTATGCTGATGTACATCCGTGCTGTGCCTTCTAACTATTTTTCTTTCTTTGAATTCTGCATTCGTGTGTGTGTGTGTGTGTGTGTGTGTGTGTGTGTGTGTGTGTGTGTGTGTGTGTGTGTGTGTGTGTGTGTGTGGCGCGCACGCAGGTAAGCCTGTATGGGGAGAAAGTGGGGAACTTGTGTGTTTGAAGCCAATCCCCTGCGCACCAACGCACTTCTGGAATGACGAGAACGGGAGCAAGTACCACAAAGCGTACTTTTCAACATACCCTGGTAAGAGCAAAAACATTGAACATAAAAACAAGCTTGGATATAGAAATATGTACATGAAGAAACCAGGATAGAAAGAAGCATTTTAGACACAGTGCAGCATCAATGTGCAACACAATATCTTTGATTATATTGCCCCTTTTTAAAACTGCTGCATTGAACATTATAGCACCTAACATCAAACATTAAACCCCAATTTAAAAAATATACCTGGATGCTATGTATAATGTTGACACAAACAGGTTTTAATCTATTGCAGCAAGACAACATATTAAATGTTGAATCCCTAAAGTTTTATCGTTTCATGAAAAATGCTGTTTTTAAAGTTGATGCCAGTTGAGAACAAAAAAGAGAAATGCTCGACTAAAAACATGAGAACATTTCCAATCTGATTAGGTCAGCAGGTTACATGACTGGGTATAAAAAGGGCAATCTATAGTGTCTGAGTCTAGCGGTAGTAAAGATGGGTGGACGTCCACCACTTTGACATGAATAGATAGTTCAATAACTTCATAATATTTCTCCTTAGCGTTGGATAGTAAATAATTTGGGGGTCTCATTATTTGGGGTGTACAATAAATGACAAGGTTAAGAGAATCTGGAGAAATCACTGTATAAAAGGGCCAATAACCAATACTGGATGTCTGTCACCTTTCAGCCTGCAAGTAGACTCTGACTTTAGATTGGAAATTAGGGGTGTCCCGATACAACTTTTTTACTTCTGATACGATACTGATATTGTAGCCTTCAGTATTGGTCGATCCCGATGTTAGCACAAACTTGTGCATGTCAAGTTTTGCACTCAGCTGCAACGGCTTTTTCGGATTTAAATGAAACCTACTCCTTGCTACTTTGTCAGTACCTTTGCACACACTGTTGTTGTGATTACGTGGGCTCTGCATGCTAGATCCAGGTCCTGCTAGATAGAGAGTGCTGGAGCGGAGTCTGGAATGGACTGTTTGTATCGGAGTGCTGATATCTGAGATTTTAGATGCAGACTGATATAATCTGGTATTTGTTTTTTTGCTGATATTGGACCGATATCTGATATCAATATCAGATTGGGACATCCATAGTGGAAATCACCACATAGGTGCGAAATCCTCCCCCAAATCATTGTTAGTTGCTGCATCCACATATGCTGAAACTATACTTTGAATAGATGTAAACTAAATAGAGAGAGAGAGACACTCTGTCATGTATCTGCTTTCTATTTCCAACATTTCATAACACTTCTAATTAGCCAATGTGTGTATGCTGTCATTGCGTGCACATAATTACTTCATCACCTTTTTGGACAATAATTATATGTGCGGAAGTTCTTATATCTGATGATTCAGATAATTATCTTTTTAAGCCATTTAGCCATTATTAAGTCCATTATCTGCCCATAATGATTGCATACCAGTAATATTATGCATCCCTACTTAGCATGGTGAATTTACACATCTGCAGAGGCTTCATTCATTCTGACAGACAGTTCCTTTCACAGGGAAAAGACCATTTCAAACTACATTCTGCACGTATTACAACAGCATGGCTAGCATAGAGTTTGTGGTAGAAGAGGCCACATTCTGCATTGTGTTGCTGGCATTAAGTTTGAAATAAGCATGTATTTTGGTGTAACATTTGGCGTGTGTCCTCCCACTATTTTCAGTCAAATAAAAGGTTTTAAAACAGTCAAATTCAGTCTTTTTCATATTTTACACAGCGCTCCAACTCTTTTAGAATTGGGGTTGTATTATTATAAGTGTTCCATGTCTTGGGTTTTAAGTTCCACTATTTTCAGTCATTTCTAACTGTGCAAATATGTACTCAACTCTATTGTGTTCTTCTGCCTAGGTGTTTGGGCCCACGGAGACTACTGTAAAATCAACCCAAAGACAGGAGGCATTGTTATGCTGGGCAGGAGGTCAGCTATTAAACTTTAACTCTTGGGAGGGCTACTAAATGTTGATAACACGATTGTTTTCATGAATGTCGTGTTAATTAATTCATCTATTTTGAGTGCTTTGTAAGTGGACAGGTTTAAAAATAATTTATGCAAATTACAGTTATTAAATTTAAGATGCAAAGCCTTTGAATTTGTCCTGTTGGGAGAGAATAAAAGTAATTAAAAATGGCTTCTTTTGTTGGAAATTTGGCACAGCTCGGTGGCCTCCAAAGGCTTTTAATTTGCTTAATGGCACAGTGCAAGATTTCATTAAAACAACCCGAAAATGGAAACCGTTTCCATTCTCAATTCAGATAAGCTGACTGTAAATGAATGGTTGAGTTATGCAAACAGATATATAGACACTGATACAGTCTCTTTACATGCATTAAAAACAAATCACCAGCTTGTTTCTGTATAAAGGAACAAGTTTTTTTCCCCTCTTTTTTTCGCAGTGTATTCAGTGATGTGTGGCAGTACAGCCTCTAAATAATGCACATGAGGTATAAATATCAAGCTTGTGTTTGTTTTACAGTGACGGTACATTGAACCCCAATGGAGTCCGATTCGGCAGCTCAGAGATCTACAATATTGGTGAGAGAAATCACATCTTCCTCTCACTATAGACAAGAGAAAGTCATGTGTCATGTATCTGTATTGTGTTTTAATGTGGTGGTGAGACACTTACCTCTGCTGTCCCCCCCTCTCCTCAAACTCCTCCAACACCCAAACTTCATCATCGCTGCTCTTTTATTCCCTCAACTTTTTCTCCTCTGCTCCGCCCTTGTATGATCTGCTCTCCATGATTTTGTTTTGTCTCCTTGTCCATGACTCTGCCCTCTCATCTCCTTTCCTCTCCTCTCTGCAGTGGAGGCGTTTGAAGAAGTGTCAGACAGCCTTTGCGTACCTCAGTACAACTCAGACGGGGAAGAGCGAGTCATTTTGTTCTTAAAGATGGCACCCGGGAAGCCCTTCAGTCCAGAGCTGGTCGCCAAGATTAGAGGAGCCATTAGAAAAGCGCTGTCCGCCCGACACGTCCCTGCACTGCTGCTGGAGACCAGAGACATTCCTGTAAGAGAAATCTGACTCAGATATGACTAAAACTGTCAGATTATCCTGTCAGGATGGAAGCAGATGTAAAAGTCAGTTCTGGCTTGAGTGACAGCCTTTTTCTTCTCCCCTTTGCAGTACACCATCAGTGGGAAGAAGGTGGAGGTGGCTGTGAAACAAGTCATCGCCGGCAAGGAGGTGGCGCAGAGAGGAGCATTCTCCAACCCCGATTCACTGGACCTCTACAAGAACATTCCTGAACTGCAAAATTATTAGATACAGTGGTTCAGAGAGAGGGACCTGACAGGAATTCAGCTTAGTTTTTAAATGAACTTTATTTAAATTAACAGGTACAGGGAGATGTGGGAGTGCTTTGCAGGGCGAGTTTACAGTACGAAGCCACCCAAAGCTGTGTACGAGGCATAGGAACTGAAAAAAAAACATGTATGTTACAAACAAAAAATGTCACAAGATGTCAAACAGAGACTTGTCTTCTGTTTGCCAGCTTTCAATTAAGTCATCAAGAGGCTGCTTTTACTCCATCATGTGGTGCAAGTAAATGTTGAACTGGATTCATCTTTGTGAATGAACTCTGTGAGTGTGCACAGCTCATGCTCTATAGCCAGCATATCTCTCTGTGTCCCCTGCCTGAACCTCTGCACTGGCTCTGACTCAGTCATACACTAAAAATCAATGAAAGTGTTTACACCCTCCACTCTGATCATAACACTATATAATATAACTACGTGAGGTGTATTTCTTTGTTAAATGTATATATTTAAATATATATTTTTTGACTGTGCAGTAAGGTTAACATTAGAATTATGCATTTTTAGTGATGACCCAAAACCGAAATGAGTCAGATTTTTTCAGGAGGTCATAACCACTGACTGCATATATAGATGGACATGGCGTCTCCACAGCCTCCAGTAGAACAAAAGTGAAACCAAAACGAGACAATGACAACAAGCGCTTGCAGATTTGCCATTGTAGCCAGAGTTTGCACAGTAACAATCGAGAGATGTTTACTGACCTGTGTGTCAGTAATCATGATACCTTTTTCTGCTGTTCCTTCTCTATACTGCTAATCCACAGTGCTGCAGGCGGTGCATCTGTCAACAGAGCTGTCAATCATGGTGTTATACCTATTTATGGAGAGTTGTTATTCAGAATAATAACTGAAAATACTTGACAGTCAATACTTGATGATAAGAACAAGCTATGATGACAAAATACAACCTTATAAAAAAGATGTGTATTTTGATTTTTAAAGCTCCTGTGAGGAACTTTTGGCATATGTCTAACTTGGCGCCCCCTGTGGCTAAAGCTGTGTACTCTTTGCTGGTTTTTTATGGTACCTGTGAAAACCGTGTTCTCCAACAGAAAAATCTCACCCCTCATGTCTCTGCCTGTCAAATTAACCTTTTCATGCAAATGTGAGCTCTACAGATAGCTTGTTGTTTATCTCCTTGTCTGACACCTACCCCCTCCAGCAGCAATTTTAGGTGTTAAAATAGCAAAACTATAATAATCAACTGTCTTACCTGCAGTCTTGTTTGCTTTTGCTGTTCTTAAAGGGGCGTCAGAGTTAATTTCAGGCAGTTTTACTGCCAGCTTAAAACTCTGCACAGGAGCTTTAATTTTGATCCCATTTTCCCAAGTATAAGAAGCAGACATTGTAACCAATACTGCACTCTATAAGCAGAGAGAACGCTGAATGCTTTGGCTTCACTTTTCGGAGCTGTCATGTTGCCCATCTTTTTATACAGTCTTTGGTTTTAAAATGTTTGGTTGTGATCAAAGTAAATAACCAGGGATTTCACATAAAAGACCTAAAAATACGCCATTACCTTAAATTCAATTCTTTCTTTGTCTTGTATGTTACATGTTCCACTTCTATCATTTGAATTTGTTACTCTTGAATCTGTTTTATTTCATTCCCAGCTCATGAAGGCACAAATGAGCCCCATCTTCAAGATCTTTCAGTCACAATGGCCCTGATTTATCAAGTTAATGCACATCCATGTCAGTCAAAATCAAAGGGAGCAAATGCTTATTGTATGACAGAAACCTGTATTTAATTGTTCCGTATCTGTTAATTGTGTTTGTCATAACTCTAAGAAAAATGTGTTTCCGCCTCTTTTTGCTTTGTACATAAGAAAGCAGAATTATTTATTCAACATGTCCTCTCGCTGTGTGGCAAAGCCTAAAGGCTAATTAATGCTATTAAAGAGTTAATGGAGTGGTTTTGCTCACTGCTGTAGCACTACTGAAGAACACGGGTGAAAATAACCAAAACTGCTGGGTTTTAGGTCATGTTGGGAGAAGCTGACCAGAATGTGAATTTTCCAGAAATCACAAATAGAGTTGTTGGGGAGGCATTTCAAACTAATACGTAGCACTTTTCCTACTGTACTTTTTGTTGTTTTTAAGGATTTTGCTTGTTTGCCTTTTCATTCAGTCTTCCTAATTTGGTTATGTTTGGTTTTTATTTCTAACTTGTTTAATGGTAAAGAAATTAATAAATCTTCTGGAAAAACTCCCCAATACATCTTTGATGTAATATTTCCTATTTAGATTGAGGGATTTTCCGCTTGAGAGGTACCCTGCAGAGTTTTTGACCTCTGTAAGAGTTATGACATTTATATTGTATGGGTCCATATTCTGTTTGTGTGTTCTGTATGCACACATTAAGTGGTAAATTATTCTACTGGGAAAAAAAACAAACAAAATTTGGATGGAAGTTTTATGTTAAATAATAAATAATTATAACTCTTATCCCATGTTGTGGAGTTTTAGTGATGCACAAATTTTTCTTGGTTGAAAAAAATCTACAAGTTCACTTTTCTTATTTTAGGCAACAACTCTTCAGGCGACTCAAAGTTTTGTAGAGCTGTGATGGGGGTCAAGTTTGGAGACTTATACATGGTGCACTAATGTATAATTTGTGTTAAGGCACCATTGCTCATATTGAAATCTGTTAAAATATGATGGATCTACTATTCCACTCTATGCCCGGAATGCTTAGTCCAGTGTCAGTCCGATCGAACCGTCTCCATGACAGAGATAATCAGTACCACACCACCAGCTATGAGAAGTTTGATTTAGAGCAATTTTCATTTTAGTTGTTTCTCAAAAGTTCAGTCAATCAAACTAAGCGATAAATCAGTTTTTCTTTACAATGTAAACATACGATTAGATAGATTTAAAGCTCCTGTGAGCAACATTTGGTTTCTGTTGGTTCTGCTGCCCCCCTGTGGAAAAAGTGATGCCTTATAATCTCTTCTTGAATATATACTTTCCAACACTGTCCCTTAAACGGACAAACCAAACAATGGTCCATCTTTGGTGAAGGTAAATCAGTTGATTGCAGTCTACAAATTCGCAGCTAGATGCCGCTTATTATCACACACTGCTCCTTTAAGTCTTGTTTCAGGGAGGCGATTATTTGCAACCCTGATGACTGTCAGCAACCCAATAGAAGTAAAGCTAGCTTGAGAGCAAAAGCTCAACAAAGAACGTTGTCATCCAAAACTTCAGCCTTTAATTCCGCATGCAGATTTAGAGCTGCTGCACTGTTTTCCTGAGGTAAACCAAAGACCCTGTAGTCCATGTTTTCTGGACGGAGCGGGAGCGCAGTGTACAAAGCAGATTAAATCAACTGGTGTTTGGTTTTATTACATTCTTAATGAAATATTGAGGAGTGTTCTGACCTAAATATTCAATTTTCACTTTAAAAATATATTTTTGCAACACAGACATCTGTCCTTCTTTAAAGTGCAAAGTTACGACATAATCATCAGCCAAACATATTAATTCACCACATCAGCCACAGCTTGTGCTATCTGGACCACCTCAGAATGTGAACTTCTGCTTTAGGCTTAGGAATAAACAACTGTCAGTCTAGTGAAATAGCAGAGAAAAGAGCGTGTTTAATAATTGTCTGTCCATGTGTGTATTTCAGGGAGTGTGTAGAAGCCACTCAATTTGACAGACGTCTTACTTTCGAAATAAACTTGGCAGTTCTAAAACTCTCCGTAACCTTTATTAGTGTGAATGCTCAGACCTGCCAGTCAGCCAGACTTCTGAACAGAACAGAGCAAAGAGAGAGAGAGAGAGAGATAAAAAAGAAAATACAAAAATAGAAGAAAGTGAGACTTGGTTAAAGTCCAGTTCCTCAGAGTAAAAAGTCTCACCAATCCAGTGCTGAAGCCTCTTATTTATTTCTACCCTCAGTCAGTCAAACACGAGAAAACGTTTCGTTGGCATGCTGTCAGCTTGTAGAAGAGAGAAGAGGGAGGAGAGAAGAAAATGAGCGGTGTGGGCTGAATGAAGGAATGCTGACAAATGAAAAGCTGATGTGTTTACCAAATTCACAAATAATAACCATCTGATGAACATGAATGCTAAGTGCCAGGTTGCCCCCAGAGGGGCTGTCTGTTGCTGTGTGATTCATCCTGGTAGTCGCAGAACAGAGCACATCACAAACCACAAAATGAAGCTGTTAATGGCTTGATTGTACACTGCCTACTTACAGGGGTTGATGGTTTATTCACCCAGTGAGATCCATTAAAAATCTGTTTTAACTCAGAGCTGCATAAGTCAGGGAAGGACTGCTAACTCTTGGTTGTTTTACCAGAAACATATTTTTCTTTCACAATGAGTAAAAACAAAAAATCTTTGAAGTAGATCAGCTTGCAATAAGTTTGACCCTGACTGTCCTGTGTGTACTCTAGTACAAGAAATCCACTTTGAGTTTCATGGACAACCCTGGTGTATGGTGGAGCCTTCGTGTGATGGGTAACAGTGATGTCTAAAGATGCAAAGGTCTTGGGTTCAATTCCCAGCATTGATCCACTCATTTAAAGCTAGCATGACCTGGCAGCTACCACAGGAGTCTGGACTGTGCTTTTGAATCAACACGATCTAATAAAGAGAAGGTATACTGGAACAAATAAATGTAAAGCAACACCGTAGTGTGGCATGTAAGTGCTGATGCCTCATGGCAAAGAGGTTCAGAGTTAAAATCTAGGAAAGGGGAGCTTTCTTTATATGGCTTCCAACAGCTGCAGTCTAGACCATGCTTTTGTATCAACACAACATAACAGAAAATAGATAAGAATTACACAAAAATCAATAGAATTACACAAGCAAACCCTACAAAATAGCACCAAAGAGTGTGGAAGGACACACTTCCCTCATATGTAGTTTAAGCTGCATTTGAACAGCGAGACAGTGAAATGGAAACACCTAAAAAGCAAACTCAGTAAGACTTAGCTGTGGTGTTAAAGGTTGCTGTGCTTTAATGAACAGATTCAGGGTTCAAACCCAACACAGGGACATTTCATGTGATCAAGGGAGAAAATACTCTCCTCACTTATAAAAAACATGTTTTTAAACTTTCACAGTCAAAACAACTGAAGGAATCAGGACTAAAACAAAGCAAACACCGACAGGCAAATGTGTAGTAAAGTGCTGAAAAAAGAAACCTGATCTGACATTTATGCTAACCTGTGATTTTGAACTTCATCAAATAAAGCTGTTTTTTTTTTTCTTTTACTTTAATTAGATAATAAAAGTAAAAAGCCCCTACAAAAGCGATCATTGCCAAACTAAGCAGTAGCATAGAGCTGAAGGCTGGTGCCTTACCATAAAAAGGTCTTGGGTACAAATCTAGGACGGAGGCCCTTTATGTCAGTCCGAAACAACTGCTTTCTGAATTGCTTAACTGCTTTCTTTGAGCTGTGGTTTGATTTGCTCATTTAAACTTCCAAACTCAAAAGTAGAGGTAATATGGATCACAAAAGCAAGCATTTCCAGGTATAGTGGCTAAGGGAGCTGCCTCTCCGTAAAAGGGTTCTGGGTTCAAGTCCCAATATAATGGCACTCCATGTGAGCAGCGAGAATTTTTACCCATCTTTTTAAGCTGTTTTAAACCTTTCAGATCAGAAACCTTAAATAAACAGTGCCTACAAAATCAAGCACTGCCAGCAAAACCTCTAATGTATAATGCTGAAGACTTCTCAATAAATCAAATCTGGGTCCAAAACCAGGACTGAGGCATTTCATGACACTAATTATGATTCAGGAATAATAAAAAATCTATACTCACCTCATCATTAAGCTGTGATTTAAAAAAAATGCAGTTAGAAAATGAAGGTAAAAATCACCTAATAATCAGTCACTGGCCGGTAAAGCAATTACATTACTGGTGAAGGTGCCTGCCTCTCAATGAAAGGATCTGGGTTCCAAACCCTGACTGTCCATGTGAGGCACAAATAAAACCCCTTTCTCTAATGTTGTTTCAGAAGAGCTTTTAAAGAAGCCAAATCAAATGGTAAAATAAAAAGCCCCCAAAAAAGGAGGCACTATCAAGCTGTCTTGTGGTGAAGTGGTTAAGACTGCTGACTGTCAATGAAATAGTGCAGGGTTCATTTCCAGCGCAAGGTGAGAAGAAGGTTGGGGCTGGGATAGCTGAAGGATCAGACTGAAAGAAAAAGAAAAACGCAGGTGGAAAAAAAACAGGGAAAAACATGCTATCCCTGTGGTAGGTAGAGGGGGGTTTAAAACTTGAGAGGAATGGATTTTCTTTTTTTTCCTTGTATGTAGTGTGTGTTTCTTTTCCTTTCCCCGTTTCTTTCACATCCTCAATCATCTACATGTGAAGCCCACCCAGGAGCTTGTGACAGAAGCTCAGATTTATTCCAAATTAGCTCCCCAAAACTCTTTCTCTTGATCACAACACCAACAAAGACAACCCAGGTGTGTTTCTTCTTCCTATGTGGACATGTTTCTGACAGTGACATCTAAAGCAGAGACAGGCTTCATGTTAAAATAGGTATGAAGTGTGTTACCTGCATGCTGCCACACTCAATCTCAGTAAAGAGGAAGTTTCTATGGAGAACACGATCACCACAGGGAAGTGAGAGGAAAGAGAAAAGATTTGATGTCTTCGCATGTTTGATTCAAGGTAGCCGACAGTGCTGGGTGGATGTTGTTTCCGTCTTCTTCTATGGTTGTGAGGATCGAGAGGGGCTTGACCACCCTGAGTGGTTGCCCCAAATCCTCGACTATGATTACCTTATCAGGGGGAGGACACAAGCTGAAATTAACTATCTGTACAGCGCTGTCATGCTTTTTGCCAATCTACTTCCTTAAGAGTGTAACCGTGTGAGATCATGCATCCTTATATACAGACATAACATTTTGGCCTTCCTGTGCTACAATAATAAACTCCACTAAACTCTGACCTGCTGGCCTAATGCTGCATTCCAGTTACCGCCAAAGTCGGATGTCGGAGCTGGGAATGATGTTACACCCGAGTTGACGGCGTTCCAATTAACAAGTCGGAAAACCAAGATGGACGCCTACTGTTAGACATTGTTAACTGTTGTTAACAATTGTCAGCTGTTGTTAGCCGTTGTCAGCAGTTGTTTGTTGTTGTTAGCTATACTAGTTGTAAACAACGCATAACACAGTAATTTACTCTTACAAAGACCATAGCACCGTGTTCACAGTTAGACGTTGGGCAGTACACTTATTTATTTTTACAAAAAACAAAACAGAAGTGCTAATAAAGATCACCAGAGCTTTGCACTGTTACTCTTTACTGTTGATGCACTGTGCTGCCATCTTGGATTATGACGTTGTCAAGTCGGGGATGGTGAGGATCGTCCGACTTAGAGCTCAGAAATTCCGACTTCTGAGTACAACTGGAACACAGCATGAGTCATGGACTAAGGCACAATACACTGATCAGTGTTAAATATGACGGCAAA